CTTCTAGATTCAAATATATGGTATTTCAATCAAAGCGAAGTATAGGTATTAACAAGGTAGTCTGTAAAGTTATGCTCTCTCTGGTAGGAGTAGAGGCCGCACCCGCCGGCTTCCCGCAATATATCCAAAGGACAGCTACACGCATTCACAATTACCTTATCTCGCTTTAACTCAGCTCCTGACATCACGCGACAAGTATTCGTGATCTTCAAAAGCAACATTTCGATTTGGTAACAATTTTGTTCTCTACAAATTTCATGTATTCAACGAAAATAAAAATATTATTTTTAATTCAATCATTTACTTACCAAAACACTTAAAAGGGTTTAGATTTATCATCTCTCAAATAGAACAGAAGACCAAAGGAAAAAACTAATTTGCAATATTATTATATTATTATCTTATTCTTTACATATACAGATACAATACAGAAAAACTGTTTTTTTTTGTTATTTGCTACCTTTTTAATATCTTACCCAATTGATAATATAGTAGGGGAAATAATAATAATAAAACCTCAATAAAGCCACAAATAAAACCTAAAAATAAAAGATTTCCACAACAAAATGAGATCTCAGAGTAAAATGAAACAAAGTCCATTCCTACCGTAACTCATTATGATTTTAAAATAAGAAGACTAGGAATAAGGCAAAACCGCATGCCCACCGCGAAACCGAATCAAAGGTGACTCTTAATTGATTTTAGGCGAACGAGCTCTCAAGAGATGGTAAAGAAATTGACATTTCAATGGCAAAAAAGGAAAGAAGTTGCGTCGACGAGAGTGGCGATCGTACGGCAATGATTTAGCGTGTCTTCAGACCAGGCCAGGTCGGGTTCCCATGGGAAAACGTCCGCAAATATTGACAGTGCAGCAACATGTTTATATGCACTTAATGCATCGCTCAGCTTTTTTACATTTTGTTTGTTTTATGCGAGCGAGGCAGACGGAACGTCGGCCTCGTATTTGACTGCTTTTTTGTCGTAATTTTTATTTAGCAGGTAACCTTACGTCCGTTATAAAATGATAAGCTTAAAATCGCGATTGTTTTGGTATTTCAATATTCAAATATAAAATTTATAGTGGATATAAAGCAATAAAAGTAAAGTAAGCTATTAACTGATATAGCGATTTGAATACTAAAGAAAATCTTTTAACATTTGATAATAATAAAAATCTTCATATACATATATTTCTCTATAGGAAGCTAAAATTGCAGTAAGATGATAAAAAAGGAAGGATATTCAGTATCCTCATTTTATTGGATCATGGATTAAAAATTTAAAAAAATATCGTTGCATTGGAAATGTTGCGTAGGTTATTGCTATATAATGTTATCTATGTATATCTATACTAGCAGAACCCGCGGCTTCGTTCGCGCTAAAACTACGACAAATCCCTAAAAAGGTAGTTTCATACAAACCTTCATCGCATTTTTTACGCCCTTTTATAGGATGAATTTCAAAAAATGCTAAAACACAATTCAATTTTATTGAAGACCATTAATACTAAGTTTCAAGTAATTCTAATCATAAATATTTATTTGGATTGAGAGATGTGACGTGTTTTCCTGTGGAAAATAGATAATCTCCCGCGATAAAAAGTAGCCTATGTCACTCTCCAGCCCTCCATCTATCTCCACACAAAAAATCACGTCAATCCGTCACTCCGTTTCGGCGTCAAAGAAGGACAAACAAACAAACACACACACACACACTTTCACATTTATAATATTAGTATAGATATATAAAAGGCAAAAGTGATTGACTGATGTATTCAACGCACAGGCCAAACCCTTTAGGATAGAAAATTAAAATTTCGCTTACGTATTAGTCATATGACGAAGGCATGCACTAAGTAACGATTTTTCATAATTTAACCCCCAAGGGGGTGAAATAGGGGATAAAAGTTTGTATGAAACTTTTTATTCCTTGGACATATTTGCATGAAATTTTGTATAAATTGAGTACGGCAAAAATAATGAGTTACGTATTTTAAATAGGTAAAATAGGGAATGAAAGTTTGTTTGAAACCTACCTTTTTAGAGATTTTATTTGTAGTTTTTGCGCGAAGCGAAGCCGCGGGTTCTGCTAGTAATATATAAAATTTAAAGTCCTGACTGACTGATACATCAACGCACAGCATAAACCGCTGGTCCTAGAGACATGAAATTTGAAGGGTGTATTCTTTTTGAAGTGTAGGTATCCACTAAAAAGAGTTTTTTGAAATTCCACCCCTATAAGGGTGAAATGGGGAGTTTAATTTTCTGTAAGACTTTTTATTCTCTGGATCGATTGATTCGAATATTTTTCTTTTGATACACACACTTTTTAAATTTAATTATAGACACGTGTATCACACAGTTTTTACAAAATCATCCCCCAACAGAGTCAAATAGGGTTTCGAAAATCCTACACAGCATGGTAGACGCAGTATGGCGCAGACTGAGGGAGGGAGCGGGGGTGATTCTGTATTAATTACTTATAGCATAAAGCCAAAGTATTTGTTTTTTTTTAGTTTTAACGCGGGCGAAGCCGCGGGTTCTGCTAGTCTATACATACTCGTATAATAAAATTCTAACTGAGCCGAAACTGTACATTAAATATTTTTTTGGATTGAAATTGTCATTATTATCGATATAGAGGCCAAATATATTGTTTTTAGAATTTTTGTACGTCTTGTTTGCAGCACTTAGCTTTTTAAAATGGCCAAGGAAATTTATGTATATTTTATAAAAATCTCAAATATAGACAGATATCTACTAGACTAGATATACCTATAACAATTCAGTCTGGCCATAGAAATCCAATCAACTTATATATAGCTGATGTTTTTTATTTGTAATTTGTAATTTTTTAACTTAATAATAGTGTAGTGTAGCAATTTGGAAAATACGAAAATCTAATTGAAATTCGTCCAGCATCCATCCATTAACACAAATTATAATATAATTCTTATATTATCACATGTTTTATATGTTAATTCTTTCATTTTAATTTCATTATGTAATATTATATTTTTAAGAAATATTTTTAAACTCCGTACCTACTGAAAAAATAAAAAGAAGGTAAATTAAATTATGGAAATAAAATAAATTTAATTGTAATTCTATAATTATATGTAGTTTGATTTTATATGAAATTAGGGTAGGCTACTACGGTGTGAGGGTCGGCAATTTGCGGTTAGACTAATGGGTCAAAATTATGAGTTGTCCTTGGCGTGTCCATATGGGAATGTGCAACTTATTGCGTCACGTCCCTACTAATTATTTATGTCGATGTGGATGCACAAATTATAGCTTTTCGATGTCGGCTTCGGTCGAAACGAATGGAACTCTTATACTTTTTTGGTCCAATTACTTTGTATATTTTATTTTATTGTGGTAGGTATTTGTTAAACCAACCAGACTCTCAGTTCTGATTTATAAATCGATGATCATTTTCTAAATAAGTTTAGGTATTTTGTAGATATACCTACATACAATAATTCTTTTGAGATCGATTTAAAAAAAAATCTTTTGGAAATAGAAAATATTCAGTATTCCAGGTGTCTTGTTTCTGTTGATACATGTATGTATAAAGCACTTATATTATATAAAACCAAGAAAAAAAATCGGAACTATATATGCACCTATAAAATAAGTAGGTAGGTACTATTTCAGTTAACACACCAAATTTACTGAAACAAATATTAAGTAATTGGTGTGTGTACCCACTATATCGTTGTACTTAAGACATCAAATAAGATTGTAATTCTTAAAGTAGTTACCCTTTGAGTTATTTATCATTATGATGTTGATCATAAAACGAAAAAGAAATAGAATAACTTATTTAATGATTTCAAAGGACTATAGACTTTGTATGAGAGGTGAGTAAGGTATTTATCCTCTGTTTTGAGATCAATATGTTGCTTGAAGCGATTTCGATTTGGGATACATGAATGCGTGCAAAGGATTTGGACTGTTTACAACTTCGTGGGTGGTTATGGGCGTGGCGTACTCTATCCTGCTCTTTCTGATGTATCGTGTGTGTATCTGTCTCACCTAGCGGCCGCTCCCACAGGACCCTCTTGTTAAGATACTTTTTTGTTCCTCTCATCTCGCTTTGAGAAATGGTCAGACAGGCAAATATTTAGGGGAGCGGGGGGCTAGTTGTTGCAGGGGTAAGTAGTTACACGCCTTTTTTACCGGGATTTTAAACTCTTGGGTGGACATAATTGGTCTCATTTGTTTTCTTATAACATCGTGCATTACATAAAAACGACCAGAGACCCGCCAAGCGCCAAGCTGCTAGGTTGTGTGCATGTGTCTCGATTTCAACCAAGTAAGTAAAAAAATCCTTTCCGAAATTTTTGATTCCTGATGTCTATATTTTTTATTTTCTCAAAATTTTTAACTTTGAACGTTCATAATATATCTACCTTTAATTTGCAATATTGTTTTTTTCTACTATCGATACCCATTAATGGTGACTTCAATTTATATTAAAAAACGTCCCATGGGGCAGGTAGTTACAATTTTTTGGGGTAAGTTGTTACATGTAACAACAAGAAAAATTACCATACCTAATTTAAAAAAATTTAATTATTCTGTTTTTTTTTTAGAATGAGAAACTATAAAAGAAAAATAGAAAGAGGTACATATAGTCAAGAAGTTTATGAATCTGCTGGAGCAGAAGTACTGCAGAATAAAATGAGCATTCGTAGGGCAAGCGAAATGTTTAATTTGTGTCCGATGTCCTTATCCAGATATGTCAGAAAAAACAAAAACAACGAAAGTTGTTTATTGGGTTACGTTAAACCTAGATTGATATTCTCACAAGAAACAGAACATAAATTAGCTTCCTATCTACTCAAACGTTCAGAAATATATTTTTTTGGTTTACTACCAATAGAAGTTCGAAAATTAGCTTACCAATGTGCTGTAAAACTCAATTTAAAAAAATATCCCCCCAGCTGGCTTAAAAATAATACGCGCTCTGCTCTCACAATTTACAACCATTAGATGTGGGAGTTTATGGTCCTTTTAAAAACCACCTTAATCGAGCACAGACAGCCTGGATGTATAATCATCCAGGAAAAGCAAGAAGCTCGAAAACAATCCATCCATACTCGTCGTAAACGCAAATCCGCTGTGTTAACCGACACGCCTGAAAAAGACTCATTAAAAAAAGAGTATGAAGAAAAACTGGCCAAGACCAAAAAAACGTGTGACAAAAATAAAGGAAAAGGCAAAGGAAAAGGTAAAGGACAGTCCTCGAAAATGAGCGAAGAAGGTAAAGATAAGGTAAAGAAAAAAAAATTGGTTTCCGACTCGGATTCCGATACTGATGAATGGTTTTGTTTAGTGTTTAGCGAAAGTTACAGCACCTCGAAAAAAGAAGTTTGGGTAGAATGCTTAGAATGCAAAATGTGGGTCCATGTCAAATGTGTAACGGGAAACGTTCACTCATTCATTTGCATTAATTGCAATTGTGATGAAGGCTAATTTAATATTTGTATGTGATATTGTTACCTACCTCTATATAAATAACTATATATTTTTCTATAATATAAGTACCTACCCTAAAAAATGTTAGAATCCAAAGTATTTTAGGTTATTAAAAGTTTATTAAAATAATTAATAAGTATAAATAATTTACTACAAGTTGTTATTTGCAGACGAAGTTTCTGTGTTTTTATATAAGATTTAAAAAAGTTCCTGCCAAAGTTATGTTTTTTTTCTACAAAAAATATCTTCAAAAATTACGATATAGATATTATAATTACTCATAAATGTTAGAAAACTGTTTAAAGTGATCTCTTTTGTTTATAACGTTATCAAATAATAATAAAAATGATTTATAATTGATGATTTTGTTTATTTATCTATCGTAACATCGTGCCCCGAAGATGTAACAACTAACCCCAAATGTGGGGTAAGTTGTTACAATCGACTTTTTTGGTTAAATTGTCGATTGGGAAGAAAATACATGAATTTTGATAACTTTTCAATCATATTTTAATAGCTGAATAGACATACTAACGATAAAAGCAATCAAATGTATAAATTATTTGATAGCTTTTGTCATATTGACATTTATCTAAAAATTGTAACAACGTGCCCCCCGCTCCCCTACTCACGATTTTGAAAATCTTATTATCATACTACCAGTTTTTACGGTTTAGATGATTCGTTATACATTTTATCTCATGATCTATTTATTACCTATCTATGTCTATGCTAATATTATAAAGACAAAAAAGATAGTTTTTTTGTATGTTATTATTTGTAATGGATAAACTAAAAATCCGCTAAACAGATTTAGATGAAAATTGGTATAAAGATAGTTTGAGGCCCTGGAAAGGACATTGGATAATTTTTATCCCGGAAATGATCCCTTACAAACAAACATACATACATCCATTTTTTATAAAACAAATGTCTATCAAAACGGGACCTAGCAGTTCTTATAAAAAAATATTAAAAAAATGTATTATTTATTGTATTTAAAGAATTTGTAAGTTACGATAAATATTTTAAACATAATTAGGCATGTGTTTAACGTACATATACATAAACCTATTTGATTAATTAGAAAATATGTAAATAATAAATAGCATGTTTCATTGTTATGTTATAAAAGTCCTCATTTTCTAAAACTCAATTCTGTTCCCTTGGTTTGATTAAGACGAACATGTTTGAGGGTTAAGTTTTAGCGGCAAAGTATAAAGATGGATTCGGACCGCACGCAGTCCAGGCGATAAAGAAATTATCTTCCAAGCTAACGAGCCACGCACGTATCTAATTGGTACCCTGCCGAAGCTGATTCATTTATACGTTCCACTACAAAGTGCGTTGGGAATTAATGATGATCTCATGCGGTATCAATAAAATCTCATAAAGTTCATCTCACTTATCCAAATTTCAAATTTTTACTTCAAAGTTGATTATTCATATAAAAAGTATTAATAAAGCCTTAGATTTTAAAATCAAACGTTTTAAAACTAATTCTATGTAGATATGTATTCTCGTAGGTAAAAGTTTATTATTCTATGATGATATAAAGCTTGTTCTGACTGATTCTAAACAATGGAAAATAGCAAAGTTTGTATGGAAATCAATGTATTTTAAGTGTATGTGTGTAGTTAGAAAGGCAATCTGCTAAAGCCGAAGAGGCTGCTTATATTACCTATATGTATCTAAATACGAAATACGATTGTTAATTGGTTAGTTTTTTATGAAGAACATGAGATTTTTTCCATATTTCTTAAAGTTTTATTTATTAAAGTTTACGTTTTGGCCATGATTCCTTCTACAACGTTATTTTCATCTTTTATGTGAAACTTTTCTTAGGGCACTAGTAGTTAATACTGAAAGGATTGAGAGAGTAATTACATATTACTTAAACATAATCTATTCAACATAACTGTAATGACATATAAATAAAAATATAAGGATTATAATGCCATTGTACAATCACAAATATGGTTTAGTATAGGAATACTGAAAATTGGACTAGACATTTAAATTAATCTAAGAAACATAGTCCAGTCTTCATATACATATAGTAGATATAGTAGTCCCCAATTACCAAATCTCATGTCGAATAAATCAAATTTATTTGTATTTCAAAATATACATATCTATAGATTTAGTAAATGTACATAAATTTATAATATATGTACATATATGCACATGCATATACATAAAACTTACTGTGTAGACAAAAAGAAAATTATCATGTTTCGGCAAGTTTGGGCACGTCAAGGGACTTGGAAGTTTCGGGTCTATAGATAAGGAATGCAATTAGTCAATACGAAGGTGACTCTTCTTACAAATTATATCTCAGAAGAAATCTGTCCAAGAGTTAAAAAAAAAGAATGAGTCACCTAAAACTGAAAGTATGAATCACAATACATTGCCGCTACTGTCAAAAGTTTTACAAACACGAAGAAAATTGTAATAACTAATACCTATTAGTAGTTTTCATAAAACATTGACATGACACATATCTCATGCGGATTTAAGTCACTGACTTCTATTTCATGAAATACATATATAAAGCGGTACTTTGTTAATATGTAAACAATAGTTAATGGTTCCGAGTACGGGAGCTCTGAGAAAGCCGCTGGCGCTTTCGGACAATGACGATTATCTAACGTGTAGACAATTAAACAAAACACGAATACGTCATAACTCTATAAAAATGAACAGTGACACTCGAGAAAAGTTAAGAGAAGCACAAAAACAGTAGATTTAAAGATAATGCGATAACATGCCTTTTTAAAACATGGATGAACAATACATTGTAATTTCCAAATCTGAGTAACTGTTACCTTTTAACGAAGCGGTATTACCTACTGATTTCCAAGTTTGTTGGCAAAAAATGTTAAGACTACAAGTAAAGGGACCTGACTAAAATGTGGAATGTAACAACCATAAATATTTGGTTTATCATTAACTTTTATAGCAAATGATTGAATTATCTTATAAGCCCTATTGAGTATCTAGTAAAATATTTAGCAGTTTCATTATATTAGTAGGTACAGTGTTTTAAAATAAAACAGGAATGCAAACACCCACGGCATGCCGATGCGCTGACGCACATCAGGTAAGTAATCGCGGTCACTTTGCTCGGCTGCGTAGGGTCGCATTAGTATGGAGTGTAAATCAGGGTAGTGGCGCTAACGTGCTATTTAGCCCCGCATATAACAGCATTTGTGTCCGAAATAAGCGCCACCATAAAAAATATACCGACGGAAGTAAGCTCACAAAGAAAATGCCAACGAGCAAAAAATTGACAAAAAAAACTGCCTAATGCGGTCGAGAGGCAGTGTGGGCTTCGACCGCTCTTGTAAAATTTATAACAGCTCTATTTTGTTTACCTGCTTGACTTTGCTGTATATTGTCTTGTAATTGAACGCATTTGACGATGAGTTATTAATTTATTGACCATAGTTTCACTTAAATTTTTATAACAGTGCTAAAATGTTCTCCATCCTAAGCTTTTGTGTTCAATAATACTTGCACAAGTTACTCCACAAAATAAATGATGCAAATTATATAGCAAAAAAAAAGAAAATCCAACAGCAAGAGAATGAGTAAAACTTTTAATAAAGAAAATAAAAAATCATTATCTCATTAACAGTTATTAATATTATCAATGCCTAAGTTTGTATTTGAAATTACAATTATAAAATTATCAATGTCATGGTTAAAAGTGTGGAAAATCACTTTTAATGGAAACTTTTGTATGATGAAAACCTTGATAAAATGCCTATGAAATCGTGTTATGACGCCGTATGTATAAATTACAAATAGCAATGACAACGTTTATTAATAATTCCACAGCCACGAGCAATGGGAACTATTAAGTATATTAATTATGTTTCGCAAATAAATTATATTATTAATGTAATAAATAATTTAATTTCGCATAAATAGCCAGCGTTTTTGCATTCTTAAGCGAGGAACACACGTTTGTTTTATACTAGAGACAACCCCGCGCTTCATTCAGACTTGATAGAAGTTTAACTTTTTTAAGGTTTTATTTCAAAAACGAATGCAACGGTTATGACACTCGCTATGTAGCTATTCCATAGCAATTACTTGACAAAGCAGGATAAAAGCGCGTACCAAATTCAAAATAATTTTATTGATTGATTTATATAAGCATTGATACATTAAATATAACAAACACACTAACTTATTTTCGTATTTATAATAATTTTGAAGAAGAATTTAAAAATTATACCATACCTAATATCTTCAATTAAATAATAGAGATAATTTGCTTCACATACTTTAGTAGAGTTCTCATTATCTTTCAATTTAAAAATTTACTTACAAAGTACCTAAGTGCCTAATGATTTAGAACGATATTTACTTTTATGTCGTTTTTGATAGAGAGCCCAAAACAGATGGCATACAAAACATGTTCGGAGTGCTTGGTGTTTAATAGCTCTTGGTTAAGCCGTATTAACAAATAGTTTATAAATGTTAGGTTGGTTTTATTTTGTAAATTCAATTTAATATTCTTATTCGTAGATTTACGCGAATATTTGACATTTTAAATAAAATAAAACTCTTTTAGGACTTTATCGCTGATTTATTTTGATTTTTGGTTCTCGATGTTTCGAATGCTTTACAGCAATCATGGTCACGACTCGCGGGTGAGATTAAGGTTGTAGACGTCTCCAAGGTACTTAATGGAAAAATTCTATATCCATTTTAAAACTTATTGAAATAATAAAAATGTTTAAAATTAAAATCAACAAATATTGTACGGTACTTTGGTGCCATTTTTGTATTTTTTGTAAGCGTTTTGTAATTTTGTGGATGGGCACTGTCTATAACAACTACATATATATGACCTTTAAGACATTTACAACCTTAATCTCTCACGTGACCATGATTACTTTAAAGCATTCGAAACATCGGGAACCAAAAATCGAAATAAATCCGCCAAAAAATCCGAAAAGATAGTTTTGAAGAACTATTATTCGGTTCTGGCTTTAGATGTGTTTTTGTATATGGTATATTTTATTTGAATGTTGATGTACTACGCATTTATACGTTTGCCACGATACGAGGTGTTAGCTCTGAGGTGTCAAGTGCTACGGCAAATGATACAAAAATGCATCCGTTACATTTCCACACCGCCGTCGCCTCCTTGTCTCGTACGGTATGTAACCATCGAAACTAAATATCATTCGTCGAATTCATTACTATTACAATTCATATGTATCCAACGTAATGCTGAGTACGATTGAAATTGATCGTTGCATTTTTGTATTTAGCCAGCAATGGTAGCGTAAAATGAAATAAGTAATGTTTTTAAAGTCATCTAGTTAGCGAGCGTTCGAGCTCTCAGAGGCACCTGCAGACGAATGTGCCATTTACATTGTAATGCACGTACAGCCTCCAACCAGTTCGATTAGGAGGGGAATGCTGTCTACATACTTACTGGGCACAGTAACTGATAAACTTTTGTTAATGCCTTTAAGTTAAACTTTATACTAAACACTTTAATTATTACATAATGTTGTGGATACATAGTGTCGACTACATTATTAGCATAAGTAATGAAATATATTTTAATAATAATCAGCTTAGGAAGTATATTATAAGAAGTAAAAATAAAATAATTTTATAAATTAAAAATATATTGTGTCATCACGGCAAACACTTTAGGATCTTTAAAAACCCCACGAAGAGCGACTTTACACGTGTGACAATAACAAAACATATGTACACAAATACGTGATTGATTCTGGTGCGGGGTGCGGGGATGTGGGGGGTGAGAGGAGGGGGTAAGACAGCGGCAGTGACCGCTGCAGCCAGGTGCGTGCGGCCATCGACACCATAAAATTAATAACCCGTCGAGCCTCCTAACCAATGCACTCTTCCAGTCCCATGTGCACTTCATACTCACCGAGGAAAACGGACGTTCAATGATGATATTTGTGAATGTTTGTTGTATAATCAATTTAGGACGGCAATAATCGTGCTGGTAATGTTATAAAAAGTAAAAAAACAATCATAGTTTCATAGTGCTGCGATTGTATTGACTTTTGAAATTATAGTTAAAGGTTGATATATTGTAAGTAGAAGTTGTAACAAGAGACAATACTTAATGAAAAGCTTTAACAAACTTTCTACATTTTCCTATAAATATCAATGACATTATTAATTAAACGCTTCTGTACGCGTTTCTATGAAGACATTTAGTATGAAAAGGCTTTTAACTCTTATCGAATTGTTCAAGTTACTGCGTTCTCAGAGTTATGTCTCGACATTATAGGGAATGTAATTGATTTTTTCTTTATTTTTTTTACTAAATTCTGCTCGACACATCCGCTGCACGTTAGTAGGTATATCTCGTTATATAAAATTGCACAACTATAAAAGAAAATAAATTGAGGGACTTAATATGTCAATTTCTATAAAAAAACAACCGCATGGCCAACCTATAAAATATTCCATTAGAACTCCTACAAATTAAATTATCATTCATGGATCCTTTCAACGCATTCACGTTATTCAGGGTGGATTTTAAATTAGTATTTAATAGCAGCATTAAATGCGGACTGATTCGGACAGAGGTGCGACGGACGGAGGAGGGGATCGGAGGAGCGGACTCCGAGACGGTGAGTCTGCCTGATAAAGAAGGATTTCATCCGCTCGATTTAGCATGAAATTGGAACACAAAGTGAATATAGCCACAAGATTGTAAACATTATGAGGTTCCTCTTTTTATTGCGGCGTTCGACTTATTTACAGTTTTTCTTTTTATTAATCGCTAGTGCCCTCCTCAAAACCCCTATTTATTGCCTTGTTAACTATAAGTAACTAACGAACCGATTTCTCAGTGCCAATTCGGCATTTGCGGTGCAGTTAATTGGAAATTTATTGCTTTTTCATTGTATAGTGATAAATGAATTTGGATTATAAATAAGTACCTACTAGCATGTTTAAAAATCCATTGCTTACTGGAGGTACTTGGTGACTGGGCAAGGCAAGGAAACTGATGAAAAAAAACCTAACCCTATTTAGATAGAAATTTAAAAGCTCGTAAATGGAAGCGACTGTAAATCATGAGTGCCGCCCGTTCCCACGCGGCATTGCGTCCACCAGAATGAATGACTCACTGAACTCGAAGCTTCATTTCCACAAGTCATAGTGCAATTAATAATATACGGCATCCTGTCGAATTATCTCTCGTCGTGGCAGGGGTCCGGGCGGCTTTAATTTACCACAATGGAAGATGGTTCTGAGAAGCGACGGCCGGCGAGGCGGGCCGATTCTTCGACGAAAACAAACAGAAAATAATTATCATAAAGATGAAGAGCGGCCGCTCGAGCCTCGCCGCTGCTAATGGGAGCCCACCTGGCAGCCTCCCGCGCCCGGCTCGCTGCACTGCGCTACACGACACGCTCACACATTCCTCACCAGAACTCCGTGCACTCTACACTCTACTGAATCTACAGCCCAACCAGCCAAGTAATCCCCGCTGCGGAATATTTACTTGATTGTTTTTTGATTCTGGATTAAGCTACACTCACTGTAACAATATAGTTTCTTTAATCACGCTCGACTAAGCCGTGAAATACAAAGATTGATTTTCAATAAAAAGGTGTCATAATGTTTTGTTTAATAGGTATTAAACAATTTATTAACTGTACACGGAATTTAAATAAAAAAAACCCTTTCATTTTCTTGAAAAATATATTTTCTCCATAACTTGGCCTTTTTGCTCTTCATTGAATTACTGTAGAGAAATCCACAAAGTTACTTAAATGCATAATAAAAAAGAATGAGCTTTTCGATATAAATTGGTCGGTAGGTATTTATCGCATTTCACGCATCCAGTTCGGCGTTAGTTATAGCTAGTAGAGTATTGTGCCATCATTACTTAAAGTATGTAAGTAATTTTTCACTTGACTTTGTTTACTAAAAAAAATATTTTAAAATAGTTAATTTAATACAAAACATATGTACGTAATACCTATATATATAAAAATCAATTAATGTTCGTTAGTCTCGCTAAAACTAAAAAACGGTATGAATATTTATTTTTTTGTTTTGTTAGGGCTATGTCAGGGGTGGCTTAAGCATAAAAAAATGGGAAATCGAAAAGTTCAGAACTGATTATTTTGTATGGGAATCACTAACCATTGAAATGTATTTAGGGGCTAGGGACGAATCCGAGCGAAGTGTGGGTGAGTCGTTAGTCTTTCATGATTTTTTTAAATAGTTAATTTAATACAAAACATACATACAACCTAATTGCAACCTGTCCTGGGCTGCGCATGTCAACGAGGTTAGTAAGCGCGTACATTATTCACTTCATTCCTTGAAACGTTTACAGAATATTCTTCCGTTTCAAAGTAAAATTACCCTTTTTTTAACGTGGGAAATGCATTTACGCACGAGGTGTGGGACTCACCGTAATAAACCAGCACTACCCACTAAAACCCAACAAAGCCTTCCCCCGTCTTAATGGGGCGTCGCAGGATCGCTTACGCATTCAACTACGACGCCCCGACGGCAGGTCTGCCGAAGCAGACCACAACAACCACGGGGTTGCTCCAAAGTCCACTCTGCTATCAGAGAAGTACCAGGAGCAACCCGCATGGTTCACCGCCCTCCGAAGAGGGCCGCCTCCCACCGCCCACCGAAATGGGCCACCTCTCTGTGCGTTTCTTGGCTTCGCGCCCGGCTGTATTGCCGGGCACTACTGAGCCCCCCCACCACGATAAGGTGAACGCACGTTGGGGGGGTAAAGTAAAATTACCCTTTTTTTTTTTTAACGTTGGGAAATGCATTTACGCACGATGTGTGGGACTCACCGGCAAAGCCAGTACTACCCACTAAAACCCAACAAAGCCTTCCCCCGTCTTAATGAGGCGTCGCAGGATCGCTTACGCATTCAACTACGACGCCCCGACGGCAGGTCTGCCGAAGCAGACCACAACAACCACGGGGTTGCTCCAAGGTCCACTCTGCTAACAGAGAAGTACCAGGAGCAACCCGCATGATTCACCGCCCTCCGAAGAGGGCGCCTCCCACCGCCCACCGAAGTGGGCCACCTCCCTGTGCGTTTCTTGGCTTCGCGCCCGGTTGGGTTGCCGGGCACTACTGAGCCCCCCCACCACGACAAGGTGAACGCACGTTGGGGGGGAAAGTAAAATTACCCTGGCTCAATCACTGCTAATCCCTCTACTCAAATATGCCGACGTTTGCTATCTAGATGCAACTGAGGAGCTACTCGGCAAGCTAGATCGCTTTCAGAATTTGTGCATCCGTTTTATATATGGATTGCACAAATTTGATCACATAAGTATTTTCCGACGGCAACTTAAGTGGCTCCCTATTCGTTTTCGCCGAAACGTTCGTGTATGATGTGTGCTTTACAATATTTTGAAAACTTCTACACCTTCTTATTTAAGCTTCACATTAGTGTCCCCTAGATGCAGACCAGTGCGTTCTTGTGTCAATTTGCCCAAATTAGTGGTTCCTCACTACAATACAACATTATATGAAAAATCTTTTTCTGTTATGGCGGCAAGATTGTGGAATTCACTGCCTGATTATATTTTCAAAGATGATCCCTCATACACAACATTTAAATTTAGAATTAAACTGCACTATTTATCAAATCAGACATAAATTATTGTAGACAATTAAATATGTATATGTAAGTATATATGTTCGTATGTATGTATATGTATATATATATATATATATATATTTTAATATATATTTTAATATTAAGTCAATTCCATTTAATGTTGTACTGTACCTACACCGCACTATATTAACTTATTTTCTCACTTCTGAAGGGTTTCTAGAAGAAATCTCTTAAAGAGATAAGTTACCCTTTGTCAACATAAATAAAAATAAATACATACCTAATAATGAAAGTAAAATTTTCGTATATTAATTTATATTATATAATATTACGATTACCTTTCACCTGTATAAATGCATTTACATTTCGTATATATGTATAAAAGTTCCTTTACGGGATGTACCTATACGCTTGTTTGATATGCTATGATGTTAAATTCTATGCGAGTGAAGTTAAATAACATAATATGGTGTCCGACTATTAGTAATTAAAGAAGTAATATTTATGTACTTATAGGTACGAAGTTTTTTTTAATTAAATTTTTATTTATTAAATAGCTGAGCAAATCACGATGAACTTCAATTCAATACAAATATTAAATTCTCTACTTGGATAATATATAGGTGCACCTCTTCTCGGGAAAAATAATGCCTTCACAAGGCGTAGTTAGTGAATAACAGTTGTAGGAATTAATGTTTGTCTATAATTACAACTTAACACTCGAGGAACATGTTTCCAAATTATATCCGACAAAAGATGGAATTTTATAAGGCACATTCTATTTTAATTCAAATAGCTTTTATTAATGATTTATTATTTCTATTTTAATTAAATAGATGGCACACCTTGGGAATGAAATGATCGCCTTCAGGCTACTTCAACTTAATAGAAATATTGTAAATTATAATTTTACTTTAAAAAAATATAACAAGTTAATATTAGTCCCGCTAAGTTTTTTTCGCCAGTTCTACTCAGGTCTGAGGCTCCTTCTTTCGGAACTGGTCATGACTTTCAATAAAAAATTGTAACAATTTAATGCTGAATAAAGTATTTTGAATTTGAATTTGACTCGTGCTAATGTGTCTGGGAAATTTAGAAAATTGGTACTAACATCAATTCTAAAGGGGATATACTGATAATTAGGAATAAGTCCATCCAGCAAAATAATTAGTCATTAAATTTCCAACTGGATATAACACTAACAGTTTCGTTAATCTTGACTTTTTGTAGCTTTTTACATTATTAAACTAAAAACGTATAAATAATTTTGATGATTCTTTGAATAGTTTAATTTTACATTTTAAGTACATATATTTACCTATATTAAAAACACTGTGCCAAGAAATTCAATTATTAGGTATAAAAATAAAAAAAAACATCGCTACTTATTTTATCTACACTGTACAGTTACCAGCACAATTAAAGTCAAATGAACACGATAACAGTTCTTAAGCGACACTACCTACATATCCTGAGAAATAACCAATAGTGAATGGAAGAAAAAAAGCTTTCTTATGTATCAGTATCGCTCAAGATGGCCGCTACTTTATCTGAGGAATGTTACATAATCTAGGGTACACGGGGATTTTTACGGTACTTTTTGTATAGAAACTTGGTCATTTTAGATAGAAGCGTTATAAAGATTATTTAAAATAAACAATTATTTAAGCTATCTATACCATTAAAAATTAAATATTTTTTTGAAATTTATCGACATAAGATTTATCATTTACCGAGAAAAGCTTTTGCTTCTTTCTACATAGGCACTTTTTATTCAGTAGGTACGCTTTTTATTTTTCTTTCATTACTGTGTGTGATTAGTCAATCGAAAGCTTTATGTTAAGTTTTTTTAACATTTTCATATTTTATAATACAAGCAATTTGATCAAACAATTTTTTCTATATTTTACACTACTATAATTATAGGGATATTATAGGGATGATACTGCAGTATAAAGTATACGGAATACAAAATAAAATTGTTATATGATTAGATTGGATACATTGAAATTTTAAAAATTAATTAAGTGAGAGTTTATGTATCAATAGACAAACTAAACAGTAACTATAAAAACCTATATTAATTTTATGATTTAAAATGTGGCATCTCCTGATGTCACTCCTGCTAAAATTAAATCATTGATTCAATTCAAAATGTTTATCTCTATGTTAGTTATGCTCTATATTGGTAAATTGAAATAAAAGTCGAATAGGTACTTTATAAGTTCTTAAATTGAAAATTAAAATATTGTAAAAACATTTTTAACGTTATTCATTTTTACATTTCAATTTTATGGTACCTTTGTTATAGTGTTTCATCAAATGTCTCTTATTAGATATAAATTTTTAAATGTCGTATTTATATTAATAAAAATCTCCAGATCTCGTGTCTGCCACGACCTCTGAGTACATTGAAGATGAATTTGCTAAATGAACTGAATTAAATTTTTAACATATTAATTACTAGCAGAACAACCGATTTTGCCCGCGTTCAGACTACAAAAAAATATTTGGATGCATAAAGATATTATCTATATATATAATAAAACTGTATCGAATATCTGTACATAGAAAAAATATGCTAAAAACCGAGTCAGGAGAGATATAAAACAAATCCAGATTTTTTTATTTTTTTATTTCTCGGTCCGTTTCTCTGTTTGTACGGGCTAATCTCCGAAACTGTTGGAACGATTAAAATGAAATTTTGCATGGTGGTACCTTATATCCCCGGTCAACATTTTAGATACTTTTCATCCCGGAAAATTAAAGAGTTCCCGTGGGATAGATTTGTTTTTGTTTATCTAGAAACACGAGCGAAGCGAGGGTGAGCCGCTAGTAATTAATATATATAATTAAATGAAATAGAAGAGAAGAGACATTAAAAGAAATACAGAAGACAGGCGAAGAAGAAATTCGAAGAAGACACGCCTGTTAAACTAACTAGCAGTTAATCAAACTAACAGTTATAACTGGCAGTTAATCAAACTTACTGTTAATCTAACGGACAGTTAAACTTACTGACAGTTAAGCTAACTGGAAGTTATACTAACTGATAGTTAAACTTACTGAAAGTTAAATTAACTGACAGTTAATCTTACTAGCAGTTAATCAAACTGACAGTTAAACTTACTGACAGTTAAACTTACTGACAGTTAAACTTACTGACAGTTAAACATACTGACAGTTAAACTTACTGACAGTTAACCTAACTAAAGGTTAAGCCAACTGACAGTTAAACTAACAGACAGTTAAGGAAACTATCAGTTACACAAACTAGCCGTTAATAACTTACTGTTAATTTAACTGACAGTTAAACTAGCTGGAGGTTATACTAACTAACAGTTAAACTAACTGACAGTTAAAATAACTGACAGTTAATCTTACTAGCTGTTAATCGAACTGACAGTTAATCTAACTGACTGTTAATGTAACTGACAGTTAATCTAACTGACTGTTAATGTAACTGACAGTTAATCTAACTGACAGTTAATCTAACAGACAGTTAACGTTACTGACAGTAAATGAAACTGACAGTTAAACATACTGGTAGTTAATCGAACTGACAGTTAACTTACTAATAGTTCAAGAAACTGATAGTTAAACTCACTAACAGTAAATCAAACTGACAGATAAACTTACTGATAGATAAATAAACTGGAGGTTAAACTAACCAACAGTTAAATTAACTGACTGTTAAACTTACTAGCCTTTCATAAACTGACAGTTAATCTTACTGACAGTTACCCTTACTGACAGTTAAGCTAACTGGCAGTTAAATTAACTGAAAGGTAAGCAAATTAACAGTTAAACAAACAAACAGTTACACAAACAAACAAATAAATATAAATATTTGTTAAAATATTTGTTTTTTTAAAGAGAAAAGGAGGAGGATAGGAGAGGAGCGCAGAGGGGATGAGAGGAGAGATGAGGAGAAGACACATGAAGAAGACAGACGAAGAAGACTAGCGCAATAGACAGGTGAAAAGAAGATTTGCGAAAAAGAACTGCAAAAGACAGGTCAAATCTCAACAACAGGCTCCTCTCTTCTCGCTACTCTCAGCTCCGCTCCTCTCCTCTCCCTTTGCTTTTATTTTCCTGCAGTAAAAGATATTAAAATATTTCACGTATAAATTCCGCTTAGTTACTGTTTTATTATGTGTATTAAAATTAGTTATCAGTTTAAATACATATTTATTTATTCACAAAGAATCACTTCGGTTCAAAAACAAAATCATGCTCCAAAACATTTATTCACCGTCATTATCGCGCACACGGCCTGAATAACCCATCAGTGATATGAACCTCCAATATTTTTTTAAATGTATTCCGAACTCATATCTTTTGGTCTTTTTATTATTTTTTCGATATCTTATTTCATTTCGAGATACAATTTTTGTTCTGACCGAAACCGAGTGAAAAGTCGGAGTGTTTTCAAATATATTTTTTTTTTGTATTTTGTAGCCCTCAGTTAGACGCACTTTTCACATACCAATTAACCACGTAGTCCCAAAATCCATGACACCAGGGCGATGTCGCACTTTTGCTGAAAACCGGGCCTATACTGAAGCGACAAAAAAACATTTTCAATGATAAAATGTAAATGTTCGTTTGTGTAAAACAGCAAATTTGCAAATGTTTTTCACTTATTACTTTAAAATTTTAACAGTTATAATTATTTTAAAATGAAAAAAGCTTATATGCTATTCATTCTGATGTAATTTTGCCACTGAAAGACGACGCTACGCATCAACTACCACACCGTTTAACCATCTTGAACCAAAAGACCATGACTGAGACAGAGCAGGAGCATTACCAGGTTCAAATTATAAATAAAAATGTTTAGTTTAGAATCATTTATCAATTATTAAAATTAAAGCTTTCAGTAAGCAAATTCTAACTTTATAGATATCAGCAAGCGCTATTTTTGGGCAGATAGATCTCAAGAACCATAAGAGTCACGTTTTATTATTTGAAAAAGGACCCAAATATTTAGAAATCTATTCGTCACGCTACCAAAATATTCTAATTATTGTTATGTTAAAAGGGTCTCACTTTAAAGATAAGTCTATATTGTCAGCAGTTTGACACTGCGACCGCTATCGACCTGTGAAAGGCAGAGATAAAATACTTACGGAATTCTTCGAGGGACTAAGACGATATACAGTTTTTCTTATTCTTTTTTCGGTATCAACATTTCAGAACTGTTTTTGCAGAGATTCCGCCTCATATCGGTCGGGTGGTCCATTAAAACTGGAACAATAGCCCACTCAGTTTCTATTACCAATTTTATCTATATTTAACGCAGCTTATGTGAATTCTGGCGGTGTTTTTTACAAGTTGTGCTAACGATCTGTAGGTAGTCATTAAACAGATAACGTTTCAATGTAGGTAATGGTAGCACTACTTCGCTATTGTTATTATTGTTAATTCAAAATAAAGTAAGAGTTTTGAGAAGACTTTAAACACTAGGTAGGTTTATGTAAGTTTATGTCGTTGAAAATATACCTACATCGTATTAGAATTCTTTTTTTAACTTGAGAATGGAACGGTTAATTGATAGGGATATATGTACTTGTATACGCAAATATAGGTATTTATGTATTTATAGGCAACTTACAGAACTAACTTCTGCCAATAATGTCCACATTAAAAATATAGATCAAAGTATTGTATGTACTCAGCCCTTTTTAACGTCCTACTGCTGAGTACAGTCCTCCCTTCAATACGAGGAGGATCAGGACATAGTCCACCACGCTGGCCAAGTGCATGTTGGCGGACGGTACCTACATGCCTTTCGAAAACTTGCTAGGTTCTCTCAGACATGCAGGTTTCCTCGCGATGTTTTCCTTTAAATGATTCGCACATGAATATATCAGAGGTACGAGACCCGAGATTTGAACTCAATTCACTCGGTTCCCCAAGCAAGCGCGTTACCACTGGGCTACCAGTGAAATTAGATAATAAAAGTAAATAAAAGTATCCATAAATAATAAAGTAATTTGAACTGTTACTACCAACTGCTATTATATTCGTTAATTCCAAAAGCCACTATGTAATGGAAGCTCAAATAATAAGAAGGACAAGAAGTAAAGTTTTGCTATACATAATAGTATATTTTCAAACTTTCACAGATGAATATCGTATATTTTTATTAGGACAGAATATTCTAAAAATAATGGTTATTCCCTCACTCTCGTGACTGGTACATAATAATACACATTCCATAAGATAAAAGAATGCACAGAAGAAATAATTATTGCTTAGTGTAAGAATTTTATCAATTATGTTAGTCCAAAGCTGCGGGTGGCGACCCCAGCGGGTAGTCGCCCGGCTAACGTGGAAATAGCTTCCCTTTTGTAGGTCAAATTAAATAAATTTAGTCAGTTTTGTTAACGAGTTACTCGCTGCGTCCGTTTGAAAATAAATAAAACATAAATACATACATACATATAATAAGTAGATTATCTGTTCATACTTAAATAATTCATATAATTTATTGTGATGTCTTAAGTTAAGCTTAATAATTCCATTAATATGATACGTAGTAATATTATATATATATATATATATATATTCATTATGTTAATACGGTGTGTGAACACGTTTCTTAACGTATCCTCAATTCTAGCTGGGAAACTACATACTAGTATTTTCGAATGCTTATTTGTACCACCCCTCCCACACATCACTCAACATTTCAAAATAATAAATATACAATGGCGAACTGACGCAAAATTGAATAAAGTAATAAGTGTTTATTTACACTCTCCTTTGAAAATTATTTAATCTTACACCACGCGAAACAAAAAACAGTATGTACGCCGCGATGTTTGTAAACGATCATGAAAAGACGGTAGAAAGCCTTGAAGAGTGTAGCCAACATGTTCCATCCTAACCCATTTACACGAGTTAAATTAAACTTTCATCACACCGCGATAAATTCAAACTTCAAAAGCACTTTTGTATTAATTCCTGCCTAAATATAGCACAAAGATAAAAAAGGATCAACTTTATAACGTCACCAGTAAGGTTCAAATTAGATTTAATTATAAATTCCAAGCTCTGGAGCTTCGGAATTAGGTACCCAAATGTGTTTACCCGTAAATCACGCTCATTGTTTGAATAAATTTCTATTTCGAAGCATTACCGTGAAGCGCTCGCCACGGGATTCGCGCTAAACACTGTTTCACCGTAAACGTGGGAAGTGCCATGTTATTGCGCACTAGAGAATAGCTTTCGTATAATAACAATTTTCTGTATATTGTTATTGTTGCAAAATGTAGATATTTTATAATCTACATCAGAAGGAAATCCATATAATAAATAGCTTTATTTTAGTTCAACTCACGTGTATCTAGCGACACGGAATTACCTAATGTTCTCGTTCGATTTATGCAAATCTGTTTGTTTAGAGTTAACAAATATCAAGCGACATTTTAATATTAAAGAGAAACGCTTAACGAGTAACGAGAAGAACTCTTCACTACCCCTGTTGAAAAACTCCAATAGAATCCCATAAAAAGCGACAAAAGGCACATAGAAACCAATAAATGTTTATTTCTATGTGGTAATTTTTAGGTGGCTTTTGTCGCTTTTTATGGGATTCTATTGGAGTTTTTAAATAGGGACGCACTCTTTACCTTTCACAAATCGTTAAAAAAACCTCAAACTGAAAAAAGAACTGAAAAGAAAACTGGTCGTTTTTAAATAGCAACAAGAGAAATAAACCGAGAAAAATATGGATGGACTGGGTGCTGTGATTTTGCCTGAAAGAGAATAGTAAAAAAAGAACACATGTTATTTTAACTTAATGTAGCGCGGGATAAAGACAAGGAGAAGATTGCTATTTACTAATAAAAACGGAGTGGAGCCTTGTTGCATTTAGCATAAATGGACCTACCTACTTGGTACTTGGTACTTGGTATAAATGGGATACCGTTATGTTTAAAATATAATGGCTGCTTGCTATGGTTTACCATTATGTACGCAATGGAAAAGGGGATAGTGAATCACTAGTACACTCCATTTTTCACTGACTTTAGGACAATGTATAGTTGTCACTTTTAAACCCCAAGCTGTATGCTCTATAATTATTTATTATCTCTCAATTTACTTAGGACTGTCTTGGCACAGTGAAGACTGACAGGAACTATTTCCTATGATGATGGTCACAGGTTTCTAAGAGAAGTGTTAAAAAGTTCCACTTTCTTTTCGAGACTATAAGAAGCTATCATAAGCCAAGCTCGATAGTATCACAATTCAATTGTCATCTGGAATTCACATACAAGTTTCCATCGATACAATTATTAGGTTTAAATCGAAGCTAATAAAAGAGAGTTAATAAAAGTGAGAAAGTGAGATATCAGTAATGGAAACAGTGAACATTATGTTTCCTAGTAGAATGTATTTGTATTTATTATATACTAGCAGAACCCACGGCTAAAACTACAAAAAAGCTCTAAAAAGGTAGTTTTCATACAAACTTTCATCCCCTATTTTACCCCCTTATGGGATGAATTTCGAAAAATGCTAAAACACGTATTTATTTCATTGTATTGAAGAGCCAAGTTTCAAGTAATTCTGATCATAATTTTTTTTTTGAGTTGTATTAAACGTGTGTTCCCGTGAGAATGCGATAATCTCCCGCGATAAAAAGAAAGTAGCCCATGGGCGTACCCAGCTTTTGGTCCAGCTTGGGAGGTTGTCTAAAGGTGTCGTGACCTCAAAAAAGCCAAATATACTTTTTTAAGAAGTTTGAAGTTTAAGAAGGAAGGAATAATACAAAATTATTTTTAAGTACCTAATTCGAAAATTAAGTTTTTATTTGTTATTAATTTTTTCTTTAATTTAATAAATAAGGGTGTTTTTACAGTACGACCATACAATGTTTTTATTTTTTCAAAAAGTAAAGTGCAAGATGTAAAAAATGAGCCCTATCTGAAAATTTTACGACAGTTTTCTTTAAATGTAAACATCCACTTGAAGTTGGGGGTGATTTTAAGCCTCTCGAGACCATAAAATATAAATTTTAATATAATATTAAACATTTCAATTTCAAAAAAAAAGGATATTATATGTATTTTCGAAGATTATATTCCCATAGTTTCATAAAAATCAAAAAATAATTGCAGAAATTAAAAATAAAAAAAAAACAAGAAAAAATAAACGTTTTTTTGTAAATATGTCGAAAACTTTGAGGTTATTGTAAAAGTCGTAGATTTTTACTAGAACTACAACTTTTGTAAAAAATATTTTCTATAGTATGTCACAGCAAGCCAGAAATTGAAAAAAAAACTATTTTTCAACATTTTACATCCCCCCATTTTTAATCCAATACGACGGACGGAAGTTACAAAATGGCGATTTATTATTTCCATAGTGACCCATAAGATATGGGCATCAAATGAAAGGGCTTGATGAGCGAAACACATTAAGCAAAGTGACGTACATAAGTATACACAACTTTCTTTAAAATAAATGTTTCTGGTTTTTTTTTATTAAATTGACATAACTTTTTTTATTTATGAACCAATTGCAAATAAAACCAACACTAAATGTTAAATGAAGCTTACCATAAAATACATTCGTGGAAACCGCATCCAAATCGTTTAAGCCGTTCCTAAGATTAGCGCGCACAAACAAACAGACAAAAATGTTAAAAATATTTTTTTTGAATTCTATCGCGTTACTAAAACTCCCAATAATAGTTTTTCTCAAATATTTCCCATGTACAGATAGCGTCGCGATCAGTTACAATTTATTATATGTTTGTAAAGATATGGACATCGATTACTTTTTGGCACCTTTTTTTTTTTATTTTTTTTTTAACGTTGGGAAATGCATTTACGCACGAGGTGTGGGACTCACCGGCAAAGCCAGTACTACCCACTAAAACCCAACAAAGCCATCCCCCGTCTTAATGGGGCGTCGCAGGATCGCTTACGCATTCAACTACGACGCCCTGACGGCAGGTCTGCCGAAGCAGACCACAACAACCACGGGGTTGCTCCAAGGTCCACTCTGCTATCAGAGAAGTACCAGGAGCAACCCGCATGGTACACCGCCCTCCGAAGAGGGCCGCCTCCCTGTGCGTTTCTTGGCTTCGCGCCCGGTTGGGTTGCCGGGCACTACTGAGCCCCCCCACCACGACAAGGTGAACTCACGTTGGGGGGGAACTTTTTGTCACCTTTTTTTTTTTAACGTTGGGAAATGCATTTACGCACGACGTGTGGGAATCACCGGCGTAATACAGCCAGTACTACCCACTAAAACCCAACAAAACCTTCCCCCGTCTTAATGGGGCGTCGCAGGATCGCTTACGCATTCAACTACGACGCCCCGACGGCAGGTCTGCCGAAGCAGACCACCACAACTATGAGGTTGCTCCAAGGTTCACTCTGCTATCAGAGAAGTACCAGGAGCAACCCGCATAGTACACCGCCCCCCGAAGAGGGCCACATCCCACCGCCCACCGAAGTGGGCAACCTCCCTGTGCGTTTCTTAGCTTCGCGCCCGGTTGGGTTGCCGGGCACTACTGAGCCACCCCACCACGACAAGGTGAACGCACGTTGGGGGGAACTTTTTGTCACCTACGTTAGCCTTTGTCACATACATTAATATGTCAAATACGAGCTCGCAGGCCAGTACACAAGCGCTAGACTAGATTCAATAATCTTCGGAAGTCGTTGGCGCGGTAGCGAGTGCCAGGCGAGCGTGGAGCTCGTCGCTCGCTCGCTGCTCTAGCGTGTTGTATGAATACGAGTTGACCGGGCGCGCAGCGCAATTTTTTTATAAGTCAACACAATATATTGTAAAGTAATTCGTAACACTCGTAGCCTGACTCAAACATAACTTTGTCGACAACAGTAGGTACCTACGTAGACATACACGATCCAGGGGGGGGGGCAACTGCCCCCCCCCCCTGCCCCTACCTGGGTACGCCCATGAAGTAGCCTATATCACTCTCCAGTCCTCCAACTATCTCCACACAAAAAAATCACGCCAATCCGTCAATCCGTTTCGACGTGAAAGAAGGACAAACACACAAACACACTTTCACATTTATAATATTAAAGTATGGATGTAGTTGTTCTAAGCAACTTACAAATAGAATTTCAAAATAATTGCTCGCTTAATCTCATAAGGTTATTAGCATGTTATGGAAAGTATTGAAAAATACTTATATGTATTGTAACTTAATACAATATAAAGGTATTGCGTCCTACCATTATATATTAAATAACAATTATTATTTTATTTTCTCTAATCTCTACATTTAATAAAATTGAAACTGAGCCAAATCTGTACATTACACATTTTTTGGAGTCTTATTGAAATAGCCATTATTATCGATACAGAGAACAAATCTACAGTTTTCAGATTTGTGTCTGTTTGCCTGTGACTGCATCACACGAAAACCACTGGACGAGTTTTGATTAAAATTGATATGGTGATAGACGATAGTTGTTTATCCGGGCCAACATATAGGATACTTTTTACTGCGAGAAAAATTACGAATACTTGTTAGAATAAAAACACGTTGAAACTATAAATATTTAAGCAATGTAACTTACAAAAACGTACCCGTACGTATAGTCAGTAGCCACTAGCTAGGTGAAAAACTACATACATACATCTATTAATTTTTAATCGTGTCGGTATAATAATATAACTTAAATTTTTCGAGACCACTTGTGCCGCGTATCGTTAAATATTGACCCGAGCGGGTGTACCATGTAAGACCTACCATACTTTTGTATTATATTGTAGTTAAAAAACGGACAAGATTATATTCTCTTTTATAAGACACGGAAAAATACGAATAAAACATACACAAAGATTTACAAACTTTATTCTAAATATTCAATTCTATGCTTAATAAATAAACAATATGATCTAAAATGTTTCTTCTATTAGAAAGCTTTGAAGAGACTTGTTATATTTTTCTGGCAACATATTGTTTAATTCACTTCTCGTTAACCAAGTCGGTTTTGATTTTTTATCAACATTCCCAGATTGATAATTTGCGTAATAGAAGAATACCTGTTAACAAGAAATTTTAAATAATTAATTATTGCTAATTCTTACTGCCGCTTTGACTAGCATTATAATATGGACAGCAAATTATGGAAACGGGTATCAATATATAATATTTAGGCTTATTATTCACAAAAGTGACCTGTTCGTATACGTAACCAAACCTCAACGTTTTGGACGATGAGGTTTATAAACTTTCTCTCCAGCTCCAAATTGTTCTATACAGTCCCCAAATTGTTTGGTAAAAAGTTAAACCATTTTGTGCGTCGGGTTTGGGGTAGGAGGGGGTTATAAGTTGGTAAATTAGTAGTTTTCATCACTTTTTCTTTAAAATGTCGAAAACTATTTGGTATAGCGCAAAAAGTGTCATATACAAAAATAATCTACAATAAATTATGAACAAAAATGGTTCCGTGCATAATCTTGCTAAAGTGAACGGTTCGAGAGTTACGGAGGATGTAAAAGTAGCAATTTTTCGTATTTATTAGATTTTTTGGAAAAAATAGACATTATTAAGGAAACCATTAATAAGTATATATGTAAATTAATATATGTACCTATGTATAACTTTTAAATTATTTTATCCATTTGAGTTCATCGCGTTCAGACAGATAGACAGACGTCGCGGGGGAGTTTTATTGTATTAAATACGTAGTGATTAATATTTCCAAAAATTTCTATGTTTATTTCCTTTTTAGCTCTTAACTTTTTAAGTTTTTTTGGTTATTCGTAGGCTGAGACTTATTACTAAACCTATGTTGCCTGTTATCCATCCCTCCTTCCCTTCTAGCTTTCAAAGGCTGTACTACCTGTAACGGGATCATATCTTTCAAACCGAATAATTAGCCAGTTCAATTGTACAATCTCTCGTTTACAATAACAAACAATAAAAATTGCCAAGTATGTACATATTTGTCGGACTTGACCTGGGTGTTTCGATCAGTCTTCAATATTCTTAAAACTTTATATTTCTGTTTTATTAGTAAATCTGTACTAATATTAAAAAGAGGTAAAGTTTGTGAGTTTGTGACGTTGTAGGGGGTAATCTCTAGATCTACTGAACCGATTTAGATGAAATTTGGTAAGAAAATAGTTTGAAACCCCGGAAAGGGCATAGGATACTTTTTATCACGGAAATCATCCTTTAAGGGGTTGAAAATGGGGATGAAAGTTGAAAGTGGGTATGGGGACGAAAGTATGGGGAGTCAATCTAGAGACGAACCCGAGCGAAGCGAAGGTGAGTCACTAGTAAAAAATATAAATATAATGTACTCGTGTCTGCCGGCCGTTTCGCTCGCATCACACATGAAAGATGAATTATTGCTTTAAACGTTTTTAGGCAGCAAGCACCATCAATTAATAAGTTCATAAACTAAAAATAAAAAGTTAAACTGTTATTTCACGGAAACGAATTAGCAGTATTTTACAATACTTTTTTATTATTTTACTTTAGTCTAGTTAGTTTTTTATTTTACTTCAAGATATAGGTACACAGTTTAACTAATTACGCGTGATTGAGAATGAGTCGTAAACATCCAATTATATTTTTACAAAATAAAAGTTTATTATTTAGTATTCATAAAGACCAACACGGACGACACATCACACAATACTACATGTAACACCCTTTAATTCTAGCTTTTCTTCCGGCAGATATGTTTGCTTAAATAGATAATAGATGTTAAAATAATACGTTAAATATAGCAAAATATATTTTGAATCAAATAAAACAGTCACTTTAGCCGCTTTTAACCATGATCAATTCATAAAATGTAAGGAGCGCCACGAACATGCAACATAAGCTAATGGCTGCCCGCTGCCGCAAAACCGATACACATAACGACATCTGTCGACACTTATTTGATCTAACTATTCATTGCTCCTGATGACATCCCATGTAATTTGTAATTAGTACATATTAAATATTTTATAAAACTATCTTTTCTATCTGGAGAGATCTCTACCGTGCCCATAATTGCTGTAAAGCATTCGAAACGTCGGGAACCAAAAATAAAAATAAAGTATTACATATTAATAAATTATTAAATTTGATTAATTTAATATGTGTTGTAGTTTTAAGTGCTAGTATAGCTCGCATTTAGCCAATTTTTAAAGCTTTAAAACATAGAAGAGCAGTAGCAGTTGCCTGCTGGTAGTATAAAAGAAAAGACAAATTTTCAGAAAAGCTTTTCAATTTGCTTGTTAATAGCTTCAAAGCGTGCCAGCTTTATAAGCTTGTCACTAAAATCAATTTGTCGATGTCACCATGCCAGACAGAATTGTGCCAGTGTGTGTAATTGAGATGAGTATTTCGGGACAAACATATCAGGAAGCTTTAAAGCCAAAATCACTATGTCTGGATGAAGAAAATTAAGTAAATATAGAGAAGCTAGTCATTGAATTAAGTATTCTAAAATGGTAATTATATGTAAGCTTACTTTTGCACCCATTTTTCCATTGATTTCCGATGGGTACTTGTATTTGTAAAAACCACAAGGAGCATTTGATAAAAATTTCACTTTCAATTCAGGCCCACATTGCTCTAACAGTATTCTCTCTGCAGTCTGTAACAGAAAAAGGATTGTACAGCTTAATAACAAAAGCACTAAAGTCATTGTTAGTCATCATATATTATGTTTATTATTAAATTACTTATGGAACACACAACCTTGCCTATCATTATTTTTAAAATCCAGGGGAAAAGGTTCATGTCCAAATACATATTTGTTAAACAGAAAATGTGCATACCCAATTTAATTCAAGATAAACTGTGATAAGGCATGTAGCAGGGTATTACTGAGATTTCTTGACATTGTTTCACTAGACAACCAAGGCTGATAAACAAAATTAATCATTAATATTTAATATTTCTCACTGGCATGTTTTGAAGCCATTAACAAGAGAATTGAATTGAGTTCATATTTCTTATAGTGAATTAAATTTTTATCTTATTGCAATTCAGGATTATACAAGTATAAAAGTTGGTATGGAATTTTAGCATTGACCTTCACTTCACAAGTGTATTTGACAGTAGAAGGTTAGATGCAAGAATTGCAGTGATTGGATCCTGGTTACTTACATATGTCATAATTCCCAAGTTTACAATTTGGTTGATATTTTAATTTAATTCTTTTATAAAATAAAATAAAAAATACGTATTGATTTCCTCTTCATTTAACAATATTATTTAAGGTTATATAATACTATATTTTAAGAAAAAATATTTAATGATGACTCTAATAAATTATAATTTGTCACATTGTAAATCATTATAAATTATTAAACTGACCAAATCCCCTTTAATAAGAGTACCAAAACTTATGTGGATAATATAAAAAATAAATTGGTGAACTTTACATAATGAAAACTGTATACATAATGTGTAAACCATGAACGAATTGTGGTTAATTCGTTCATGGTGTAAACCAATCCCCTCTATTAATAAAATGGTATAAATAAGTCCTAGACTGGTATCTCCATTACTATTTGCTAACAGCTAATCCATACTAGTATTATACATGCAAAAGTAACTCTGTTTGTTATATGAACGGATTGTAATGTAATTTTGCAAGGAGATAGATTATATCCTGGGGAAGGACCTTTTGCCTCAAAAAATAATCTTGAAGGAGAAATACAATATGGAAATAGGAGTTGAATTATTTTTAATAATACAAATGTGAAAATGTGTTTGTTTGTTTGTCCTTCTGTCACGTCGAAACAGAGTGACAGATTAGTGTGATTTTTGAAGTAAAACTTCTTTAGAATCGTTGTGATTTGAAACTCGATGAAACGGAAATGCAACACAAGAAAGAGATAAACACATAAATATATATGATTAAGCCGGCAAGAGAATGAGATAGAATACATTACACAGGAAGTGCAAAATAATAAGTGAAATAAACTAATAAGGCTTATAATAGTACCTACAACTACTACTACCTACAACACGTTTGGCTCAGTTTGTAGTGACCCTACTTGCTGTGCCAGCGGTTGCGAGTTCGAGTCCCGCTGGGGGCATTCATTTGTGTGGTGAGTATGAATGTTTTGTACTCCAGTCATGGGTATGTATTTATAATATGTATGTATTTAAAGTTATATTAACTATCTGGTATCCATAACACAAGCTTACCATGGAACTAGATGGTGCTGTGTGTTAATGGCCGAGCATATTTATAATTTATATATATTCCTTCATACTAACCGTTAAAACATACCTAGGTATGAACCCGAGGACCCCGCGTAAGTGCGAAGCCAAAATGAGTTAGCTAGTACATGTATAAAATTCAGATTGTATAGTCTTTAAATATTATGTCATTCATAAAATTCAAAATTCGTACTTCATTTATCTGAATAAGTAAGCTTTTACCTGACGTAAAGTCTCTCCTTCTTTCCATACACCTTGAGGTAAAATGGACTTCGTATCAGTTCCTAATTTCACTTGTGTTACAAGTACTAGATGTCTTTGAAGACACCTATTATTGGTGCTTTTATCACCTTTTTTATCTGCTTCTGCAAATAGTAAAATTAAAAATTAGGTTCATTACTAGTTGTCACATTAAGGTCTGCCTCCATAAAATGTTTTCAAAATACAAGTATTTGCTTTTAGTCATTAATTTAACAATAATTTATACCTGTTATAATATCTGCGAACTTAAACTGGGCCAATTCTTCATTAGACAAATCTTCAAAATCTTGAGCTGTTATTTTACTAACAGTATCTAAGTCTACGTCCGCATTTTCATTTTTAAGGAGTTCTGCTTGTATTCTAAAAATATTCATTATAAACAAACATTTAATGAAATAATTTATATTATTCAACTAAATGTTCAGTACATTTAATATACAAATGTAAATAATTAAAAAGGTGCATAAATATGTGTCGACTAACTTATCATTCTCATCTCTGATTTCATGATCGGATTTGAGACTTTTCTCGATTTCCATTTTCCATAGTAAATCTTTAAATTTCTTTTGTATTTCATTAAGAGGTGGTGTTACTACTGGTAATCTTTCCACGCATACACCAGTTACAATATCCCAAGAAGATAAAGCTGAAAATGTATGAAAATTATATTGAATCTTCCCAATCATTACACATTGACACAAAGAGAAAAATATAAGTACTTCACCTCGAAATAAAACTTTGTAGGTAATCCTCATTTCAGAATTTATAATTTGTTTTAAAAGCATTTTTTTAAATATTACTTAACTTTACTTTCTTAAATCATACACATAACCTATCATATAACATTCGTATTTCGTATTTTTCATGGATGACAAATAAAATATTTTGATTTTTGACAATCAATTGTCAAAACTATTGCCAATTGCCTTAAAGTGATACACAGATTGTAACAAATTCTAATCACATGGATAAGATAGATAAAAACAGTGAGAAACCACTGAATATTTGGCTTTAAAATTGTTCTTTGACTCTTTTAAATCTCATACATTCTAATCTTATTAATTTGTGCACTATTTAAATTAAATATTTTTACATTCAAATATTACCGAACACCATTACCGTATAACATTATCGATGCGCAGTAAAGAAATTTTCTCGTCGAGTGTTTCGATTATTTAATTATTCAATAAGATAAAAGAATTAATAATAAAATCGATTAATTATGTTTAAAACAGCTTATGTTATATATAAATACTAGCGGACCCGACAGACGTTGTCCTGTCTACACGTCTTTAATTTGAAAATTTCAAACTTTTTTTAATAATTTTTTTGATGAAAATTATTATTCAAATTGTGAATCTAAACCATTCCCAGATCCCCTTGAACACACCCAAAAAAATTCATCAAAATCGGTCCAGTCGTTTGAGAGAAGTTCAGTGACATACACACTCACAGAAGAATTATATATATAAAGATAATATAATATATACTGTAAACAAATGTTTATGTACGCAAGTTTCTGGAATAAATAGTTACCTATTTATGTTTTTATTGACTTAAATCTAATTATTTTTCTTATGTAGTTTTTATAGTTTATTAATTTAGTACACTGTTGAATTATCACATTTACTTTTAATTGTATAACATAAAAACATTGAAAAGTCATTATCAATATAAAATAAGTTATATGTATAATAAATATTAATTCAATTTTTACTTTACAAATTTATTCTTTTATAATCGAGTATAATCGATTTTTCTTGACAAAGCTTAATACCTGGCAACATCTTTCGATCTTTTCCGGCTTTAGGTGTCACTGAAAGTAAGCTATGAATGTTAGAAAATTTAAAAATCTAAATGAATCCTCTTGAAATTACGATATTTTTTGTGTTGTGATTTCGTTAACTTGAATTTATATGTGCGAAATTAAATTTATGATAATATTTCTCACTTAGATTAACAAAAACATAAAGCCCGTTGTCAAAGTTTATATAGGTTATGTTGATCTATGTCTTGTAATTTTAGGCCTCAGCATGAAGCAAATCGTTGCTAATCAAAAAGTGAAAATCCCTGATGGGTTAACTGTTCATGTGAAATCTCGACTAGTGACAGTGAAAGGACCTCGAGGAGTGTTGAAAAGGAACTTCAAACACTTGGCTGTCGACATTCGCATGGTAACCCCTCGATTACTGAAAGTAGAAAAATGGTTTGGATCCAAGAAAGAGCTTGCAGCAGTAAGAACTGTATGTTCACATGTTGAAAACATGATCAAAGGTATTGAAATTTTTATAGTTTGGTAATATCAGTATTATGAATACATTTACGATTAGTTTTCAATAAATGTATTATTAATGTAACTCAAATCTATATGTAATTCAGTTTCTAACTGTAAATGTGCTTTACAAGTCAGTGCATTGTTGTTATCATTCACCAATAAGCACTCCTAAATCTGGTTCTCTAGTAGCTTGTGCACTGCAAGTAATATATAAGTTTACGATAAAATATGTTAATTTTTTAAGTACATATCTTACTATTGAATTATATATTTAAGAAATCTTTTGTATCTGACCATATAAACATTCAATATTTTCTGTATAATTATTTATTTTAATATAATTGTAGGTGTGACAAAGGGATTCCAATACAAAATGCGTGCTGTATATGCCCATTTCCCTATCAATTGTGTCACCACTGAAGGAAACACACTTATTGAAATCCGTAACTTTCTTGGAGAAAAGTACATCCGAAGGGTAAAGATGGCTCCTGGTGTTACTGTTATCAATTCCCCAAAACAGAAGGATGAGCTTATTATCGAAGGTAACTCTCTTGAAGATGTTTCCAGCTCTGCAGCTCTAATCCAACAGTCTACGACTGTCAAAAATAAGGATATCAGAAAATTCTTGGATGGTCTTTATGTATCTGAGAAAACCACTGTTATACAGGATGAGATATAAGGACATTAAATTTGTAAGCTGAGTTTTCTCTTTTATTTAATCAAAATCCTTTATAAATAAGTTAAACTCATCTAGGTAATGTATTTAAAGTTTTTAGTATCAAAAATCTTATTGAACACTTTTTTAATATGAATATGATAACTTGTGCGGTATATATTTTTGGTTCAATTACATATACATTTAATCTTTTGAAGTCATTTTGAAAGCTAAATCAAGCTTATTATGTGTATTGCAAGTACATTTAGAGTGACAATAACATAAAAACAGATGTATGGATTATATACAATTATGTTATGTTCTGAGACTAAATAACAATATAGATGGAGCCCACCAATAAAAATATCAAAGTCAAAAATAGTAGAGTGATTTGCTGTTTATATTACTATTGTCGATTGTTGATTATGCCATACAGATTGTTTACTTTCTTATTATTGAATAATGTAATAATGGTAATTTTATATTGGTATCAATCAGTCCCTAATTTAGGATTTTTCAGAAGAGAATATAAATAAAAATATTTTTTTTTGTATTTTTATGCATTCATTCTGTACCCCTTGAAAGAAATATAGCGTAACAGTAGCTTACTTAATTTTTTCTTTATTATATGTAATGAAATCCCTTAGCTATTTTTATTTATTTTTTCACAGAAATAAGTATTTTATTAATATTTGACATTTGTTTTCTAATTTAATACATTGTTTGGCTTTACAATTAGTTCTATGACACTATTATTAATCCTTAGTGTGAGGCATATTTTATTACAAATATTCATAATATTTCATATAAGTTTGCCTTGCCTTGGTATGTACAAACTCTACACCTGATTAAGTATCATTATAAAGAAAACATCCCTGTTATGAAAATACTTTTTGTCCCTAGTCTTTCTTGAGGAAAACCACACTACTTAAACATTTTAGGAAAACTATTATATATTTATTAAGAGAAATAATTTTGAAGCATATTCCAACTAAAACTAATAATATCAATTATTTAATACAATGTACATATTAGATTATTAGGTACTCTTTTTTTTGGCAAGGGGTTCTATTGGATGGTTTTCTAATTGTCTTTATTCTCAAACCTCAATCACTTGTCTTCTTTTTAAAGAGTTCCCTGGTTTTATTTTAAGTCTTATGTCAAAACCATTGAAATTAAAATGAGACTCGATAGATATCTATATAGATAATAGTACCTGGGCGAACGAGCTTCGCTCGGAGTTTTTTTTGTTATATCGTCTTTATAAGATAAAAAAAAACTAAAAACTTGAATAAATACAAAAGTAAAAACTTTGTATCCGACCGGGATTCGAACCTGGACACTTGTGATGCTTATACCCGAGCATGCAAGTTGGCGATTATTTTCCGTGGAATAATGCGAAAGAAAATCTCATGAAAACTCAAAAACGCGTTTTCCCAGACAAGACTAATCTAGATCAATTTTTTCGCCCCCGAAAACTCCCATATAACCAAATTTCAGCGAAATCGTTAGAGCCGTTTCCGATTATAAATAAATATACAAGAATCACTCGTTGTAAGGTATTAGATTAAAGTGATTGTATCATAAAATCATTTCACTAATTAGTAAAGAATCGCATTATTAGTCGAAATAAAAAAAAAATCGTTTATTTAGAAAAAACGAAATAGGCCATATTAGGGTGGTAAGATTTCATCGCATCTGCGGGAATAGTAACATAAGCTCCTGTAAAATTTGAAGTTGAACATTATGCCGCATGCGCTTTAGTGCTGTAATTGGAAAATAGGGAGTGTCGGGAGCATTCGTTATTGCAATAAATATGGCAACATTTTAATTCTTGTCTGAATGTATCATGTACCAAATATATTTTAATAGGTAAAAGGATATTTAAAGAAACAAGGGTGAAATTTTCAACGTAAATAATTTTATTCAAACTATTCTATTGAACATCACTAACTGATAAACATTGTACATCTGCAAATATGGGAGTTTGATAAAATGTTAAAATTAACTAGGTGTTAAAACATTATTAATACTTACATTTTATTAATATACACAAATTTAACACATTCCATTAATTTAATAGAATATCTACTTAGCACAATAAAATAAATAACTATTAAAACAATTCATCTTTATTTGTTAATACATCGGTGTAGATACTTAGAATAACACGACAGTCGACAAGGTATACACGCAAGTATCCAAATTACTTCATTTTATAAAATTCATTATAATAAATATATTACAAGCAGTGATTAATAAATGTATAATTATTTACATTACGTAGATCTTTGTGTGAACTACGACGAAACATTCATACATTTGTTAAGTAGTACATTGCCATTTTTTTTAATTCTGCGAAGAATATCTTTGGTAGTTAGAAAATACGCACATAAAAAGCTGTAGTAATGATGAAATAATAAAATAGAAAAATTTACAATATCATAGAATTTTATAATTTATAAAACGGTCATTTGTCATGTGAATAAAATATTTCCTTAAATTGAATTAACATGGCATACAATGTAATCATACACTCTAATAAATTAATTTAAGTACAAATAGTAGTTCATCGATTTTATAATAATTGTATTAAAATCCACATTGCACTTACAAATGTATATTAAACGTGTAAGATGCTCAAAAACTTCCTTAAGTGCTCGCGTAGTGCGTACAGTGCCATATTTGCAGATGGGCATCCTATTACTCCGTAAGAAAATAAAATTCTCAATAAATAAATGTCAAACACTATTCGGTGAGACATTTCACACCGTATAACACAATTTCTTACTATAAAAATGATCAACAAACAACTTTGCACCTCGCCTAAGTAAGTGATAAAGAGGATGTCGGTGTGCACAATGTCATGAGATTCAATGGCTACAATAGTTTGCCGCTTGAGCAAATAGTTGCGGTAGCGAGGCGTGGGCGGTCTTCGACGGCGGTATGAGCGTTCAGCCGAGACACCTCGTCGTGTTCACCATTTTTTTAATAATAAAAATGTGGCATCGATTATTATATATTTCGGCTATAAATAACTCGACAGACAGTCAGTGCCCGCCCACGACTGGCGACGCCTTAGTCTAGCCATGCAGGACTTGCGTGAGGTGGGTTCTACAGTACATAATAACTTTTATAACTAGTACAATTGTCATATTTCCGCATCATTCGGTGCACAAATGTTCGAGTTATTATAATCAGAGTACGTAAAGATTAATATATTTTAATGCTGAAAAATTCACAATTTACTCTAGCAATCTCTGAGTTAACAAATTAACACGAACAATATCATTTTAATTTTCTACAATATACAATTCATTTACATTAAATCGAAGCATATTATAAATGTTTTTGTCAATAAATAATTTTTTTAATTACACAATGCAAACATACTATGCCACAAATTATAATTGCTAGATTAAACATTAGCACAATAAACACAAGCGCAATGCAACGCGTACGCTCACTACGGTGAAAGCTCTGTATATCAAAACGGTTGCCTTCCGACTCGTGTACGTTCTTCCTAACTTGCTATAGGAAATCTACCGAGCGGTATGTATAAAATATAATCGTAAAAATCAATAGATTTTAACAATATGTGACTATCTACCGCGCTCACTCCTAAGGACCCGACGCGATATATTGCTTACATGAAGATTTAGAATTGGATTTCGTTTCACTGCTGCCCGATCACGTTTGGATCTGTTAATGTGACGCAATTGTAGGTATTTCACCATTATATATAAAGACTTTTTTATATATTTTTGTACGCCTTTTAATAATCTCATAGACAAATGTAGGGATTAAACTTATCAAATAACACTCCATAGATTTGTATAAAATTAAAACATTAAATAATAAATATTAAGAATATGGTTTATGTCAAATACCAGTTCAATTAAAAAAAGTAATTGTAGCAACACTTCTAACGAATTCCAGGTACATGGGATTTACTTTAGTAAACAAAATTTTAAGTTGTTAAAAATAATAAAGTAATACCTTAAAATATTCATCAATAAATAAATACAAAGATAAACTAATGCAGCGTAAATTTCCAAATTATTGTAAGCCATGCCATCATGACTGATAATAACATAATAAATTATTAGGCATTTGTTACTATTTTATAGGTGTTATAAATCCTTTATTTAAATCACATTTGCACTTTCTGAAAGCATATCACTTATGGCGAATCCCATCTATCTAAAGATTAGAAATTTGACATAATTTGTATGGCATAAAGTTTATATCAAATATCTATGTATCGACGACTTGAAGCAAGTCGGGCAGGCATGTTGTGTATTGTGTGCAAGCTTACTGCACTACGCTGCTTAGGGTTCCGCTGTTGTATTTAATGAGTCTCACAGTCCCCTGCCCGTCACGGTCGGCAGTGATCCATGAAGGGTTAACCCAACTATAAAAAAATTAATAATAAACGGTGGTCGGGCAGTGCATATCACAGTCCCCTGCCCGTAGTCGGCAGGGACCCCATGAAGGGTTTTCCCAGCGAAACAAAAAAATAAAAAAAGGGTGGTCGGGGTGGTCGGGCAGTGCATATGGCACGGGGCGGTTACAGCGGGTCGCGGCGCGGCACCCACACGGTGGGCCCGCTCTCCGCCGTGATCACTGCCTTCACTTTACCGTAGATCTCCTCCGGCGTGTCGCCTGTCACTACCGCTGGAATGATAATAATTATAATTATGAGAGAGGTAATTCTCGCGTCCGTAATTTTTTTGCATTGGTGTAAAGAGTAAAATAATGTGCATGAAACGCTTAAAGCCTTTAACTTATTTAAAAATTAATACCGTGTTTGTGTAAATAACTTTTATATTACCGCATTATAATTGCTAATTTTTTAATCAAACTTTACTTTTAAGAAATAAAACACATCTTTTATTGTTCCATATCAACGTTACATTTGGACCAAAAAAATAGGTTATTTATTGGGGTTTCCAGTCATAAAAATCCTCAATAGCGGGCTAAAGGAAAAGGGTTATCCAGTATGGTATATGAGATTGAAAGGATAAGTAATGCATTTGTGTTTGCGTAGACACTGAATGTATGAACAATATACATTATAACTGTAGCCACCATGACAGAAATCTGACAGAAGGACCCGTTATATATTTAATGTTCATATTAATCTCGTTTACCTGTAAAATACTCAGCGAATTCTTGCTCCATCTTTAGAGCACGTTCGTATGTCTTCTTAGCTTGATCTTCGGTCATTCGCTTCGTCATTTCCCTGTAATTTTAATTTAAAATTACATTACATAATTAAAGAAGTAAATTATTTTATCATAATAATTATGATGAAAATAAAACTTACATAATAGATTCTACACTCTTTGGTTTAATAAATATGGCAATAGGGTAGAGTTGCGCCACTTGTAACCTCTTAATGGCGTTACCGCTTACATCCAAAATGCAATGTTTGCCCTGGAAAAAAAGTTCACACATTAATTGTCTTGATACCAGAGACACCGAGCTTGAAAAGGAATACCTATATACAATAAACTTAAAAAGTAAAAGTTTCAGAGATACATAAAATAAATTTATATATGTAGTCGTATATACAAGTATTTGCTCGTTTAATATAATAAAATACAACGTCATGAACTAAACATTATTGCAAGCAACCTATTGTAGATATTTACGTCTTACATTTTACAAAAGTTCCGTTGCATGATATGTAGACAGAGAAAGGCGCATGGACACTCGCAACTTTTATTAAAAACACTGATTTTAGGGAAGTCGCCACTGCCTAAAATCAAGGACAGGCAGGATCGGAAGTCAAACTGAACTGTTTCGTCTGTCAAAACAAATAAATAAATAAACGGGTTTCTTTAACTTTTTCCCGTAATTAATAGTGAGTATTTTTGTTTAGCATTTTCGTTTTTTTTTCTTCAAGTTTTAAGCTTCTCTCCTTTTTACCACCTCCGTTGTAATTGGAATAATAAGTATAAAAAAATCACCTTTTTCATGCTGTGTTATACGGACAGACCCTATAAAACTAAATAAGTAAATAAATACCTTCTCAGCAACTTCTCTAACAGAAGCGACTGAAGTCCCGTACAGGTTCTCGTTGTACTGCCCCGCCTCTATGAACAGATGGTTCTGAATGTCGCGCTCCATTTGCTCGCGGCTGCCCACGAAGTGGTAGTCGCGCCCGTCCACTTCGTAGTCGCGTCGTGGTCGCGTTGTGTCTACGAGATGATAAATATATATTGTAACATTAACACACAGCACCATCTAGTTCCATGGTAAGCTACGAGGCTTGGGTTATGGATACCAGATACATGATACACTACACATATTATACAACTTTAAATGCATACGTATTATAAATATAAACACCCATGCCTGGAGTACAAATATTCGTGCTCATCATACAAATGAATGCTCCCAGCGGGACTCGAACCCGCGACCGTTGGCACAGCAAGTAGGATCTCTACAAACTGAGCCAAACGCGTCGTCAAATCGATGACGTCGAGTCGATGATGACTTTGTTATTCTTGTGATATATCTAAACTTTATATTTGACACGTTTGGCTCCAGTTTGTAGTGACCCTATTATATAGGATATTTTTTATTGCGGGAAAATATCTCATCTCTGAGAAATCTATATTAACGTTAAAACGTAACTAGCGATGAACCCGAACGGATCGAGGGTGAGTCGCTAGTATTCAATATAAATAACACGTCATGTGTATATAAATGTATCATAAATCATAATCCTATTGGTTGGATGAACATGGTTGGTAGTTTTAGGAGGGATCAAGCTGTATCTGTTACTCACGAGGCACGCAGCTTCCGAATTTGTCGGGAAACTCAGATATCAGGTCATCATTGATCCTATCCTTCAAGGGGCCGAGAATAATGACTGGTCGTGTGTAATTAATCGTCAACTGTTGGACCGTTTCATATGACAAAACCGCTTCATCTTGACCTGTAAACATAAAATTAACATTTAAAAAAACTTAACGCTTTAAATAGGCACTAGCTATAAGTCCCGATGCACTATACTATTTGAGACTTGTGTATCGGACCTTATGGGTCTTGAAAAATATTATCAAGTAAATCATTGCTCATTGTAAGCTACTATGATACCGAATCACTATTTTTAGCAACAATTCCTTGGAACACAAAAATAATATATGTACTATGTTTTTCAATAGATTTAAGCTTTGGATTAATCGTGCATCGTGCTCTATGACTAGTTGCTATACATATTTACTAACAAGATCTATGTGTGAAATAATATCTGTAACATTTTTGGTGCAAATATACGTACATTTCGTAGTTTTAGCTATAAAATATAATATTATTTCATATGAAACGTTTGTGCTATAAGCATTGTACATACAGTTGGATCATCAAAGTATTAAGAAAAAAATCTAGCCTTACAAACTAATATATCAATAAAATTTGATGATCTAAATGTAATTTTGTTTTCTTATGAACCATATATTATAATAGTTGTCTAGATAAACTTATAACTAAATTTAAAATACCAAATTATATCTAGTTTAACTACAACAATATTTTGTAAACCTACCTACTCTACTAAAACTTGAAATATCAAATTGTACATAATATACATAGTAGGTATGTTTTCTAATGTCATCTTTCAATGGCCGCAAAAATCTTACCTTGTCCTCGGTACGTCTCATATTTAAAAAAAAATATATATGAAAGTATTTAACGGGAACTAAATAAATCGTGTCAAATTAACCTTGCCTTTAAATGGATCGAATCAGCGAGTAAACAACATGCTTCGCAAAATCATTAACATATGATTGCAACTAAAGTGAACCGTTCCAAACTAACCAGGATTAAAAACTATGCTTGACCTAAAAAAGGTATTCACCGACTGATAGAAACAAACTAATTAATTCTGGCTTATAGTTTCTATGCTCGAAATCTCACGTCTGTACATTCTCTTATTTGCGTCAGTTAAAAAGCTAGTAAAATACAGCGTTTCTAAAACTGTGAAGCGATATAAAATCTACATTCCGAAATAAATTCAGCACAACAAATCTGAAAAAAACTTAAAAAGCCCGTATGAGATATGTTTGAAAGTATACGGTGTCGGGTGTACATGCTCATGGCGATGTAATGTCTATTGGCAAAGCGCATACGAGTGCGAACTGTGAGCATGCGGCGCGTAAAGCGTCGACTAGTGTGGCAGAGGCGGCTCTCGTGTCCTCGTGTGCTTCCAGTGGCCCACTCTCCCTTCACAAATTAATAATGACTATCTCTCATCTCGTATTTAGATTTTACCTACATTTAAAGGGTATTTAAACAATGTAAATTCCATATCGAAAATTCGTTGATTGTTAATTAAGAGATGGATTGCAGTCGACATTCGCGCAACTTTCGATATGGAGCTTACGCTGCACATTCTGATAGCATTGCGCCGACGGCCCGTCGTTCAGACTAGAGAGCGCGACGTGACTAATATGTGAGTGAATCAAACTCTGGGTTCGATGTGATATAATCGTGTGCGTAGCTATTAGAATCATCGCGTTGTATGAATTAGAAAAAAAAAACTAAACATAAACATATGACAAATAATAGAAAATCGAGTGTTATTGAAATGGAAACTACATTTCTAATTGATGATCATAACCAGAATGCGGGAGATAAGGTATCGGCTACTGCACTCGCAAGCTACGCCTCACTCCCAAAACTTACTCTCGTCCTCGAGATAAATGAGCGTTATCTCCTCCATCATGGGAAGTTCCACTCGGTACAAGATTTCCCCTATACGTAGAAAAATTCACGTTACATATATTTAAAAACATTGCATTGCGCAAATGGTCCGTTTCATGGAGAAGATCTAAGTGGGAGACTAGCGTCTGACAGGTGGGTATTAGACGGGGGTGATAATGTGCTCGTGGTATCGAGTCTGTGGTAGGTCGGATCATGATGACAAGCTCACGAACATAAAGAGCAAATAAAAGTAATGTCCGATCGTCGATAGGATGTTAGGTGCGGTACGTTCGCTCCAGTAAGGCAACTAGAAGCACGGGAACGGCCGAACGTGAGTCAAACCAAACCGTGTGCTCGCTGTGACCGAACTGGCCTCTACGCCTACGCGAAACATAGAACCGATGCTACGCAGGTAGTGGTCGGACACTTTCCGATACTTTTACTACAGCTTCATAATATTATTAAAAATTCAGTATTAATAAACTTTTTATTCGCATATATTTTTCAGATAACATTATGTTAGTTTCGACTAATATATTATTATGAATTCACTCTTTTAATAAGTCATTTTTCTTGTGAAAACAATGATTTTATCAAAATTTACGTTTATTTTAAGAATTTAAAGACTCTTTCGTTTTCCTTTAAAATGACTTTAGCTTTAGAGCGGTTAGTAAATCCCATGAAGTACCGATAGTGACTATTCAAGCTTCCGACCACTAGTTATATACCCTAATCACACAACCGCACAATGATTAACAAAAGAAACCTAATGAGAAACATCTCCTATCGAAAATGAATTTAAAAAAAAAATATATAAGTTACTTCTCTGAATGTTTACACGGATTGCAAATACGTTAAACTTTGAACTAGAACTATTTCAGTTGTATTTGTTGCATTAAAACTTCATAATCTAAAATATAATAACATTTTAGGTCAAAAGAAAACAAATAAAATTCAAAACACATTAGAATACAAGTAAATAATTTTGCAGTCCGTATACTATAATGTGAAAAGAAAAATATGAATTAGCAAAATATAAAAACAACAATATAAATTAAAATTCGCTTAATGTACCGTACGGTTATGTAATTAGCCATATAGTTGCTATAATAATTATGAACCAGAATAGGTAACATAATTAGTCTTTGGGCCGCGTACACCATTTTTAAAGCAACAGTCATATTACACATATACTTGGTCCATATTACTAAAAATTCTATAATTAATTATGAAGCATTATCATGCTTTCCATAGACACTACAAGCGTTAATTTACTCACACAGATCCAATTTTAAATAACAACAAGATAGTATAAAAACCAATTGACTAAATACATTTTATATGTATCACGGAGTAACAACTTGATCTCATCGTACACGACCTAATAACTCTAAATATATGGGAAAACCTACATCTCAGACAACTTCTTACTTATATACCAACAGACCGTGTGCAGTAGTTATATATAAGTCATAAGATAATAACATATCACGTAACGTATACAGTAACAGTGATATATGTATAAACAACGCGTTAAAATATTTTAATGGTTAGAAAAAGCACACAGCTTCGATTAAAACATTTTTTTAAAGTGATCAATATTAGCAGCCGAATGAAAAGTTGCGTACTAGCGTCGAAATCTTATCGATCCGAATAGATTAAAAATTCATTGTAAAAATTGATTTTTAATTAACTACACGTTCTTGTCATTTTTCTTACATTTATCTTATTAATAATTAACGTATAAAATGGACTTAGTAATTTGAAATATGAAGCCAAGTCTGATAAAATACATAGATGTTGGATGTTACATGTAATATTTGTATTCCCAATAAAGTATATTCACTAAACGTTTCCAAAGAAATGAATAAATATGGATAAATGAAACATGTTATTCAATGAAATTAAAATCTTATCTGTAATCAAATCAGGACGTCGAGATCGATAAGAAAACGTCGGGCTATAATGACCTACATACGAACAGCAGAATAGCGAAAGTAATATATATGTATATTATATAGATGAGTGACTCACCGTCCGCGTTAGCATCCTCTTGCGTGTAACAAAGCATGAAAGCTGTAACAAAATCGTATATTACAACTTCCATATCCATATCACCGTGAAAGTGCAAGCCTTAGCCCGGATTCAGAATATACAAAAAAATAATAAATTAAAATAATTTACACATTATCATATACACGTGATTCATTTAATGTTCTTATAGATATTATATTACAATTGCTAAAGTATTTTTTAGTTGTCATTTTTACATAATTAAACCATTGATTGACATAAAAAAAACGATAGTGTCGTGGGACACCCGGTGAGAACGAAGTTCCCATCGCTGTCTACCTTGGGCACATAAATTAGGTCATAAAAATTGTCACGAGTACTAGGGTGTCATAAACATCAAGCAACGTACTTTGTACATGTTGAATCTCATCGAAACCGAAATGGAAAGATTCCAGATTTCTAGATTCCATAACATTTATGATCGCCTGGTACTTATGATGACGTCAAAGGGGTGATCTTCTATACTAATATTATAAAGAGGTAATGTTTTTGAGTTTGTGACGTTGTAGGGGGTAATCTCTGGATCTACTGAACCAAACGATTTAAATGAAATTTGTTAAGAAAATAGTTTGAACCCTGGGAAGGATACTTTTTATCCCGGAAATTATCCCTTAAGGGGGTGATAATGGGGGATGAAAGTTTGTATGGGGAATCAACCATGTAGTAAAGTGTCGTGACGGTCGAAATTAAACTTTTTTTAATGTGCGAGTGTGCCGAGTATAACTTGCGTTAAGGAACTTCGTTCTAAAACTACATAGGATTTATTTTGTTCCTAATATGAATTAAGGACGCGCCTCAGCTAAGTAAGATAAAGCACGTGTCTAATTTCCTACTTTAGAAAGTATAGTTTGAAAAATGGATATACATATAATATAAATATTTTTTGTTTAGTAATAACTACTATATTCTATTTTATACGTAGAGTACTAAGTTATCAAAAAGCCACCTTTTTTTATTCAATATAGCTTTTCTTTAAACAAGTTTCTGAATTCGAGCAAAGTTATTGGTAGATTACCAACACGTGTGATATAGTAGCGTGTCAATAGCGATAGTATTCGAAAGTAAATTATACATACAGGATAGATATAGGGAGCTTTTTTTATCGCCAATCTGTCTATAAATAATTATTATATTAATCTATACTCATAATCAACAAACAAGTTAAAAGTTAATATGAATTTTCATGTACTCTCATCACTTTAATTGAACTCCTGTACGTTTTTAAAAGTGAAATGACTGAGAACATATGGCCAAGAATATATACATATAGATAGAAAATCAATCAATTATAATATTAAAAAAAAACTTGTCATGTTGTGACTATTATTAATTATTTCTTAATGTTAGAAACAAAAAATATTATGAAAAAAATTATATTAGTTTTCTATTATATATTTAGTATCAAGTATGGCATATTTATTGCATTTAGTTTGTTAGATGGTACTATGTACTTACGCTCTTGGTCCGAGCCGTCTTCAGATTTGCCGTCTTCTCGGCTCTTCATGAACGGAAATTTTCTGCTGAATGATAATGTTTTCTTTTTCCTTTCCAACGTTGATTGACTCTAAAAAATATTAAGTCTCATTTTTAATACTTTCTTAGATTTTCGCGAATATTTGACATTTTAAATAAAACTATCTTTTCGGATTATTTCGCGGATTTATTTTGATTTTTGGTTCCCGACGTTTCGAAGGGTTTACAGCAATTATGTTCACGGGAGAGACTAAGGTTTTAGACGTCTCAAAGGCGTTATATACCTACTAGGCGTTATAATATATAGGCGAAAAGATAGCTTTATTTAAAAAGTTTTATTTTTATTGAATATGCATTATATACATATTATGTATAAAATTACCAATATGGAATAATAACAAAAAAAATACTTTATAATCTTTTCAGCAACTTAACTATGTAAAAACACACCTAACACGTTAATAATATTAAATATACCCATTATGAAATCAAAATGGACTAAACATTTTATTTTGATTATTACTCGAAGTTATTTCTGTAATGGAGATTTATAAAATAATTATATTAATATTGATATAAATCAAGGAATAAAACGTGCTCTCTAAAATTCTAGCGATAGGTTGTTAGAGTAGTTCACTTAATAAGGAGACGCGGAATGAGCGCGATTAATTTTTGATTTGATTTCCCATACAAATGAATCTCCAATGTTGATTCCCAACACAAACTTTCATCCCCTTAAGGTATGATTTTCGGGATAAACACAACCCTATGTCCTTCCCAGGGTCTCAATCTGTCTTTTTACCAAATTTCATCTGAATCTGTTCCGTAGATCCAAAGATTACCCCCTATAACGTCACGAACTCACAAACTTTACCTCTTTATAATAGTAGTATATTTATGACAAAATGAAACAAGTTAAAACTAAAAGTGTATGAGGGGACTAATAGTATTACCGTGCTAACGGGCGTGCCCTGCCCCTGGAACTTGACCTGGCGGTCGCGCGCGCGCTGCTTGCGCTCCCAGCGCCGCTTCGACGGGATGATGCCGATCGCCTCCGGGTCCGTCGTGTCCAGGCGTCTGGAAACAATGTATTGCTATCGTTAAAAAAATGCTAAAAACATTTTAATGCTAGAAAAATTCTAAATTACAGTTCATTTTTTTTTAAATATAACTATCTTTTCAGATTTTTTCGCGGATTTATTTTGATTTTTGATCTCTCCCGTGATCATGATTGCTGTAAAACATTTGAAATGTCGAGAACCAAAAATCAAAATAAATCCGCGAAATAATCCAAATAGATAGTTTTATTAAAAATGTCAAATATTCGCGTAAATCTAAGAAAATATAAAATTTTAATCAATTAATTATTTATTGCTCAATTTAAAAATATTAAATAGCATATATAAAACAGAAAAATAATTTGAATATAATAACGTCATTATTTGTTTACCGTGTAATTTTATTACCTACCGTGCTTGCCACCACTCGTCGTCCGACGCGTTGGTGACGTGCAAAATATCTCCGTAACGGAACGGCAGCCCTCGGGAAGGTAAGCCGTCATCTCTAATCGGATCATAGTCAAAAAGCGCTCTGCAAATTTAAAGAAAAATATGTTATATTTTTATTCAATGTTACTCCAGCAAAAACAATAGGCATCCATTAGAGAAATTAAAATATACTTTTAACGTCATAAATTAAAATTAAACAATTAAAACTAAATATGCAAAAGTAAAGTAAAGGTGTATGTTTTTTAAATAACCTACTTTTTAACCGACTTCCAAAAAGAAGAAGGTTCTATGTTCGCCTGTATGTACCTTTTTTTTAAATATTAATATTGGATATTATTAATATTACATTAATATATTATAAAAACAAAATCTTTACATATAATAAATTTGTAACTGAGCCGATTCTGTACATAAAATATTTTTTGGATTTTTTTATTGAAATAAACGTTATTATCGATACAGAGGCAGCATCAATAGTTTTAAGAATTTTTGTCTGTCTGTTACAGCATCACGGAAAATCCACTGGAGGGATTTTCCGTCATGGGAAGGAAAAAAAGTGGTGAGGGAGGAAAAAAAACGTAAGTATTCTACGAACCCGAGTGTAGCGAGGGTGAGTTGCTCGTTTGTAATACAAATTGTTCAAGGGTAAAATATTTCGTACCTGACATATAAAGACCGTTTCTGGGATGTTCTTAGTAGTGTATGGTGTTGTTTGAGTTCATTGATTCTAGCTTCAAACTTGTTGTATTCCTGCGGCCTGTACACTACGGTCAGCTTCACGTTTTGACCTGTACTCTGTGAAAATAAACTTATAATTTAACATGTACCATACACTTAATGTTAACATTGTTAAATTAAAATGAAATTTTGTTAATTGGTGAGGGCATCATAAACAGCTAGACTATACTATCTATACTAATATTATAAAGATGTAAGGTTTGTAATTTTGTATATAGGGGGCAATCTGTGAAACTACTGATCCTATTTTGAAAATTCATTACTGCGCAGTGTACTTGCTGTCAGAAATAATTATAACACTAATTGAAATTGGAAAAAAAAAACTGGCTGTTGATTTGCTTTATCGGCGTGGGCTGCCTTAACTGTTTGAAATAGCAATAAAAGCAATAAAATATATAGCAATAAGACGGGGCGGGATTCGGGAACCACCTGAGCGAAGCGACGGTAAGTCGCTAGTGACTTATATTTTCTTAAACGTTCGTAAAAGTTTGATTAGAGACTTGGGGAAAAATTGGGAAATTTGGAAAAAAATGAAGTCTCTATAAGTAGAATATCTTTCTATTATAGAATTCTATTCATATAACCTAGTTTCAGCATATTTCTTTAGTCAAATATTTTTTATAATATAAAAGACATTATCTAGATTATAATTTTGTTTAAGTACTAGCGTCTCACCCTCGCTTCGCTCAGGTTCGTGCCTTGGTAATTCTTTAAATTGACATAACTTTTTTATTTATGAACCAATTCAAATAAAACAAAAATAAAATACTAAATGTTAAGTGAAGCTTACTACTTTACATAAGTGAAAACTGCACCCAAATCGGTTAAACCGTTCTTGAGATTAGCACGCAAAACACACAGAAAAACAGACAAAAATTCTAAAAATCATTGTTTTGGATTCTATTGCGTTAATAAAGACCCCCATAATCGTTTTTCTCAAATATCTTCCATGTACAGACAGAGATCAGTCACAATTTTATTATATGTATAGATATACAACACCATAGTTAACACTAATATAATTAACATACAAATACAATGCAAATAAATGCAACTAATAATTATTATATTATAGTAAATAATATTTTTCTTGCAGCATACTAAGCTTATGCGTTAGCTAAAAAAACTTTAATTTCTATTGCTCTCTATAGTTTGCTGGTATAGTCTAGGAATTGAATAGATCGACTTAGAATCTTTTACCTTTATTTAAATGTTAGTTACGAAAGTTTGCACCCGCCTTAATAGTGTAATATAAAATATATTACCTACCTATATTTTATATTACAATTACCTAAATTGACATTATTAGTGTTATTTTTTTAATATAACTATAACACTATTGACTTCTTGCCATAAACAAATTTAAATTAGTTGTTTAATTAATACAATTATACAGTCACATACGCGAAATGACTCATATGAATGATTTTTAAATAGGTCTCTGTTAATATGCAATTCAATTAGCCTTCTGTATAAAATACGCCACAGTCATGTCTAGATTTAATCAAATTGTATGTATAAACGATTATGTAAGTTTTTGTTTTTAAAACAAATTAACCATTTAAGCGACTAGATTTGAGTTTTTTGTGATTTCAATGAACTTTTACTCTTTAGAAATACATTATATATGTTATATAGTTATGCTATGAACGCATGAGACAGTGCATAAAAGTAAAAAAAAAAACAACATATAAATGGAATTAACATTCAATTACATTTAGAGGTTTGATTTGAAATTTAAGGATATTTTTGATACACCAGCCAGTTATATTTGACATATTTTTGAAATTATGTGCTGATGATCATTACACGATCTTAAATAAACACTGCAACGCCCTGTACATGAATAAAAACGTATTTTTTTTCTTTATTTTTTTATAGATTTCGAATAGATATTAGATTGTTTTTATTGCATCTAATAGATTCACACAAACATTGGGATAGTCACGTACGTTTGACACTAGCGATGCGTTCGTGAGCGGCATACATATTAATTAATATGAGGCTAGCAGCTAGCTTATTGATTTTCTCTTCCTCATTGTTTAGATTGTTATTCAAATACAGAATATGTGTCATAGTTTCATAAACTAGGACGCATACATTGTATTTTCGCAACATTCTTTAGAAGTTCATAAAATGTGAGGTATCTCTACGCGATTGCAATAGTTTGCAAGTTATATTTTATAGAAATAAAAGTAAGTCTATTAAGTTTTTTTAAGATATTAAAATTATCAGAATTATTTTACGAATTGTTATACATATCTATACTTATTATAAAAATAAGTCCCCCGGCCGCGTCTTTCTGTCCTCCTGTCTGTCTGTACGCGATAAACTCGAAAACTACTGAACGGATTTTTATACGGTTTTCAACAATAGAAAGAGTAATTCTTGAGGAAGGTTTAGGTATATAATTTATTATGCTTTTATGTAAATTAGCTGAAATACGGCGACAAATGTTGAAGAGGTCGCAAAAAATCTCGCCAAATGGGAACTTTCCACGCGAACGCCGCGTAAACTAGCAAAGATACAGTTAAGTAATGTACTAGAGAATTCAAAATCTATAAAAATGCTACAAAAAAGTCCGCGATAGCATATCTCTATCTCTTACGGTTGACTTACAATAACCACTTTTATGTTAACATTTTTAATTAAAAACATTACGTTATTTTCAAAGTTATTTTCTTTAGTTCGGTATTAATCCTTATCCAAATGAATATTTTAGTTAGCTTAGTCATTTAATGCAGATTAAAATTGCTCTTTACACTAAATCAATCAGATGAATAGTTTTTGAGATATCGTTGTTAGAAGTAATTAGTAGCGAAACATTTTTAATGCTTGGCGAGCATTGAGATGCCTACGGCGAGTCCATCCCCTCTGCCCCGCATCGCTCGACCGCCTGCTCAAGCTATATAAACCGGGCGATGTAGCGCGCGATCCTAGGATACTTTTTACCGCGGGAAAATATCTTATTTCTGAGGAAAAATACAAAAACTGCAATGTAAGAGTATACTAATATGTAACACCTAAGAATTTAGTTTTTGGTCATCTGAACGCGGGCGGAGCCGCGGGCAATGCTAGTTTCTGTATAATTTTAATGGTGTCAAAGTTGTGTTTACTTTATTTTGAAACATCATGGTTATAGACTGTTATGGATTAGAGTTTAGACTTTTTCGTCTGTCTGTTTGTCTGCTAAATCGCGCGTCATTCAGGGACTGAACTATTTTCAATGAGACTTTATCTTTGCCACTAAAATATACTCGTATAGGAGAGATATGCTCATCAAAACACCACATCACATCCATGGGAGGGATCCATGGGAGGGAGCATCAAAGATATAACAGATCTCAATCTACTTCCTTTCTCTCCCATTTCTTTTTCCTTTATTCCTTAGACATCAAGACGCGATTATAACCAACTATATTGCGAGCATACTTAAGACTATACTTCCTCTATAATTGCCATCTTTAAGGAACTTTGTACACTTAAATAAAAATATATATGATTGCTATAAAGCATTGGAAACGCCGGGAACCAAAAATCAAAATAAATCGGAAAAAACTTTGATAAGATAATTTCATTTAAAATCTATACTAATATTATAAAAAGGGTAAAGATTGTGAGTTTGTATGTTGTAGGGGGTAATTTCTGGCTCTACTGAACCGAATTAGATGAAATTTGTTAAGATAGTTTGAGACCCTAGAAAGGACATAGGATACTTTTTAGTCCGGAAATCATCCCTTAAGAGGGTGAAAATGGAAATGAAAGTTTGTATGGGGAATCAAGCTAGGGACAAACCTGAGCGAAGCAAGGATGAGTCACTAGTGTCAAATATTTGCGTAGATCTAAGAAAGCATAATGTGAACTTCGTACTCTACAAACCTTGAGAGCCTTGGCAGCTTGTTCATGAGTGGCGTGGGTGATATCCACATCATTGACGGCGAGCAGGCGGTCGCCGCGCCTGAGTTGCGCCGAGCGTTCCGCGGGCCCGCCGGCCAGCAGGAACGACACGTATATACCGTGCCCGTCTTCACCGCCCACGATGTTGAAGCCCAGCCCTTGAGGGCCCTTCTCTAGCTCCACCACGCGGGTCTCGTCGCCGCCGTCCGTCACGTCCTCGCGCCGTAGAGAGTTCGCCGTGCTTGATGCTGGAAACAAGCACATTATTCACATAACTGAGCATTTTTACAGTGTAAAAATCCATGCAATTGATCATCTTTGACCTTAACCGAAATACCGTTGCTAATGCTGTCAATAATACCAATTGACAACCATAAAGGCGTTTCCCGACTGCCATATAATACTTTTAAGTATTTACAGTTACCTATATTAATTATTAACAGTCGTCAGTGCCGGTGAGGCGCAAATTGTCTGCCTACACACACACACATCTTTAGCAGTCTTTTTGCAATATTTGCATAGATATCCTATAAGAACTTTTGCTGTATTAAGCTTGATGTACTGGGATAAAAATTATCTTATATACTTACCCTATACATACTTTTGTAACCTAAATATTTAATTTATAAGAGAAAAATTTATATCTGTTACAGGCAATCTGTATAATTCAGGTATTCTATACAGAACCTAGGCAATATATAGAATACGTCCAGGCAATGTATGAAATATTATGAAAATTATTGTCCCTTACGTACTTTATCAACGTAATATATACAATTCCAAGGGATTTTATAGAGTACCTGCAGGTCCACCAGCAATGTGTAAAATAAGTACATTTTGGTTCAAAGCGGTTCTGATGAAAAGAGCCGGCGAGAAACTCAACATTCTATTATCTTTCTATTGAATCCCCTATCCAATAATATCACTCACTTCCCCAGAGTAAGTCTCTTCATTCCCTCCTTTCGACTTTTACGCACCGGCTACGTATTCGGTATAGTATAGAATACCTAGGCAAAATACAAAATAAATAATATTTCATACATTAAGTTAAACGTTTTTGGTATTCTATACATTGCCTAGGTATTGTATAGAATACCGGATTATACAGATGGCCGGTAACATATACATAATATGTATATATATACATTAGTCTCTGAAGACTAAAAGAAATATTTAGCTACGTCCAGCAAATCGGGCGGCTGACTGCTTGTAACAATATTTAGTAGTATATATATAAAACCTACGAGTATTGGCTCTGGAAGTCCTAGGCGAAGGCTGTCCGTGGCGCGGGCCGGGTATGAGCACGAGCAGGACTCGCTCGCCTGACGCTTTCAAGGCGCTCACCGCGTCTTCGTGGGTTACGTTGTCTAAGTTTACATCACCTTTCTGTTAACAAACATATTTTGAAGATAAGTTTGGCTCAGTTTGTAGTTTGTACTTGCTGTACCAGCGGACGCGGCTTCGAGTCCCGCTGGGGGCATTCATTTGTGTGATGAGCACGAATGTTTGTACTCCAGTCATGGGTGTATGTATTTAACGTATTTAAAGTTATATATGTATAGTGTATCAACTATCTGGTATCCATAACACAAGCCTTGCAGCTTACCATGGAACTAGTTGTTGCTGTATGTTAATGGCCTAACATATTTATATATTTATATTAAAATTTTATTCTATTATTCATCTCACGCATTAATTCAGTTTTTTAATTTATGTTCACTTATCGGACTAATATAAACAGTAGTACATTCCCAGATTGGTTTGATTTACAAAACAAACTATTATAATTTTCTTTTACATCCTTTGTATACAATATTTCCAACTTTGAGGCAAAATAACATTGTCATCAAACTTTGACACATGTATTACACTACATGATACAATCCCAAAGAATTAAAATTCATATAAATAAAAAGAAACAGTAAAATACTTACAGAGGTATTTTTAACCATAAGCAATTTATCCCCAACCCTTAATCGTCCATCCCTATGCGCTGCGCCTCCTGCCATGATCTTTGTGACGTATATCCCATTATCGCCCGGTATGTGCTGGTTCCCGACACCACCGGCTATGCTGAACCCTAGTCCTGAACCACCTTTCACTAATTCAATCTCTACAGCTTCCTCTTTATTTGATATTTGTGATACGTTTAACGTGTCCTCGCCGCCTGACGTTGGCCGACGCCTTACTTTCTGCAACATTTAAAATATGCAAATGCCCAATTATACAACAATATTAGAATATAATATGCCAGTGCTGTACAGATAACATATAAGTTTCACTAACCAGTCTTACTGTACTGCCTGCCTTTTTTAATGCATCTACTGCTTCTGCATGTGTTACATTCTCAACTGACGTGTCATTAACCTAGATAAAAAATACAATATAGTAATGTAGACTTGATAAAAAAAGCCTGTGTTAAATAGAGCATTAACCAAAAATCATAGTATAGTCTAGACTAGATTAGAAATCATGATACCTGTAATATTGCGTCATTGATTTGCAGTTGACTGGCCGCCGCGGCCCCACCGGGTATGAGTTTTGTGACATAAATAAGCGGGTCATCGGCAATGTGAGGGTTATCCGAGCCTCCTGCAATACTAAAGCCTAACCCGGCGCCGCCCGCACGGGAAAGCACTACGGTTAAGTATATAGAGCCATCATCACCAACTGTACGCTCCGACCCGCCTTCTATTCCGTTTATCTGCAACTTTCAAGTTATTTATAATTTTGTTGTCTTACTACTAAAATTTATAGATGTTCTTCTGTTACAGTAACAGTTTTACATTATCTACACTAATATTATAAAGAGGTAAAGTTTGTGAGGTTGTAGGGGGTAATCTCTGGATTTACTGAACAGATTTAGATGAAAGGTAAGAAGATAGTTTGAGATCCTAGGAAGGACATAGGATACTTTTTATCCCGAAATCATCCCTTGAGGGGGTGGAAATGGGAATGAATGTTTGTATGGGGAATCAACCTAGAGATGAACCCGAGCGAAACGAGGGTGAGCCACTAGTCTTTCATAAATCTCTTTTTTTTCATATGATTACTAGAAATAATTTTATTCTTATGTACTATTTTCATTATAAAAGTGCATCAAAAATGAGAAGTTGCATTTATGAAAATGTTCTAATGTACATAAATTCGAAAAACAGATTATAATATTTTCTCATTACAGGCAACAGATATCCCCAAAATAATAATATTGATTGACTAGGAAAAACCTACTTCATCAATTTATTATTATATGTAAGTAAAAATAAAGATAAAAATAAAGATTTTAGGCAAATGAAATGAATGAAAATATTATGTAGATATTACAAAGTGTTATGATAACTGGATAGGTATGTCATTTGAATGTAGACTTATCAATAGTATTTTACTTCTACAAGAATGAAAGATCAAGGTGAGATATGGTTGTTTATCTATTACGTAATTGTCGAGAGTACATCTATGTCACAATTTAAAAATATTTGTACACCTCAGTATTGACATTTGTATTTCTATACATATTAATGCAAATTTGTTTATACAATTTTTCATTTTAAAAATACAAATATATACAATTCTTGGAAATGTAAAATTTCTTTTTTATATATTTTTTATTTTCTATATATTGTATGCATTACTTCAAATTTTCAAAATATGATGCAATATTTTTTAAATTAAACTATATCTTTCTTACTAATATCATATTCCTGTATATTAGATAGAACTTCTCAAATTAATATTATATATTTACCTACTCACAATTTATGTTACTTTTATCTAAACGACAAAATACTTTTAACTATCATTTTGAGCCTTAAATAAGAATTTTAATTACCTGCTTCATTTCAGGTGTTGAAACGTGAGCCTGAAATATAGAAAATTACTTTAGTGAATAAAACACGAGTCATTTAAGTTGATGTGAATCATTATGTGCCCATGTTGTTAGTTCAATGAAATATTATACAATTTTTGTACTATCTAGTATGAGTGTGACAAATGTAATTCATTATGTACACAAAACTTTTAACAGCTACAAATTATTGTAACTGTTAAAAAAAATAATTAATTAAATCTTATTATTTTACTAATGTGGCTGCTGCTTGTAACAGTGTCAAAGAGTATTACAAAATAAAAATAAGTAATATAAATAAAAGTTTGTTTAAAGGCTGTTTTATTTCATGTCATTTCTATCTTCATTTAGTGTATTGTGTATAATTAAAGTAGTCATTTGTTCAAAAATTACCAAATTATTATTTTTATTATATTTAATATTTATGATTATTTTGACCACATTTAAACATACAAGCAATAACCTACTCACCGTATCAAGATTAAATAAGGACGAGACTTTCCGTAGGAATCCATTATGAGTTTTTTTCTTCCGTCTCTCAGTCATTTTGGAAACCAAGTGTGCATAGCCCTTGAGTAGTTTCAGTTCTATATTATGTACACTGCATGCATGTTAGTTACACACTTGTGCCGCTGTCAGCACCTTATTGGCTGCTCTCCGGCATGCACCATTCTCTACCTAGAACCCACTTCTAGCTTGCACCAAAAACATTTTAACTATTTATTGCCACTTTCAAAGGAATGCTACCTCAATTTCAGCTTGCACATAATCCCACAGTATAAGCTGATTATCATGTTAGCTTAGTTTAAAATTAAACCAGTCCTTATCTTAAGAATTATTTTCGAACCGAGCCCTTTTTGATAGCGAGTTTTATTAGATTGTATGTGTATGTAGTTAATTGGGTGTTACCAACTTGTGTTCAATGGTAGGATGGTATGAATGTCAAAGCGATGAACTTTAATTAGAATGTCCGTGTTACGTTATTTAACGTGCAATATAGACATTTGGTTTTATTTAAAAGATAGGTAAATTGTTCAGCAAGTAACGTAGTGTATTGTTACAAGCAAAACTATTTTAGAAGTTTCATTAGTCTCACCAAAGGTTTGAAAACGTTCCCAAATTGTAAAGAAATTACTAAACGTTTAAAAATAGATTAGTGTATATTAAATGGCCTTACTTGCGACGAATACGAAATAACAGCAGTGTGAATGTCAAAATTTTATGTGCAATATCATTTCACTTGATAATCATTTACGTGTAGTTTTTCCTTAGTCCATGTATTGTTCGTAAGTCATTGGCACAATTGTGAGATTTAACAGCACAAATTCACACAACCATAAAACGTTAGCGTACATATCGCTCAAAACTCGTACTATATTTTAGGTTATAAATAGTACTACGGGACGCGAAACACCAACTATCCGCCATTACCAACCACTTGTTGTATAGGCGTCCGGCTACCTACCTTTGGAGACGTCACGTCATCAAAAAGAAGAAAAAAAAACAAAACCGACCACTACGTATCGGTAAACACCTTGACTTTCAGAAGTTTTCCAAAAGATGGCGTTACAAGTTTACATTTTCAAGTATTATAAAAATATTATTTAGTTTATAATTATTTTAAATTTTAATAATTTAAATCCTGATAAATAACTGATTAATGTTACCGACCTTAAAGCATTAAGTCACAATAAAAATGATACATATAATATTAAAAAAGATGTATTTAAATTTTTTATGATTAAGTATTGATTTATTATTTTTCCTATTTTAATTTCAAAGGTACCTATATCATATTCAGTGTTAAAAACTAACATTTAAATAAATAAGGTGTTTAAGAACATTTATTAATTAACAAATGCGTAAAAATAAAAGGGATTTCTACTTGTCTATCGTAATTTTGCTGAAAGGATTTTTCAATTTAATTTATTTAATAAGTGGATAAATAAGTATTCATTTAGATATACATAGCTAAAACTCTGATAAAGTTACAGCAGCAGCCAAATAATTTTGTACCCAAATATTTAAATATCATACCTTTTTCTCTTCTGTTTCTCCGCTTGGAGATATAATCGAAGGAATCGCCATCTGCCAGATAGTTCAAATAGTTCATTATAAAAGATGTTTTTTTACATCCTCATGGTATGTATAGTTTTATAAAATATTGTTTTACATACCCGCCCTGAGTCTGGTGTGTCAACATTGCGATCGGTTTTTCTGTTGTTGTCTTGAAGAAAAGCATTCGAAACTGATCTATAATCATTGTCCCCAGTTTGTGACTAAAATAAAAAAATAGCTTTATTGTTTTATGTGATATTTTCTTTTATTTCTATCCAATTTCAATAAACTGTAAAGTCAGTAGAAAATTTAACATTCATCTTCAAAGATTATCTAGGTAGGTATAAAAAAGTAAAATTAAGGTAGAGCTTTGAAAAAAAAAAGCACAAAGGTTATTAAGAACGTTCCTATTTAAAAAAAATTGTACGAAATTATTTTTCTTTAGGTATAGCATAGTCGATTTTAATAATTTTTTCATGCCACGTTTTATTTAAGTCTCTAATAATAATATGTACCATATTATTATTTCAACCGTTTGAGCTGATCGGTGCTTTGTTGACCTACTTTCTTTGGTTAGTGCAACAATTTAATGGAACATTTTTCTTTATTGTCGGCCAATTAATCACAGTACAAAATAAATTTACTTTTGTGTCGGTTGGACGGAATTATTTGGAAATGTTCATTCTGAGTTAAATTATTCTTTTCCAATTTGAATTGACGGATACTAGGAGGAAATACTAGAAATATTTTATCATTTTTCTACAATTCGATTAACACTGTCATATGTATACCTACCTATTACTAAGATTATATTTGTGAAGGTTTCCTTTACAAATACGTTTACAGGCACGTGATGGATAAAACGTAAATTTTGCATACATACTCTGCAGTACCTACAAACCTATTTTGCTAGATCTGAGTTCTGACCAGCAATTAAAAAGAGAGAAAAATGTATGAAGTAGATACCGGATATCAGATTGGCCTGGTAGCAATTGTGCACAAGATTTTAAATGATTAGGTACGTACTGCGCTGGATTTACACTAGGGACACTCGCGGCTAGTGCCCAGGGCGGCAAATTTTTAGGGGCGGCAAAATTCGGAGGGCGGGAAAAAAATTTTCTTCGCATTATCGAAAATGCTTTTTTTATTTTATAGAAAATGAAAAATAAAAAAAGATAAGATAAAGTAGGTACATCTTTTGAAAAATTAATATCTTAGGTGTATAAATATTTCTTTGCATTTTTCAAAAACTTAATAGTAAAAAAAATTAAACTCTCAACATTTTATTCAAAATTTCGATAATATGGCGGCATTTTTTACTATGACCAGGGGTGGCGCTAAGGTTAAATCCGGTATTGGATACGAAATACCCTATAATATACAATTTTTATTATAATACATATACTAATTAGTAATTTGGTATCTGTGATAAATGAATTTACCCATATCTACATCCATTAGGTAAATATATTTTTTTATGATATTTAGTAACGATTAGTACAGAGTGCCAGAAAAAAAGATTTTCCCAGACACTTTGCCCGTTCTATTCTTATAATATAAAAAGAAAAAGGATAAAAATAATATTTTTCTTGATAAAATAAGGACTAGGTAGTAGATAGGTACGAGTATAATCGCTTACTTCACGACGGACACCATCAGCTTCCCATTTGTTTGCTATACGAATAGTCTCTGCAGTCTTCTGCTGAATACTTTTGTTGTCATCAAGTAGTGTTAATTCGTAAAACTCTTGAATATCTGTAGGCAGAAGATATTTACTATACAATAAATTAAGAATAACAAATGGCATAGAACAATATAAATAGTAGTACCAAATTCATTAATTTAACGTCTATTTAAAAAACATAAAATACTTTTGAATAATATTTTAGCTATGTTTTTAGTTTTTGACAACACCACACCCACACACATCACAAAATTATTGTGGCTATTTGCTATTGCTTAAAAATGAAAACATTTTTTTAAAAATAAGTATTTTTACTTTGAAAGTATCGCGTGCTATGTTTAAAAGATCGATATGTAAGTACATGAATTTTGGGGCAACAAACGTTAAAAATATAAAATACTAAATTAGGTTAACCAACAGCCTACATATTTTTACATATTATTTATTACAACGTGTTTATATTACGGTATGGATCTACTGCCGTCGCGCTTCGCTTCGATCCTCTGACCTCTCTATATTCCTTGCTATAAAAACTGTAAAACTTCTATGTCCTGTCCTGTGAGAACCCATTCGAAATTACCACCCGTTTATAAGATCCTAATCGTATTTCTTTTGAAATCAAACAATTTTATTTTTAAGGTACTAAACGTTCATAAAATATGTAAAGGTAGGTCTCATAGCGTGTCTATGCTAATAAAACCTTAACACAATATACTCGTAAGTATTGGGGCGCCATTTAGGTGTTCATAGCTATAGCGTAGAAAAATCGATACTGATTGACCCAAACATTTACGTATTAGTTTTATTGTGCAAAGCTATATAATCAATGCAATTCATATATAGGTACATATGTATAAAAATCGCTGTAATAAAGTAATCTATCTATATATTTAAAAAAAATACAAAAACAAAAAACCCGTACGTACGCAGCGATTAAAAAGGTGGAAACAAGTTGACATAGGAACATAGTGTTATGTAGTCAGAGACAAGAACATTTAAACTTGGGGTGAGTCTGGATACTTTATATACTTTATCAAGGTATGAGAGATTATCTATCTTCCTTATTTGTCGATATGTTCATTGTTCAGGTGTTGAGTTGTTTTCCGATGACACAACGGTGATGTCTACCGGTCTCCCACGCATTAGTCTTAAAGTTGTGCAGGAACCACATTAGTATTATATATTGTTCAAACTATTTTACATTAAATCTGGGTATTGAGCATTAGAGCAGGTTCATCATAACTTTTAGTCACCGATCTCCACAGTCCCTAAAAACTAGAATCTCAAACCAGTACGTTCAACTCGTAATAATATACAGAGGCGAAATATCGACAATTACAGTAGGGCTTGTTTACAAATCAAGTTCGCTCTGCGGGCGATGAACCGCGCAATGTATCGGGTTCCTTTGGCAGATTGAAATTAAAACAAAGCCAGAGAACTGAAGGCACTGACATCGCGCATAGAATAAGCCCGATAAGTGGAAGTGACTTGGTCATTTCTCCAGACGTAGTACCCATGGTCGATGGAGCCGATACGCTTTAGAGTGGAGAATGTGTTTTGGCAAATATAGTGAAACAGCGTTGCAGCAAGTTAGACTTGTAAAAGGTGGCGAGCAGCCAGGCGCAGTTCCAGGGGTGGGGGGAAGGTTCATGGAGGTCGTGACCTAGAAAACTAAAAATAAGTTTTTGAATAGTTATAGGTCTGGTAATATTATGCATTATTACCGTGTTATAGGTGACTAAAATATCCATCGAAGATATTGTTATTGCATCGATGAAATTATTCCGTCATTTGAAAAAGCGGAAATAGGAATAGCATTAAATAACGTATATTACATACATGTACGTTTTTTGTTCTACATATTATCTTAGCTTTCTTTGTTTACAAGCAGCGGATATAGGTGTACGGTATCCCAGGATAAGTTTGTGCTCTATCCTTTCTATTTGGGTGGCCTTTGTTTAGCAATGTATGTCGGGAGACTGACAAAAGAACATTATGTATGCTAAACATCTAATATCTACAGAAAACAAAACATTTATTTAAGCAATTAAAATTGATTTAACCTTAAATTTTTATTATGCCCTCAACGACCGCGGACACGCCGGCGTTACAATTAACAATAGATTTCTTAGAAATTTAATTAATTTCTTAGAAATTTACCTGCAGGTGTTAATATTTAGAATACTTAAATCTAAAATAATTACGTAAGCAAGTGGCAAGGAACTCAGTAGGTGCCTACTTATCTGTAAAGTATTCCGTAACATTGATTGGCATCGCTACAATAAAGTACTTGCTACGTGGCTAAAGTTCCATTTATTGCACGAATGGTCGAGTTATTTTAAATTTCAATTAAAATTGTTTCAACAAAACTACTACAGCTACTCCGTAGAGGACTAGCGTCAGAGGTAAACTATGACCCATATATTTATATTAGGGTCAAACTGAACACGTAAAACGATTATATAGCTTGGCAACATGAATCTATGTAAGTATTACATTGATGGGAATTTTGTTCTACAAACACATTTATTAATGAAATCAGAAATGTTAAGTCTGAGTTAAATAATAACTTCGCCCTTTTTTACTCCACTTATTCTTGATATAGAGAATAAACGTGTCTATTTTAGGTAACTTCTAATACATTATTTGAAGAATTGTTAGAAGCCTCTCTATGATTTTGGATATCGTCGGATCGAGAGATAAGAAAGTTCAAAAAAAATAATTATTATAAAATTAAAATAAATTTTAAATGTTTACTAAGTTATATTATACTAGCGACTCTCCCTCGCTTCGTCCCTAGCTTGATTCCACAAACAAACTTTCATCCCCATTTTCACCCTCTTAAGGGATGATTTCCGAGATAAAAAATATCCTGTGTACTTGCCAGGGTCTCAAACTATCTTTTTACCAGATTTCATCTAAATCGGTTCAGTAGATCCAGAAATGACCCCCCTACAACTTCACAAACTCACAATATCACAAATTTTACCTCTTTATAATCTTATATTTATATAATTATTTTGTACGTGTGTTTGTTTATTTACTCCTCCTAAAGGACTGGACCGATTTGGATGAAATTTTGTGTGTATATTTCAATTGCTTTCATGGATGTTTTGAAAATACAAATGGACCCAGTAGGTCTCGCTGCAGTCGTTGTGCCACTGGTCATCTCCTAAACGGCAGGGACGATTTCAATGATATTTTGTGTATGTTTGAGTGGGTCCCTGCAAGGTTTGAATTCACATATAGATCCGGTAAGTGGCGCTGCAGTCGGTGTGTCACAAAATTTTCATAAAAGACTCCATTTTCCGAGCAATAAATACATTTAAATTGTTGATTAAATAAAATAAAAATCGGTGTGTGTATGTATGTTTTCTATGGACTCCAAAACAGCTGGAGCGATTTTATTGACATTTTCATGTAATTTTTAGATTAGCCAAACGTGTGATCCTGTAAATTTTGTTAGCAATCGAAAGTTTGGACGCGGACGAAGCCACGGGTACTGCTAGTATTAATATAGATTTTCTTTTAATTAAATATGTTTTTACTATATGTTTATTTGCGCATTAGATGACGCAAAAAGGTACTCTATACCTCTATAAATAAATTATTAAAACAAATACATATATGTCAACACGGTTGATGAAGTGTTTCGTTTTAGTTGCCTACAGAATCCTAAAAATCGAAAAATGTGAAGGACATCGCGTAATATACATAAAAATACAGTCGAACTGAATACCTTTGAAGTCGGTCATCTTTTGTTCAAATCAAGTTATTTGCAACTAAAGGTAGGTATTAAAGTTTAAAGTTATGAGATTCAAAACAATAATTTAAAAAATAGGTTTTCATATACGTGTTCCTTATTGTTTGTGCGCGCATCACATCTGAAAGGAATTCAATGGGATCATTTGAAGAAAAACAAAACTAAGATTCATTTTATACGGTTTAGTAGTTTCAGAGATTCACTCAGAAGCTTGAGTTATATAAGGCAGCGGTCATGATAAGACGTAGTTATACATACATAAAATAAAAATAATAAAAAATATTGTAATCATGTTATCAGAATACCTCTTATTTTTACTACCTTCCCAATATTTTGGATCTTGCGTTAATACAACCCGCGTTTTTGTGCAAAATTTTTATCTATTACATGAGAATGGATCTACCAAATATGTAGCTCAAGCTTTAAGTTATATACCTACGTACATGCACATTGCACAGTAGGCATATAGAGGGCGTGATAGGAGAAAGAGAGTACAATTATGAAAAAAATGCCCTTACTGTAATCATTAATTACACTTCAACAGCACTTCTCGCATCGTTCAATAATTTTTTAACAATTATAAAGGTTAATATCTTTAGGTAGAGATATGCATTTAAATCAATCTTAACATTTTTTATCTAATAAAATGTGTAAGTTTACTGACATCAGATTGCATTAAAATTAACAAAATAAATTCACCTAGTTACTAGCAAGTTAACCAAATACCCTAATTGCTATGATCAAGTAATTCTTATATAATATCTTTTAACAAGGCGGTGACAGCCTATTAGTAATTCGCTTGTTTTAGAAACCAAGTGAAGCGTCTTCGAAATTCCGGTTTCGCGCTTACCTATAATATTTTCGTCATATTCAACATGATCGCCATTTGTCTTACGGTGAAGTAAGCTGGTAAGCCTGTGAGAGAACTTAGCAAGTTTTGGAAAGACATGTGAAACCGCCAACCCACACTTAACTATCATAGTGGACTATGACCTTCTAACAAATGAAAAAAAATAACTTAGTTAAGTCAGTTTTCCTGATTTGATAGTTATTATTATTAACTTAGAAACTATAATATGTGTATGTATATTCAGCCCTTTTTAAAGTCCCACTGCTGGGCACGGGCCCCCTTCAATACGAAGGGGGATCAGTCCATAGTCTACCACGAAAACTTGCTAGGTTCTCTCAGACATGCAAGTTTCCTCAAGATGTTTTTCTTCTGATTCGCACATAAAAATATCAGAAATGAAATGAACTTTTTTCAATTAGACTTATTATAAGTGCTTTTGAATATAGAGACAGAACAATATAGGACAGAAGACGGAGACAGAAGAATATAGAGACAGAGGTGCGAGGCCCGGGATTTGAACCCGCTTTACTCAGTTTCGCAAGCGAACACGTTACCTGGGCTACCACTGCCTTCTATTATATATAGCAGGTACTTCCCTACCACCTCCCAACTGATTTCAGCCACGGCAGCCAATCTAAGCCTGAGACTAGCCAACTGTGCACAGCGCAGGAGATATTGTGATGAAACACCGGAATGAAACTTTTCAACTCCGGGCTAGTACTGGGAGTTTCCTAATAGAAAAACTCAATAACAAAAGGCCCGACCTGGGACTCAAACCCAGGACTTCCAGACGGGCACCATCGAGACAATTCAGTACTTAAAACTTAAGAATATTATACCTATTAATAAAGGATTTGTTGCCGCTATGATGTTTGTTTTATATTGTTAAGAAAAAAAACTGCAACTTGTGTGTGATCAAGTATGTCGTTACGCCCAGGCAGCTTTGCAAGGTTAATCCAATGTAAGAGAGCCTATTATTATAAGTAAGTAGCTACTCTAAAATACATGCTATAGTATAGGTGTGATACTTACGTTCCTATAAACCAGCTAGGCTTGTAAGCTCATCATCGTTCATTGCTACTTACTATGGTCTACATAGGTAGCTACCTTATTTGGAAGAGTGTGTATCGAAATATTTCAAAGTTCTATTACTACTCGTAACTAATGATGTCTGTTAATGGTTAATATATATCAGCAGGGTCATAAAAATGTACTAGGCATCCTATATATCTGCATTATATTATTACTTTTAAAGAAAAAAAATCTATGGAATAAAAATTATCTTAGTCCTTTACTTTCTCATCTATGTCTCTATTACTAGTATAGTATTATATGATCTGTGCTCTATGTCTGTGTATATTAAGTAGCCACCACTCACCGATTGTCATATACACATACCAGTGACAAATAATATACCTACTAATATCCTACGAGAAGCATTTTGTGTACTAGGATAAAAAATACTAGCACTATCGGGCCCATAAACTATCTCTACACAAAAACTATCTCCATATAAAATCAGGTCAATCTGTTCAGGCACTATCGGTGCAAAATAGCTGTGTGAGCTCTTTTTTCAAGATTTTTATAAGAGTTCGTATAGTTTCCAAACAGAAAATAGTATTGTAAATATGTGTCAACATCCCAATAGGAAAAAAATATTAAAATTCGTGTTTGTTTAATAAAAGATTGAAAATAAATAGTTTAAAAAATATAAATAAAAACCAACTTAAAAACACTAAAAGGTAAAAAATAACTAATTGGTAGTTTTTATTTACTAAAGATACCTTCTAATCAGGTATTCTCGAAGTCGGTGCCAGCTACAAATCAAAGCATAGAAACACAAAGCATACAAAGCACCGACTTCGAAAATATTTGATTAGGTAAATATATAGTAATTACCTTTACCTAATCGAATAACTTTTATTTTATGAGTTATGTACCTAAATATTTTTTTATCATGGTATTATTTTATGTAAAGATAAACATAGTAAGTACTAGGCCCTGTCAAAAATCGGTTACCGAATGAATGTCCGTTATTTGTAACAATCGCTAAATAAATATATTTAAAACACAATGGCAGTGTCGTGGTCGATCGAGCTCAAGAGCGATAGTGACGCGTGGTGCGGTCACGCGCGTTCATATTTATAGCATGTTAGCAATAGTAATTTAGTAGCATTGTAATTTAGTTCAAGATAACAAACTTTTTAGTTTTATTTACTGTTACGATACTAAACGATACAGAACATGAATTGATGTTTCAATAAAATCAGCACTGGATGCGTTGATATTAGTTATAAGTTTACTAGCTTGCTTTCCCATATAAACTTTCATCCCCATTCTCACCTCCTTAAGGGATGATTTTCGAAATAAAAACTATTTCACTCACTCACTTTTTATATCATGACATTTAAACAAATCTTATGTATGTAAAATAAAAATTCTTTTAATTTTCTTCTATACAAAACTTAGTCTGACAATAACAAACACAAAAAAAAAAGAATTATCCAATTTGATGCATTCTATCGGAAGTTATACGCGTACAAACATTTCGGTGATTCATTTTTATTTGTATATATATGTTTTCAGGCGGTAACAGGCATTATTTCTACGCTGCCTGCTGGAATTTCATTAAAAATCAAGATAGTTTCATTAAGAAAGAAGAAGTCAATTTTGTTATTTAATTAAACGTAAGGTTACAAATTGGATAAGAAATACAACTCTGTATACAAAACCAAGTAGCGAAAATAAATGCAGTTTCTACTTACCAAGAAGAGCTTGAAAAAGTCGTGACTTAAAAATTCTGATAACTCTTTCAATGGCCAGGCGAAGCTGTCGGTCTTGTGGCTTAACTAACTTGCTGTGGTAGTCTTCCAGCAATTCCAATGCTCGATGGGCCTCTGAACAAAATGAAATATATTTATATAATACTAGTCGCTAGTTATGGCTTCGCTCTCATGTTTAGTTAATATTATATGCAATTAGTTTGATTCCAAAGTCCTGAGTTCTTTGATATCGCAGAAGTCAAGCTAATTATCTTCTCTACTTATTCAAACTGCGAGAATAAAGTATCAATTATGAATAAGTATGAATAAAAAATCCTTTTAAAAATAAAACTACCTTTTCGGATTATTTGATTTTTGGTTCCCGATGTTTCGAATGCTTTACAATCATGGTCACGGGATAGACTAAGGTTTTAGACATCTCTAAGGCGTTATATACTTGTTACAGATAGTGCCTACCCTGTACTCACAATTTTACAAAGATGATTTCAATAATTCAAAAATGGCACCAGAGTACCTTACAGTATTTGTTGATTTTATTTCGTTAAATATATATACATATAATAAATACATATGTAAATATATATACATATAATAAAATTCTAACTCAGTCAAATCTGTACATTAAATATTTATTGGAAAATTTTATTGAAATAGACATTATTATCGATATAGAGGCCGAATCTATAGTTTTTAGAATTTTTGTCTGTCTGTCTGTCTGTCAGTTACCGCATCACTGAAAAACTACTGGACGGATTTTGATGAAATTTGGTATCCATAAAACAAGCCTCGTAGTTTACCATGGAACTATTTAGATGGTGCTGGGTGTTAAAGTTCCAACATATTTATTTATTTATTTAATTATTATTTAAGCAGTCATGTTTAAAGTCTATTTACCATCTTTATATAGTATTTACGAGAAAATGGGAAAAAAAGAAAACACATCATCTACATATATATATTATACCTATAGCTAGGCAAATACAAAACAGTTGACTGTTAAGTGTTACGTACCTTTTTCTTCTCTGTGTGTTTTTTCCAATACTAGTTTTTATAAATAGGTACTTGAATTATTATAATAATATTACTTAAAATTTAAATGCCTAAGCCCGTAAAACTTGCCTTCTAATCTAAATTTATCAAATGACATACAATTTTTTAAATAAAAAGTGGATGAAAGTTGAACTGCAAAATTAAATCTATTTTGGATAGATCCAAAATAGCTTAAAAATATTAGTGCACTTTTGATTCGATCAATACTAATAACCTCTGTTGACAAGAACATTGTTCTATCCACATTCTAAGAGCATCGCATGCATAGTTTAGTTACACATACAAGGTCGATATTAATAGAAATAAATCGATATGACAACATCGAAATAAGAAATATTGGGTCGAGCTCGGAGTTTATTTAATATTAAAGAATATTCATATGGAAGAATTACGACTAATATTTTCAATACTAATACTACCTATTACCTACTATTTTATTTTATTTATTCAAACTAAAATCCACAACTACATACAGAGATAGAACGTACATAAAAAGAATAGTCCTTATAGAAGCCAATTTCGGATTTTCATTATTTGTGCAATATAGATGGGTAGACTAAGTGTACATGTATTACGGAAAAGAAATAAGTTACAAAAAAAACACTAACTAATAATACCTTTACTATTCTGACTAACCAAGCTAATCTGAAACTAATAATGTGCTACCTGATAATGTAGCTATACATATTTATACTTTTAAAAATAATTTTGTGGTCTCTAATGACATACATATACATCAATATATACTTTCTGTATAGAAAGAGATATGATTAATCATTAAACGCTATGTAAGTATGAAAAAATGAAGTTCTACTATGACCAAACTCTACTACGAGAAGTACCAGGAGCAACCCGCATGGTACATAGCCCACCGAAGTGGGCCAGCTCCTGGTTTGCCTCTAGGCATCACGTCCAGCTGGATGGACGCTAGCTAGGGATGAAACGAGCACGGACCTACCCTCATATGAGGGGATCAGGCCATAGGTAGCCCACATTGGCAAAATGCAGGTTGGTGAACCTTATGCGTCATATACATACGAGTATATAGGTTTTCTCAGACAGGCAGGGTTTCTCAAAATATTTTTTTTCAACGGTCAAAAGACAACGTCATTAGAATTTAGAACTTGTTAATGCAAGTAGTACGTTATAAGTAACATTGTAGTTTTTAGACAAAATTGATTTTAACGTGAATTTATTATAATTGTAAACGTAGGAACTATGAATTAAATATAAATATATTGTATATCTAATAATGTCTATTTAATCAGTCAGTACATACAAAACATATATCTTGATCTCCCAGTTCTACGAGAAATTACAAAAGACAAACGACCGCTCTCGCTCTGCTTCAACTCTACTACACCTGTGCCAAAAACTCATAAAGATATAATATCTTCTTACCAGCGGGATTTTCTACCCTCTAGAAAAAGTCCCTTTTATATCAATCTAGATATTTTTGTGTGTATCCTTTAGATATTCTGCGCAAGTATTTATTATCTCGGGGGTCTTTCTCGTCTGTGCCAGCTTTATCCAGTGAAAGTTCGTTCAAGAAATCAGCGTGCTCAGATGTTCCAGAGATTAAAAGTTTATGAAAAGACTGGCAGAGAAATAAAGGAAATTTTTAAGGTGTTACGGGCCAATAATAATCATAATATGAACTCAACATGGGCTAACATAAAGAAATTACGATTTATATTGTTAGGTATGAAATATATTCTTTCTCATAGTTATATATTATAATTAAGTATAAATAAAATTTATGTACTATATATACACTATATATTTACAATTCACAAACGTACGAGTCGTAGATAGGCGGGTAGTAGGTATACGTAGGTCATGTACATATTATACGTACGAGTATGTAGGAACTTAACACATATTTGAAAGCGCACGTGGTGGTCGTTTCTATATTATCTACTTTTATTTGATAAAATAACTTTGGAATTAGAATGGAAATATATTGCAAAAACACTTTTTATGTACGAAGGCCTTCATATTTAAGGAAATTTATAAAAAAAATGTAAAATTTATTTAGACATAACGTCGCCCTACTGCTTATTTGTTCAAACGACCAATACTTATTAGTATTTTCAACCGACTTCAAAAAGGAGGAGGTTCTCAATTCGACTGTATGTTTTTTTTTTTTTTTTTTTTTTTTTTATGTTTGTTACCTCAGAACTCCGTCATTTCTAAACCGATTTGGACAATTTTTGTGTCGTTTGAAAGGGTATACTTCCAGATTGGTCCCATTTAAATTTCAAAAAAAAATACCACCCCTAAGGGTGGAAAAACTACTAATGATGAATTTAACCTACTTCTAATTGTCATATTGACTTGAAACTTTGCAAGTATTTCTATTTCCGTTGATAGTACAGTGGTTCGGTGTTGTTGACCTGATCTGATGGCAAGGCCAGAAGGTGGATAGGTGGAACTCTTCAACGGCTAATAGTAGATACTTTGAGTTTGGGCTTATTTTGTTTGATTTGACAAGCCTAACACGTTAGAATCCTTACTTTTCTACTACTGTCTACACTAAAAAGGGAAAAATAAAAACTTTTTAACAAAAAAATAAAAACCGACTTCAAACAAATGCACTAAAAAGTAAAAAATAACTGATTGGTAGTTTTCATTTACTATACATACCTAATCAAATATTTTCGAAGTCGGTGTGCTTTGGCTAAGTAATTAGAGCCTACCTATTAAATACATACCTAATCAAATATTTTCGAAATCGGTGCCAGCCCATACAAAGCAAAGCACACCGACTTCGAAAATATTTGAATAGGTATGTATAGTAAATGAAAACTACCAATCAGTTATTTTTTACTTTTTAGTGCATTTGTTTGAAGTCGGTTTTTATTTTTTTGTTAAAAAGTTTTTATACAGTAGAGTTTTGTGTTCTTTTTTAAAAACAAAGCTTTATTTGTATGATTTAGTTATACACATATTATAGATAAAGTACATTTTTTTCAGCTTAGTACCTAAAGCAAAATTTGTATTTAATGCCCAGCTTTCGGTAAATTGATCATTTGAACAAATAAGCATTAAGACGACGATAAAATATTTAAAGTTATTTTCTATCATAAGTAATTAAAGAAATAATAGTATATATAGGTAACCTTAAGGACTAAGTGGAGATACTTTGACAATTGGTGCATACGTAGAGAGTAAGCCTGTACCTAGGTATAAATAATTTAATTGTCTCTTGCAGTCCATTGTTTGCTTACATGTTTGTATAGGTACATTTTATTACAATTTAATTTTTAAAATTAATTCATTAACTACAGGGCTACGTATAAATTATATGAAATGTGTATCTTAAACATAGACTTAATAATTATTTAGGTTTGTGATAAGGATTTTATTATAGCTTGAGTGGGTGTAGTCTTCTTTTTAAGACTTGTTAGTTGTTACCCACCTTTACTTATTTTGATTTAATTAAATAAGGGTCTTACATTATAAAAGTTTAGTTTTAAAATATATCTAGCAAACCCCTGCTAGCGGTTGCATTGATGCAAAACAACGCAAGGGTGTTGCGAGCCCCTTGCGTTACGTCCCTTACATAATATCTCGTCAACAACAACGTGATAGTATAGACCAGACCACAATTTTACAATGTTAGTATTATAATATTTACCTTGCTTACGAACTGGCATCACGGTACCGCCCCCTAACGTAGTTTTGTCACACTAATAAAATTGTAAAGAAATAAAACAAATATTTCACAAAAATGAAGAAAGGAAAAAGTTATTTCACATTATCGATCACATTTGAATACATGTTTGAACTGCCCATAGGATCACACAACAAAAACATTAAAATTATAAGCCAATGCAATAAAACGATATGCGGTGGTGATTCCGCATATAAGGACCGTCGACTACTGTGTTCGTTTCGATTGGTCGATTTCCACTGTGACGTCAGAGGGTGGAAGCATAGACAATATAGATTTGGGAGGGTGAGGGTGTAAAAGGTTGTCGTGGAATACTTTCAAGCAGTCTACAGAAGCAAAAACTCATATTCGTTCTTAAACGGGACTCTACGTGAAACTCTACATTAAGTCGATAAAAAGATTACTATTATTATATTTATTAAAAACTCGTACTTTACGATTTAATAGATATATTAATAACTGTGAATAAAATTATTTTTACGAATTTTATTGCGTTGACCATGTTAATTTAAGGTTAAAATAAAAAAGCATTCGAAACGTTGCAAATAAATAACAATGAAATTGCGATAGATTCCGAAGAAATAGCTTCACTTAAAAAATGAAATATTCGCATAAATCTAAGATAGACTAATAATTCTGGTTTCGATAATACCGAAATGGAAAATATGACGTAGTTCTCACGTCTCTTTGTCTCTCTATTCGATATGCTAAATTTCTGTGTAAGATACACGATTAGATTACATTTACATATCAAACAAAGCCATAAAATGTAACAGAAATTATAATAATATTAAAAGAAATTGGGCCGAGACATGAATAGTGCATTATTCACAATAAATGTTATTGTAATAAAATTTGGTTGGAAAATAAAAAAATACTTATGTATAGTTAATTTTTATAATATACTTAAGCCCGGAGGCTCATATATTTTTATCAAGACCGACGACGAAGACGGGGTGCTCAAACTTTGTATGTCGTGAAATCTTATAGGGGAAATGAACGTAGGTACTAACGTAACTATACATATATTTTGTTAAGCCTACGGCCTAGTTTGCACTAAATAAATTTAAATACATATTTTATTCAAGGCCAGGTTGTACCTAAATAAATATGTATAAAGTACGTGCCCTTGCATCCTCGCAATACTAAAAATACACACCCCTTTACAAGAAAAAACTCACAATTTTTATAGTAAATTAAGCAAGTCATTAATTTAAATTGAGTAACTGCCGAAATTATTATTACTGTATAATAAAAAACTATAATCATTGATTTTAAAATTATATTAACAACTAGCGACTCGCGCTCGCTTGGCTCGGGTTTACCTTTAGAAAAATAATAACAAATCTATCCCACATAAACTGTGCATTTTTTCGGGATAAAAAGAAGCCTATATTCATTAAAATCCATTCAGTAGTTTTGGCGTTAAAGAGTAACAAACATCCATACATCCAGACATCCGCAAAAACTTTCGCATTTATAATATTAAGTAGTAGGGTATTATATTTATTTCTTTCGGAGCCCATCAATTTTATTTTTTTATTTAAAAGAGTAACCTCACTAGATAAGAACACGGAATAGGTACTAAATTGTTTTTTCTATTCCGTGGTTAGGAACACCAAAAATCAAGCTTAATTTATTGACGATACCCATCCACTTATTAGGTTACCCAATTCTGTCTATTGGCGATGACTAGATTTTCCAGGTGGTTGTTCTCAAAACTATCGGTAGATGATTACGGTATCTACTACTTAAATTAATAATAAAATGTAACTTGTAGGTACACGCTAAGCAGTATATTAGGAGGATATTAAACTGAGTGAGACTAGACATTTTTGAGTATCTATGATTATTATTCTACGACTGATTAATTATTATTATATTATACTCGTACAACTCAACAAGGACTCTTTCACCATCGAAGTTAAAATTTGAGTTTTAATACACAAGCTATTTTGTTATTTTCAAGCAGTTTTATTATAACGCCATTAGCCACTACCTAGTTAAATCCCTTTTCCATCCCATTTCTTTGATAATTGATAGGATGGAATGATGGATTTGATGGTTTCACATGCATCTTTCGATGTAAAGGGGATCAAGCCATAGTGCACTTGCTGGCCAAGTACAGGTTGGCTGACTTCATACATCCTTCAAAAACAAGATACAGGTACAGTTTTGCAGCTTTTCTTAAGATGTTTTCTTATACCGTATTAGCATGTAATAAACATATTATAATTTGTGAAATTGTCAGATAATGTGAGTTACTAATGGGTTAGCACTGCTCATGAGTCATGACAATATTATAATTGCCATTACAAAAATTAAATGATAAATCGTAGTTACTAAATGCTTAACGTAAGTACCTTATGTTAAAGTGATAGGTATAGACAATAAGCCTTTAGTGTGTACCTAATATTTAATACATACTAGGGACTTACCCTCGCTTTGCTCGGGTGCGTCCCTAAGTACGCGGATTTTTCAATTCCATTTTAAATTTTTTTTCGTGGGACACTCATTCTTTTTCTAAAATAAAAGTTAGTTACTCGTTAGAATTAGCAATCTACCAGTAAAAGCTCCGTCAAAATTGGTCCAGCCGTTTCGAAGATTAGCCGGAACAATATTAATAAATTTAAAGGCCAAAAATTACAGTCAGATGGATAAAAAAATAAGAAATATATTTTTTTATAATTACCGTATATACTCGTAATTTCATATGGATTTAGTAAAAAGCTGTTATTTTGATATTACAAACAGACACTTAATAGATTTACTTTGATAAACATTATACAGAGCCTTAACTCTAAGTCTTATCTACTAGGTAATCTTCCCACCGCCAATATACTACCTAATTATTAAATTTTAACTTTTTCGTATTTACAATTGAAGAAAATGGAGGCGGTTATGTAGGCATTTCTCTCGACCTTAATTAAAAAAAATCACAAAATAACACTATCCTTCAAAAATAAATATAATTAGAATTAGCAACTTCATATACCTCATGGTCATCAGTGCACCTACTGTAAACATACACCACGCGGATCTTTTTTGATGATTAATGCTGAAAATCCACGAGTAGCTTCGTTTTTTGAGGAGACGCCCAACTTTTCTTTCTACGAATATTTGATAGTGGTAGATACAATTTTGGATTGATACGGAACATGTCGAAACGGTGGTAGTTAACTATTAACAATCTGTTAGTAATTTATCACTAACAGGTTGTTTTACAATTTAATATTGGCATAATCCAACATACAAGAAAAAAATTTTGTCCTAAAAAACAAATGGTCTGGATCAAATCGTCCCCCTCTCCGAAGTCGTTAAAATAACAACGTCATAAAATTTAATAATAACCGGCTAATTATAATCAGATTGTAATGATAATTATCATAGTATTTATTATTAAAAATATGCATAATTGAATGGCCACATCGTCCTACAATTAAAATGGTAGGATTTCTCGGTCCTACGCTCGGATACCTCCTGTTTATCGCGTGGTGATCGCTCCGTACGCGTAAATGCATTTGCCAACATTTGAATTTAAAAAAAAAAGGTAGAAAGGCATTTTCCAACGTTAAAGAATTGGTTGGATAATCTTCTTTTTGAAAATGAGAAATAATTACTACTAATTTAATATGTGATACGTGTTCAATATTTGTTTAAAAAAGTAACTATTCACGTGGTAGCTTTACTTGTTAAAGTAAAGCTGGGCGTTTACACTAAAATCAACCAATCAATGAAGTTTTCACTCAGGACATACACTTTTCTTGGCATTTTTAGTAATTTCGTAGCATAGTACTTTTGTTTCTTATTAGCTTCGTTTGTTGTGACTTTTGTTTCTTATTAGCTTCGTGTGATAACCGATGGTAGACTTATGAGATATGAGGATGAACATTAAAAATATGGAATTTGAAAAAGTACATTGCACTATTCAGAAATATTTTGCAGCTTTACATACATACCTATTTTAAGAAATACTAATCCTAATAATGTTATAATTGCGAAAGCTTGTGAGGATGTCTCGATGTGTGGATGTTTGTCACTCTTTCACGTAAAAACTACTGAATGATTTTAATGAAACTTTACAATAATACTCATACATCAGAATAACACAAAGTCTACTTTTTATCCTGGAAAAATGTACGGTTCCCGTGGGATAGATTTTTTTTATTTTTTATAGTACATTATTAGCTTTCGACGTAAAACTAGGTAACGTAAGGTATAGTTGTTATAGACAGCCTACCCACAATATTATACCTTCAAGACATGTAACACCTCAGTCTCTCCCGTGACTATGGATACTGTAAAGCATTCGAAACGTCGGGAACCAAAAATCAAAATAAATCCGCGAAATAATCCGAAAAGATAGTTTTATTTAATAATGTCAAACACTCGCGTAAATCTAAGAAAGTATTATGGGAACAAATGATGTTCATTTTCTTTGCATCCTGGCACTGCAAAATTTGTTATTTTAATTAAATTTTAAACAAAATGAAATAAAAAAATCATCCACGCTATAGGGCTTTACAATATACTGAGGATTATAGTCATCGTGACATCTGGCGGTAGAAAAAGGCAAAATTCTTCCCCGTTGAATTGACTCTGAATGTTGATTTATATTCGTAAATAAATACAACACCAATTAATTTTAAACATATACCTATTATATACCTATTACAGCATGTTGGTCGTATTGTCAGTCAGTCAGCTATGCAGTAATATGCCATCTCTTGGCTAGTTACAGTTTTACCCTCCCAGCAGTCACAACTCACATGAATTACGTAAATTCATCTATGGTACGTACCACAGGTTCCTCTGTCTCGACTACCCAGGAGAGTATGTGCCCAAATGGCACACCTGTAAGCCACAGAATAAAGAACTTATCATAACTATGGAAGATGGAGGTAAGGAGAATCGTTTTATATGGGGGACCACTTGAGAAAGTGTCCAATTGTAAGCAGTAAGCAACAGTTCAAGAATTCACCAGAATGGCGCTAGCGTAGGAGAGGAGTATGATATGTTGTAGTCCGTCTACAATAATGAATTTTAGTGATTAGAGTAGTTCATAAAACCGCAATAACCAAATCTATTTACTTAGTAAAATAATTCTCTCTTTGTTTACTTTTCTATCCTATTCGAATAACTTATGGCGCTTTCTTTAAAATTTACCCACTTGCTATAGTAGCCCTACCTAACGCTAACGCCTTTCGATGGACATTTTTTCATACACATTACACAGACGATTCTACTCCAGTAATATTTCTCTACGATGAATGTATGGATTAGGTATATACAGATAAGAAAGTACTTAGAACCCCTATGATGTTACTTTGAAAAATAGCCTTTAAGGAAATTTCAAATTCATGACTAATAAGGCTTTTTAAAAGTATTTCTATTCTTAACTAATTTTAAAAAATAATTTGTATAACTTATATATTTAATTTTTCTCTCTTGCCTCATGAATTTATAATCTGGGAAAATTCTGTTACTGGCGCCTCTTTTTTATTTATTAATAAATTTCTTATTATTATAACTTTTGAAGTACAATTTCTAGAACTCTGAAATTTTTTTTTTTAGGTATTAGTCTCTAATAAATATCTAAAACATAATCAAAAGTCGTTAATTGTATACAGAGTAAAGTTGCACCGTGAGTAGATTCTATATATTATCTTGTCTGGTATGTGCTCTACCCTATTAAAACATAGAAGTGTGAGTTTTCGTGTGATGTCTAATAATTCGTTTGAATATGTGCGTATCGATATAGATTATACCTTTTAGCTACGTAGTCGTAGATATTTTTTAGAGTAGAACAAAAGCAAATTGAATCTCTAGTGAATATAGTGCTGCAGGCCTACAACATGCCTCTTTTTGGCAAAAAAGATTTTGGAAGAAAATCTAAAAAAGAGAGTAAAGATCCTGAGAAGCAGCCATCTATCGAAGATAAATATGTTGTGAAAGATTTACTAGGTACTGGAGCGTTTTCCGAAGTACGACTAATTGAGAGCAAGGAGAATGGACAATTATTCGCATGCAAAATTATCGATAAAAAAGCGCTCAAAGGCAAAGAAGATTCATTGGAAAATGAAATTAGAGTTTTGAAAAGGTTTAGTGAGAATGCGAAAGCTGAGGGTGCAGAGAAAAAAATGTTTTCACACCCTAATATTGTCCAGCTGCTCGAGACTTATGAAGATAAGAACAAGGTTTACCTTGTAATGGAATTAGTAACAGGTGGTGAACTTTTTGATAGAATTGTTGAAAAAGGATCTTATACTGAAAAGGATGCGTCTAATCTTATTAGACAAGTACTGGAGGCTGTAGACTATATGCATACTCAAGGAGTAGTACACAGAGATTTAAAACCGGAAAATCTTCTTTATTACAGTGCGGATGAAGATAGTAAAATTATGATAAGTGATTTTGGATTATCTAAAATTGAAGATTCAGGTATAATGGCAACAGCTTGTGGAACTCCTGGGTATGTGGCGCCTGAAGTCCTAGCTCAAAAACCTTATGGGAAGGCAGTAGACGTATGGAGCATAGGAGTTATTTCTTACATTTTACTGTGTGGATATCCTCCTTTTTATGATGAAAATGATGCAAATCTTTTTGCCCAAATTCTGAAAGGTGATTTTGAGTTTGATTCTCCATATTGGGATGATATAAGTGAATCAGCTAAAGATTTTATTCGTCATTTGATGTGTGTAGATGTGGACAAGAGATATACTTGCAAGTAAGTTAATTTTTGAGACAACCTTCAATTAGATAATTATCATAAATATAATACCTATAAAATTATATAATTTATATTAAAGTATCTGAATTTTATTTTTATGTTAGCACATTTTTTAGTTAAATTAGACTGTTGAATAAGCTTCATCTGTAATTTTGCAATCAAATCTTGAATTTCGATTTTAACCCTCACTTAATTGCCACATTGATTTTAAAATTGTGTGTCTAATAAATACTAATACATAGTCTGAATTTAACAATACAATCATTTAGTACCAATATGCTAATACATATAACGATGAAGTCACAAGGTACCTTTCAAAGGCAGCTAGTAAAACCTTATTTAAATTATAATTGATTAGAAGCAGTTTTTTTTTTACTTTTATTAATATAACATGTTTTTCATTAACAGTACTAGCACTAATGTTATTTTAATTTATTTTAATATGTGTTTTATGAGAGAGTAGAGTAATACCAATAATATAGAATAATATTTATACCATTATGTTCCTATCAGTGTGACCTTTGATTTTTTAATTATAACATAAGTTTTTATCACTATTTGTGCTGTATTTTATTAAATACATTCCTGAATAATATACTAGTAGGTTATGATTAAAACCACTTTTTGATTTTTGTTGTTATTTAAAATTTTCAGACAAGCCCTTGCCCATCCATGGATTTCTGGTAATGCTGCCAGTAATAAGAATATTCATGGCACTGTTTCTGAGCAACTTAAGAAGAACTTTGCCAAATCTCGCTGGAAACAGGCATATCATGCTACTACTGTCATTAGACAGATGCAAAAGATGATTCTTAGTAGCACCAGTTCAAGTCGCAACAGCGGCAACCAGCCAAAGCCTCAGCAATAATTATATCACTCAACTGCTACTTACAATGTGATGAAGGTACTTAATGGTATATATCTAAATCAGTACACAGTTAATATTAAATAAAATAACAAGCCATTTGGTACGACATTATTAATTCTGTAGACATAACTAATTGATGTTTATTGATCTGCCGAATGCCACACAGCGTAAAGATTTGTGTCATTGCTAAATTGTACAATTGCTTTTGTAGCCATTGATTTGAACATTTTAATAAATGGTTATAAATCCATTTAATTAGATATTGATGACAATCAACGAAATGTTTTAGTATATTGGACTAGTCACAGCATTTATGCAGTTCTAAAATTTTAAATTGACATATAAACTTGTATTAAATGGTAGATAATTGCATAATGTCTGTAGGCCGTACATTTTAACTTGTGTAATCTAATTAGATTTCTTACTGAGCCTTCTGCAAACTGCTATTCACTATTCTCAGAATCTCATACTCCTATCCATGTCATTGATAATAATCTCTATTTAACCTTATTACATGACATTGTATGAAAAATACATAAATATAACTTGTATCTTATAAATATTTTATTGTACAATCTTCATTTACTTTTTACCAATGAAGATAGTAGTTAGGTTAAACATTCTCTTCTAAACATTCTGTGCTAGTAATTACTTATAGTTATGGTGATAATCACTTAATGCTAAGGTTTGTTGCAAATTGTTATAAATAACTATGAGACATATGTCTAATGGCTTTATATTGGCCTGATAATATGACATGCTGCGTGTATTGTCAATATTAATTGGATGTTACTGTTTGAAAAGATTGTCCAAAGTGTGTATTCAGAAATTGCTATTAATATCTTCAGAATTCAAAGTTTGTTAAAAATGGTAGTTATAAAATTGCTAGAGTTGCAGTTAGCTTGTCTTCATATTGTATGCAATAATTGTGTTAGCAATTAATGTTCGACATCTGTGGACTGGAAAAAAGTGGTAGACTGATTGGCAAGTTGATACAATTATTGTATACATTTAAAAATGGAATGTTACTATATATTGAAATATAAGTGTAAATGTGTGATTATATTATTCCCTATTTAACCATACTGATAGTTGTCTTTAAAAATATTTTACTTACAATTATTATAATATATATAAGTTAAATAAAATTTTAAACTTTAATCCTTCCTGTCTCAGCAAACAAAATAAATATTTTAACTTCAATTTCATTTAAATTAACATGATAAATAATGACAATTTTTCCATATATTGTCTTTGCAGAACAAGGGCCTAATATTTAATTTCAAAAGATTGCATTTTTTACATACACTGTGGAATTTGGTCTCAACATTGATTTTGGGTAATTGTATTAGTTTATATTATGCAAATTAATACTTTCAGGGCATCATTATTTTTTAGTTGAAAACTTATATATATTTACTATTTGTTTATTTACCTACTTAAAATATTTTAAAATTAAACTTCATAGTATGCTGAAGTTACATTCCTACATGGGAATATTAAACTTATTTATGGTAAAAATTTACATTCCAGTTTACAGTATTTCACTATTGCTATTGCATATTTACAGTTTTTGTTTATTTACTGAAGTTACTACTTCTGTGATTGACTCAAGAGATTTATTTTAATTAGCAAGTGTGCATAATATTTAGTGCGGCATTCCATAAAGGTACCGTTGTCATGAAAAAGATTTCCAATAATGTAAAATGCGGTTTAATTAACGCCGAAAAAAAGTACACTACACCTATCTTTATTTATTATGAAATGGTTAAGTCAATGTATTATACCTATTTCTTTTTATATTTTTATGTCTTCCGTCCGACCTTTCACGCCCGCCATTACTTTAGAGTTTTATTTTATAAAATTATATTTTTTTTATAAATTTAATAAAGTAATGTAGAAAATATAGTAAAATTGTAATAAACTTATATTCAAATGTTACAAGAAAATATTTTTATACAGTTCTACATAGGTATGAAGTGTAGACATATTTTGTGTTCATGGAGGCTGTGACGGGAGAACTGAAATTAGATAAAATATCGATTTATTAATTTAAAATTGCGGTAATATTAAATAGGATCCAACTATTGTTTTTTTTCATTTAAGCCTCGAGATTATTTTAAATGTTCAGTGTTTTTAACCCCTTTAACAGACTAAGTACCTTTATGAGTCATGACCACTCCATAAAATTTTATCCATCAAATGTTTTAGCATTTTTATAATAATGATTTTTGCATTTCTATTGGTTTACCTATTGGTTTTATTTGTATTTTTTTACTTAAACGTAATTTCTTCATTAATAATATTGTTTTATTTCTATTTGGTTTAGTAAAAAGTAGACTTAAGATGTTTTCTGATTGTTGTTCTATTACGTAGGCATAGCTAGTCTTTTCCAATGTTTCAATAATTGTAATAAAACTTGTTTGTTACAATATGTATCATTTTTTTGACAGTTTTTAATATTTACTTTAGTTGTTTGCTTTCAATTTACTTCAAGAAATCTAACAACTTGCATCTTGCGCTTAAAAAAACTGTCTGGTCCGAATTTTCTAGTGATTTTTTGTACATGGAGTCTTCACTTTGGTGACGCATTGTAATGTATGTACTTCAAATTTATTTTCCAATTATATAATATAATTGTAGCGTACTTATTATTATCGTTTAATTGTAATATGTATACTATATAAATATATCATTTAAAAAGCGCCTTTTTATTAGGTATGATGTTATATCTATAACGTAATATTTGTCACTGTTTTTATAAGGTAAGAAGTTATTAATATGATATAATCTGTACGACTATCGATCGATACACATTGTGTTTTGTGCCATTAAAATTATTTGTGAGCCTTTTAAGAACGTGATAAATAAATTTAAAATAAAATTTAGGCTTTTACTCTTTTATTAAAAAAAAAAAGTTTAATTGTTATGATATTATAGATTGAATTTAATTATAATTTTGCTTAGTATATGTCTATATTCTAAAAATGCAAAATAAAATATATTTTTAGCGTTCTATTATTCAATATAGAGGCTTATTGTAATTATTGTGAATGTTGTGTATTGTTTAATATCATATAATAATAATACATTGACACACATTGTCTAAATTAATTTTACAGCGCACAATTAAAAGATATAAAATCTCAATCATATAGTTGCAAACTTTATTTCGTTAATAGACTTGTATCAATGTTTTTCCATTCTAGAAACCATTTTATTTATATGGTTTTATTAAATGTATACCTATGTATAATACCAGATTTTTAAATAAATCGGGACTATAGTTTATTATTTAAGGTATTTCCCTATGGCCATATTGTATATACAAACCTTGCCATATTATATGCGGGTTGCAGTAGTTACGTTGAATTTCACACTTGCTCTCTCTTAGATGCGTATCTCATTGATTTTTCAGTGTGCCAAACCATATTGCTATCAGTGTTAACCTGATATATTTTTAAATTAAGAATTCTTGTATGCATAAGAAATGATAATATGAAGATTAATTACTTATATATTTCTTACTTGACAATGGTTTATGCAGTGCTAATTGTAATACATTCAAGTTCCTTGAATAAACTATGTATCTCTTTATTTTGTATAATTATAACTTATAAGTACATATTACATACCTAACACATTTACTATTTTTCGACGGTTATTACTTAAGTGTTTTTAATGCAACATTTTTTTTAAGCACAATAGTTTTAAGGGTTGGGATAAAACATAAAAATTTATCGACAAGTTTCTTTCTATATGACAGTAGTTTGCCGTGTCTAGTAGTTTCGGTTGTGACATTATGTTTGCCCCCACTTTATATCTTACTGAAACAATGACGAAATACCTATAATTTATGGAAGAGATCTGACGCTATTGATTCGTAATCTTGTGATTTAGATTTTATACTTCTTGTTCTAAACAAAAAAATATTAGTAGTTATTAGATGTTAGTTCTATTTTCAATGTAATTGTAAATAAAATGCCAACTTGTTGAAACTCGTTGTTTTATTTCATTGGAAATTGATTAAAACTAGTTATTTTCATAAGTAATATAATATATTTTATAAATTAACATTTGTATGATGTGGGAATGTTTATTGAAGTTCTTCTCCCAATAAAGACAGCTGTTTCAGAAACTGAGATGCGTTTGGCAAAGTCGTGGCGCCATATATAATTTTTCTCGATTGTCCAATTGCTGCTTGTTGCTATAAATAAAATGTTTAGAGTTATGCATTAATTTTAGAACTCAAATTACATAACAGAATATTTTGTTTTATAAAACTTAAAATATAAGCCATGACAATGGCCAATTAACGTGGTATCTGTAAAGGGGTTCGTGACTACAATACACATACTATTATACAATCAAATAATAATATGGCTATTAGAACTCCTTGTATGAGAGAAATTGACGACTTCTCATAGAAAGTGAATTATGCTCAGGAGTGGGACGGTAAATGGTCTAAATTATATTTTATATTATTTTATATTATATATTATATTATTTCATATACACTTTCTCTATGCCAACATTGTTTCAATTTATGAAAAGAAAAGATTTACGTAAATATGTACCTAGGCAATCATAATTAAATATATTATATACTAGCAGAACCCGCGGCTTTGCTCGCGCTAAAACTACAAAAAATTCCAAAAAGGTAGGTTTCATACTAACTTTCATCCCTTATTTTACCCCCTTACGGGATGAATTTTGAAAAATGTAAATTGTATTGAACAGCATTAATACCAAGTTTCAAGTAATTCTAATCATAAATAATTTTTGGGTTGTATTATAATGCGTTTTCCCCTATAAATGAGGTACTCTCCCGCGGCAAAAAGTATAAACCTATGTTACTCTCCACTCCAGTCCTCCAATTATCTCAACACAAAAATTACGCCAATCCGTCGAGGCACTCTGTTTAGACGTGAAAGAAGGTCAAATAAACACTTTCACATTTATAATATTAGTATGGATGTGTGGTCTTTATAATTTGTTCCGCATTTATAATATTATTATATTGTTTGTGAATAAAAAGAATGTGCTTAGAAGGCTCCCTAGATTGAGCCTGTAGTGTCATCATTAATATTAGGTTAAGGTTTAATCGACGATGATTTATTTTGGTAAGATCGGACGGTAAACTCAATAACCTGTTTAAGTGGTTTTTCTTGCAATTGACATTTGAAATATTTTGACCTTCATACAAATTATGTCAATTTTTTATCTCTTGTAAGGACTAACGGCGGTACCAATTAAAGAAACGGAACTTGAATTAGTAGCCTTATTGAAAAACTTCAATAGGATCTTATCAAAAGCGACAAAAGCCACATATCCTATTGGAGTTTTTCAATAGGGAGGAGAGCCCGAGAGGGGATTTTTTGATTTACTCAAGCGCGGCAGATTAACGTAAGGGGGATGGATACCTTGCACTCTGTTGAGTATCTCCACCTACCGATCAAAGTATTTTAATTTGGAAATACTTGAGCGCGTCAGATTAAGGTGTGGCAAGCTAATTACATGCTGAAAAGTGTGCAATTCAATAATCTGCCGATTTCCACAAGCCGAAAAAATAAAAATCGTCCATAAAGTTCATTTTCAGAGGGTGTATATCCTTCTACACATTAAACTATAAATTATTCTTTAAATAATTACATATATAACGTTTATTCATAAATATAATTAAAAAAAAAGTGAAGAATACATTTTATCTTTTTTTCGCAGATATCTAAATTTAAACAAAGATTTTTGGGACGGTTTAATTTATTAACTTTTTCTGTATATTTTCCTTCATGGTAAGGTTGCAATTGCACCCCCTTGTACCCTATTCTCTACGCCCATAGATTCACAGAAATACAATTCTATATAATTATACTAGGTATATAGTGTATAGTAGAAGTAATAGTAATAAAGACATTGGTAGTAGCCCTGTGGTTACGCGCTCGCTTGGGAAATTGAGTGAAGCAGGTTCAAATCCCGGATCTCGCACATCTGATATTTTCATGTGCGAATCATTTCCAACATGATTACCACTTGTCTTACGGTGAAGGAAAAGCATCGTGAGGAAACCTGCATGTCTGAGAGAACCTAGCAAGTTTTCGAAAGAGATGTGCAGTCCGCCAACCCACACTTGGCCAGCGTGTTGTACTATGGCTTGATCCCTTCGTATTGAAGAGACGCCCGTGCCCGGCAGTGGGACTTAAAAAAGGTCTGAATACATTTTATCTGTTCGCGATAAACTCAAAAACTATTAGCCTGATTTTCATTCTGTTTTCACCAATGGATAGAGTGGTTTTCGAGGAAGGTTTTAGTACATAATTTGTTAAGTTTTTTGGCTTGGCATTGGCTAAAATATAACGATATACATATTAGCATTACCTTAGCGAAATCAACAACATTATGGTACTCGATGTAGCTGCCCCCGCCGACCACGAACACGACGGCGTCGGTGGGCGGCGGGTGGCGCGGCGCGCGCGCGCGGGCCGCCGCGTCCGTGCGCGCCGCGCGCGGGTCCAGCCACGACAGCTCGCCCTCGCTCGACGTCAGCGCCGCTTCCAGCGCGCGGCTCACTGGCAGCTTCTGTTTGTTTGAATTTGTGATTTAGTGTTTATAGTCTGTTTTTTGATCTCAGAGACAAAACTGACGTTAGGTACGTGGGTTGGTAGTTTTTTGCAATTCTGAAATAGTGATGTGCCACTATTGAAAATTTATGTTAACAAATCAAGTATCGTTTTTTTATGATAAGTTTTTTTTTAATAATAAGTTATCCTGAAATAATGTGTAGGTACTTATATAAAACGAAATAATGCAAATTTAAATTTAATAATGTGGATTTAAATGATATTTAACGATTTAAAATTAGTATCAATTTAGAGTGAATTTTAATGATACACTTCGGAACATAAAACTTTGAAGCGAATCGTCTAATAAAGATAAAAAGTTACGATTCAACAAACCGGTATCGTAAGTACAACATTGCACAAAAGAGCTGGCAGCATTGTAAATTTGACATTTACAAGTGTCAATTTAGTCTCTGAGATTAAAAAACAGACTATAACTGTTGTAATAGTATGGGCGTCAAATATAGTCAAAAAATATATTATACATCGTCATTAAAGTGTGGCATAATCATCCAAACGAATTCTCAGTAGTTGTATTTAATAAAACCACTAGGGATATATGGCCTACCGAGAAAAAAATACCTTTCGGTAATAGTAATGCATTTATATATGTGATTAACTTACGTGTTTCTTTACAACCAAATTTTTAACGCCCTCCATTACAAAGGACGATCCTTGCGAAACCAATTTAGAGAACATCGAAACTGTTTTAGTGCCTCCACCTTCGTATTGACCTTGACTTGACATTTTCGTGAATCCCCTGTAATAAAATGAGCTTGGTTATTTATTTTGGTACAATGCTTTATCATCACTTTGTTTTTTTAGAAAAAGAAAAACACTCGTTTATAATTATAAGTATTAATAATTTGATGGAATATTCTTATTCTGCAATTAATTTAGGTAATCATGTATTAGTTTTTTAGATTTTTATGTTGTTATTTTTACTTAGACCTTAACTATTTTTAGATTTTTAATTTACATTTTTAATAACATTTAAAAATCCGGAAACAACCAATATAGTCAACGGCAATATAATAAAAATAAAGTGTAAAAATAAACTGCGTAAAAAATATTAATTGTTCCGTAATTTGGGTAAAAATGTTAAGAAAATATAATTATATACTTATCCTAATAAATGACTGAAATTTTTATAACATATTCTTATAATGACATCAATTTCCGTTATTAAAAGATTATTTTAGATCTGTTTTAAGGCGATAACTTTGAAAATTTTGTAATGACAAAAGTGCTTTGTGTAAAATTCACAAAAATGGCAGCCTAACAAAGTCTTAAATGGGCTTTTGGTTACTATATGTTTTCATACATATATAATTAGAATAACAATTTGTTTATCTTCTGACTTCTCGTTTTTACTGGCAGAATATAAAACCTATCCATTAGCTAGAATAACATGCACCAGAAAAAGACATACACAATTACATTAAAAAAAACAGAAAAAGATCATTTCCTACTTACTTCCACCGTTTCATATACAACATAGGTTTAGTATCACAGTTGGCCGCTATCAATGCATTTTCAAACTTCTTATATTCCTCCTCAGGTATTTGCGAGGTGCACAGGTAATAGATTATAAATAAACGCATCTTGTCCTCTTCAGTGCCCGCACTAGAATCTGTTATCAGGTCCATTACTGCTTTACTCTCAACACCACTGCTTTTGCTCATTATTTTTTCTTCTAATTCAAAGAACGAGTCGAGTCGTCTGGATTTTATTGCGTTCAATATTGCTGAAATATGTTTGTATATTATAATAATTTATCACTGATTTATTTCACACTTAACGAAATTCAGGCCCACTTTACATAATGGATATAAAACATAAATACTTGTTTGTATTATAATGATATAATACTTTCTTAGATTTATACGAATATTTGACATTTTTAATAAAACGAGTCTCCCGTGACCATGATTGCTTTAAAGCTTTCCAAATGTCGGGGACTAAAAACCAAATAAATCTGCGAAAAAACCCGAAAAGATAGTTTTATTTAAAAGATTATGTAAATAAAGTTGGCCTAATGCAAATCTGTAGGAATCGAAATTTGATGAGTAATTGGAGAAAATACATATTATGTACAAACTACGTAACAGATTGTTTGTGTATCTAGCAAACCACTTCATTCTGTCCCATAATTTATAATGTATACCTGTAGCGATAGTAGTGTGCATATCGATGAGACGTTTCTTCTCCATCAACTGCGGCAAGGAGTTAACAGCGCTCGTCAGTCGCTGGGTGTTGTCGCTCACCATACTGAGGGCGATGTCGCTGTCTGCATCTAGGCCCATTGAAGTCCTTAGCTTCTTTACCTCTGCCTCTGAGCTCCTGTTAATATTTAAAAAAAAAGAAATAGCATTAGTGATGAATTTAGAATCATTGAAGTCCCTAACTTCTTTACCTCGGCCTCTGAGCTTCTGTTAATTTAAAAAAAAGAAATTAAATGACATTTATGATCGACATTAGAACTCTATTAACATATAGATTTATCAATGAATTTCATGGATTAAATTAGAAACACCCACTTACCTATATATTAAAATACTTCTAGTAAATAATCGTACCTACCAATTTCCTTTTTTATGTATGAGTTTTTATGGACGAGCTTTACTTATAACAATAAAAAAAAATTGAAACGGGTTTTTTTAATATTATAAATTATAGGTAATGACAAAATAGTACGTTATTATTATTATTTATAAATTTTTTTAATAATGATCATGGTGGAATTTCGACCACTAGGTGAATACTAGTGTATATAAAAAACGAATGGGGTAATGGAAATTATATGGGCTTAAAATGTTTTGCTAGCAACATGACAGTTATACCTCCTCCTTGTTTTTTCTTCATAATTTTTTTTGTAATATACTGTATTTTTATTATACATATACCTGTATTTATCTAAGTCTTCCTGTATGGCCTCAGCTACGGTCGGGAAAGGACTGCCTTTATGTTCCGCCCACAAAGGCTCTTTTGAATCCAAATCACATATTCTAGTTTTGGTTTTTTGTCCAGGTATTACTGGTCCAGAACTTTCTGGTACCACTGCTCTAAAATTAAAAAAAACATTATAAGTTGTTTATGTTGACAATATTTCATAACAAATAATTAAATAGGATGTTGCATACATAAAAAAAATATTTATATATATTATAGATTAATTACGTGTGTTTGCCTGCCTGCCAAAAGTCCATATTGTCTGAATGTAGTAGTTAAATGGAGTTGAAATATGGTGACATGACATGTATCATACAAAAATAGATGGACCTAAGAAGTATTGGTGTTGAGTGAATTCGAATTTCAAAAGACAAAATAATTTTTCAAATTTTAAGAGTCAAAACTAAGAAAGGGTTAAAAATGTGTTTTTTTTTCAGCTTAAAATTATAAATTATTGTATTTAACTAATATCAATATAACCTAGAAAGTACCACATCATTTTTATAACCACAATATTTTTACAAATATTATAAAGAGCCACAATGTGTTTGTTTGAAGGAGCTAATCTCAGGAACTACTAATCTGGTTTGAAAAATTCTTTTTGCATAAGATAGCCCGTTTATTGAGGAAGGCATCATGCTACTACCCAAGGGAGCAGAGCAGTAATCGTAAATGTCAACAAATCGGGCAGACTTCTATGCTGATGATATTTATAATCAAAGAAATTTAACGCGTGTGAAATCATGGGGCATAGCTAGTAATGAATAAAATCATGTTGTGTTGTTATCATTACTTTATTATTATAAAGTATATTGAATTACCTACATGTTTCGCAATTTTTATTAGTTCCTTTAATGAAATATTGATTCTTTTGATAAAATATCAGAATTTATTAATTATCATCTAGTAATAAAGATTATTATATAAAATATCATACCTATTTAAGGACAAGTCCAGAACATCATGAGCCAAAGCCTGGTAAGTCCAAGTGTGATGCAATGGTGTTGCCATGTCTACATTTCTATCGAGCAATATTAGCATGGGTCGAGTAAAGCTAAATGTCCCCGCTTGTCCATGGAACAAATTATTCCGTGCATCCCACAGATTCTCTCGTAGCTTCTTATCAAGTTTTTTTGCTACCATTTCCGCTGCATTCCCTTTACTGCATCTAATTATCGGAACATTGCCTGCAAATTGCAAAATATTAAATTCTTCAATTAAAAGGATTTTTATATACAATTATAATTTATAATTTTATATAAATGATAGATTTAAAAATTCCATTTAGCTTTATATTTATACATTTTTTTTAAACCATATTCTAGTGAGTAGTATGCATACCAAGTGTAACAAACACTGAGAAGAGGCTTTCAACTATTTCATCCATAATTGCTTCCATCTCTGTGTCTTTTGTATCCCCTTTATTTATAGCTGCAAAATTAATTTTTATAATAAAAAAAAAACAATCTATTTGAGCAGAATGAGTTGGCACTAGTTTTCTGTGTGCTATGTAAGAACATTTTATGTATGTTAAATATAAATTCTTTACGATAACTTCTATTATAAATGCTAAGTGTTTGTTTATCCCTCAGTTGGTTTATTGCCAGACATCTAGATATCCAGAGTAAAGAGCAATAACCTATTTGTATATGTGTACATTACATTATTATTACAGATTGGGCCTGAGGGAAGCAAGAATCTTTTATTTTAAGTACCAATTATTTATAAAAATAAATTCTTTACCATAATAAGACAATGAATCAGATTTCTGGTGTTTCATAATAAATAGGTCATCTTCCAAACAAATAAAATTTAGATATTGATCAAATATTTTGTGAATGCTCATAACAGAGTTAGATTGAATTGCTGATGCTGCTAAATCCTCTAACTTTTGCCGAGTTATTGGAGATATAAAGTTCAAGTGGTACTGGTCATATATCCCATTATCCAGGTCTTGGCATATTCTACCCAAGTTTTCTTCAGATGGAGCGCAAAAGTAAACGACAGGTACTTCAGGAATAGAATCTCGGTCAGAATGTAATTGTCTAAAAAAAGAAAGTTCCTTATAGAAAAATATAATTTTATTTAACACTTATTTGGTACATTATCTTAAGTAATTTTCTAAGTGAATTACACGTACACATGTAAAGTTACACCTAATTCTCTCAGTTCTTTGATTGATATGAGAGGAGAAATAATATCTTGACCAACTCTATCATAAACAAGCACTTTCCATGTAGGCTCATTTGCTACAGCCTTTGTTAATGGTTGGTTCAAGTTAAGCATCTGTTTTAGAGCATCTGAAAAAGAAATAACATTTTACAATATATTTAAAAATTAACACATTACTATACGAACCAATAAGTATATTTACTTTTTACAATTAAGAATGTGTAATTTATTTAATTATATTTTTTTAATTATTCGGTTTGTGACAATGAATATTTGTTAAGTAGCAAATGCAAACATCACCAGAACAACTAAAAATACGAACAAACAGAGATGAAAACTTGCATATCAATTTGTGTAAATCATTACTTACTGAGTTGGCGTTCACGTAATGTTGTCATCGTGCTGTATGAAATTCACTGCCATTAAATAATATATCTCGCACAGTATCAACTTAGTTAACTATTTCTATTTTCATTTAAGAATTGTACTAAATATTGCTCTAATTATACATTTTCAACAACTTTTCTCGAGTTCTATCTGTCAAACTGACAGTATTATTCTTCGACACGTCGGCTCTTTGACAAATGACGTCAGTTTCATATTCAAATATATCGGATACTTGCACGTTGTTTTTTGGGCCTAAAATGTATAAAAGTTAAATTGAATTATTACTCATTAAAAGCATAACATGTAAAAAAGTCTCGCAACGCAGTCCTTTTACTGCAAAAAGTTATGAGATATAATGTAAGTGTAAGTGATCTGGGTTTATTCCTACCTAAACTAGCCATTGATTAGTTAGTGAGTGAATGCAGATGAAATGGCCTTTTTTCTATCGTAAATGATTTGGATGTAGAGATTATTTTGCGTAGCTCCTGGATGCCAGGGACTCCCGGGAGGCTACATGACTGCTGTTGCCGGTGCTGGTATTTGCACTGTAGGCGTTCTTGTTGCTTGTGTTTGCGCTGAAGGCGCCTTGGCTTCGAAGCTATGCGGTTGGACCATATATTCTGGCTGATGTGTAAGTGTGCGGAGTATTAGCTGCAGCCGCATGCCTTACTAACCGAGCGCGCACTGGCGCCTTCCCCTTGTGGTCTCCTGTGCGGAGCCCTCGGGCACCAACGAAAATTTGCGGGATGCCTTTGTTGAATAAATCGCCCCAAATGGCCTGTATTTATATTACTCCCGACTGTAGACCAGATCGTGCCGATTTGACCAATGTGAGCGTTAAAGCTTGCACATGGCAGTAATATTTGCTATTACTTTTATTCTTGTGCGCCTTGTCTCTTTTACGTTTTTTGCTATCTTTCGTTGATGTATTAGTCCTTTACATTTGGATCATTAACTATGAATTGTTTTCATTGAGTGACGATATTAAAGAAATTTGACCTGCAATAGTCCTTAAACTACAGGTTCAAATTGAATGTAATTTGAAAATAGACCTAGTTATATTATGTCTTCTTATTCACTAAAAATTCAGACTTCTAACTTTATCCATAATGAAGTAAGGGGGAGGGAGGAAGGGTAGAAAATGTGCTGAATCGCTTCGAGAAAAGGATGGTACTGCCGTTCCCTTTCTTGCTCGACTTGGCGCGGTCACTGCCGTGCCCCCAGATTATTATTAGTCAGTGATCTGTGTAAATTCTTCATGGAGTGTAAGATATATCTCCTTATATTAAATGTCTTCTAGCATTCCGATACATAGAGTTGGTCTTCTCTTAATTATGACAATATATCTTTATTTTTAACTTTTTTACGGCAATGATAAAATATATTGATTGCGAGAGTCATGACACGAAGTTACACCTAGTCTAAAAGTTTATTTTGCCCCACTATAGTCATGGTTAGGGGGTTTAGTAGCGTCCGGTAATCGCGGTAAGTGCATTGGAAAGTATACCATGCGGGTTTGCTGATAATTAACAGAGTGGACCATGAAAGCAACCCCCTTGTTTTTATAGCAGAGAGGGCGACAGTATGTACTCTACTTCGATAGACCACCGGTCGAGAATTTGTGGTTGAGTGCGCAAGTGATCCTGTAGCATCCCATTATAACGGGAAAGGTTTTCATGGGGCTTAGTGCCCGAAACATTCCTGTTTAAGATCAGATAACGTGACCTCAATTGGAGATCAGCTTCAATCAGTAATTGTTGTTTATCTATAGGTACTAATATTATAAAGAAGTCAAGTTTGAGAATTGTGAGTTTGTGACGTTGTAGGGCTAATCTCTGGATCTACTGAACCGACTGAGATGAAATTTGGTAAGAAAATAGTGCAAGACCCTGGAAAGGACATAGGATATTTTTTATCCCGGAAATCATCCCTTAAGGGGGTGAAAATGGGGATGAAAGTTTGTATTGGGAAGCGAGCCAGGGACAAACCCGAGCGAAGCGAGGGTGAGTCGTTAGTGTAATTTAATTCAATTTAAAGCAATATTGCATCTGCTTCAGAAAGTATGTAGGCAAGTAAATAAAATAAAATAGTCAAGATGCAATCAGAAAATACCTTTTGTTCGTACCTAAGATTTGTATGACAACCAACATGTAACTTATATATTGCTTTTAATTTTGAATAGGCGTTAATTATATACTATTACATAGATGGTAATGTAGTCATCATGGGCGTACTCAGCTTTTGGTCCAGGGCGTGGGCATAACAGCCATTAATAAGCCCCGTGCTTGTTTTACCCTGCACACTCTACACGAAGAATAAAAAAAATGCGAATGCCGAAATTTTACTTAGCGGACACTTTTTATTATTGTTCAACAGACTATACACTGCACACATTAACAACCAGATTTTTTACATACCTATATAGGCAGTGGTAGCCCAGTGGTAACGCGCTCGCTTGGGAAACCTAGTGAAGCGAGTTCAAATCCCGGGTCTTGCCTCGCACTTCTGATATTCTTATGTGTCACTTGTCTTTATGGTAAAGGAAAAATCGTGAGGAAACCTGCATATCTGAGAGAACCTAGCAAGTCCGCCAACCCGCACTTGGCTAGCGTGGTGGACTATAGCCTGATTCCATTCGTACTGAAGGGATGCTCGTGACCAGCAACGCATTAAAAAGGGCTGAATATAGGTAGTGGTACTCTATCATATAGATAGACAAACGACTTATCTTCGATTTGCTTGGGTGCGTCCCTAGGTAGCTACGCGGATTTTGTTCACAATTTCATGGATTTTAATTTTGATGCGCCGAACCCTAATTATTTAAAAAAAAAGTAGCCTAGCTCAGACAAAAATTTCAATAACTACTGTTTTCTGGTCTACTCGTATTATTCTGTACGCATTACATAACAGCCATTAAAAATTATATGTACAGATTAAAAAAAAACAATTAGCAACCCATGGCTAAGTGCTTACCACTCTATATCTAGAACGGTTGATCATATATAATACCCTCGCTTAGTTCGGGTACGTTAATATTCAAAAAATATATATTTGAACCTTCGATCAACAATACTACTGGTGATCGAAGATTTGAGTGATACCTTGTAAGGCGGTCACATACATTTTACAAGCAATTCTAAAAAAGTTCTAATACTCGTAGAAATAGTAAACTTATTTCATGAATTTACAAATTGACATAAACTTTATCATTACTGAATTTTATAGTTGAACTAGCATTGCCCGCGGCTCCGCCTGCGTTCAGATGACCAAAAACCCTCCAGTGGTTTTTCTGTGATGCGCTAACAGACAGACAGATAGACAGACAGACAGACAAAAATTCTAAAAACTTTAGATTCGGCCTCCGTATCGATAATAACTTAGAATAAAATAGACTTTCTATTTCAATAAGATTTTCCAAAAAAATATTTAATATAAGTACAGATTCGGCTTAGTTACGATTTTATTATATTATGTAAAGATTTGGGAAGCTTAGGTAGTCAATTTAAACTAGCGTGTAAACTGGCTAATTTTTACACGGTGCGATTTTTTAATGAAACATCAATTTATATTGATACATAGAAAGAAAGCTTTTATATAAAAGTGCGAAAAAATTATATACGACGCTACTAGTTTTATATAATAAGCTTTATTCCGTTTCGCTTCTCATAATATTTATAAGATACTAGCAGAACCCGCGGCTTTGCTCGCGCTAAAACTACAAAAAAAAAAACTAAAATGGTAGGTTTCATACAAACTTTTCAAATCCGCTATTTTACCGTCTTATGGGACGAATTTCGAAAAATGCCAAAACACGTATTTATTTAATTGTATTGAAGAGCGTTGTTACCAATCTTGAAGTAATTCTGATCATAAATATTTTTTTGGGTTGTATTATAGCGTGTTTCCCCGTGGGATAGAGATAATCTCCCGCTGTAAAAAGTAGCCTATGTTACTTTCCAGCCCTCCAACTATCTCCACACAAGCCGCTTCGACATGAAAGAAAGACAAACAAATAAACAAACAAACCAACAAACAAACACACTTTCACATTTATAATATTAGTATGGATTTCGCGCTACTTCTACGCTTCGCTGGAGTTCGCCTCAAAGGAATGACATAATCTTATCAACATTAGTTTCAGAGTCGAATTGATTTATTTGCATGTGAGTTATGATATAATATATTTGAAGTTAAAGCAATAGTTTAGGAGAAAGTCGTTAGGTTGATAGGTGGTGGTGGCGTGAGGTGCTCCGGACTTGAGGCTTTGGCAGTGCGCGCGCGGTGGTGAAAGGTGCTATATCAATGTTACGAGTGAACACAGTTCGGACCACCATGACTGTCTATACGTGTATATTTCTTTTTTGTGCCATAATTGTGAACGGTTAGTTAATACTTTTTATGAGTTTATTTACGCCAAAATATATATTAAATAATTTTTCATCCTATTTTTGATGATAATTAGTTTAGACGTAATTGTTATGCAAGTGGCTTGGTGTAGGTATTATTTTAATGATTCTTTTTAAGTAAGCGGTTTATTAACGTAACCGTTACAACAAAATACAGTGAAAGCTATGCAAAAGTTATATACGTATATACGCACGTAAGTTACAATAAGAAGTAAGCAAATATATACACCAGCTGAGCAGTTTGCAATATCAGCTTATTAATGGGTGTACATAATTTTAATGTCCAATTGAAATGAGTATTAGTCTCTAGTACTAAATTGTGTAAGTATACATAGATAGTTAAATACTAAGTATTCCTCGGACACGTCCTTCTTTCACTTGACATTGAGACGACCGGCTGTAAACGAAAAAGCATGTTAATATTTCGATAATAATTATATAATATATTACCAATGTTTTACTGGAGTTTATTGAGACAGTAACGACGATATTGTGCTTAGAATTTCCTTACTACCGAGAAGTTTTACGGATGGAACAGACCATACATATTAATACGAATTTATTTTTATACTAGCGACTCACCCTCTCTCCGCTCGGGCTACGTTCTAACGTTTTGTATAGATTTCTCAGGGATGAGACATTTTCCCGCAGTAAAAAGTATCCTACATGTTGACCGGATAACCAGCTATAAGACAGACAGACAGAAATTCTAAAAACTATAAATTCGGCTTTTGTATCGATAATGATGACTACTTCAATAAGATTTTCCATAAAATATTTAATGTACAGATTCGATTCAGAATTTTATTATAATATATATGGATGACTTACCTACCCAAATTGTTTTTTTTTGTTTAAATCCAATACCTATATTGTATACCTATAATAGTATATTGTTAGGCGATATTTTATTTCCCAATTAAAAATGAAGGATTACAAAAACACGTATGTCTGTGTACATTCGAGAAGTTTTTGCCTTGATATAAACGAGGTCCCGACAGGTTTATAGAGTATGTGCAGTTGCTTGCATTCATGACATTTTTTACAACTTACAAGCTCTTGGCACCTTCGCATCGTTTGTGAGCGTAAAACGCCTCCATTATTTTACCTAAAATTTTACACAAAAAGTAATTACAGGAAATTAGATTTTTCTTGGAGTGTAAGTAAGTTATGAAAACGATAATCTGATTATCTTATCGTGATACAAATATTTCATTGAATCGAAACTTCTTTAGAATCGTTGTGATTTGAAACTCGATGAAACGGAAATGCGACACGAGAAAGAGACAAATACATAAATATATAGGATTAAGCCGGCGGAGAACGAGATATAAGATAGAATACATTACACACGAAGTGAATAATAATACTGGATAATATGTTATGTCATTAATATGTGTTAAATAAAATGTAAAATAACTTTTAAACTTAGTAAAAAAAAACTAAACTTATTACTTATAAAAATGAATATTTATTACTGTGGGATGAACGTGCGTAAATAAAAGCTATTATGACTAATTGTTGCCATAGTAATCGTAGTTATTGGCTGACAAATATATAATATTACTAGCAAAACCCGCGGCTACGCCCGCGTTCAATCTAAAAAAACCTCTAGCTTTATGTTATATAGTGACTCACCCTCGCTTCGTTCAGGTTCGTCGTTATGTATTTATATAATCTATATATTAATACGTGAAGCAAAAACTTTGTACCCCTTTTTACAAAAATTGCGCGGACGGAGGAGTATGAAATTTCCCATACTTATAGTTTATATAGAGAAGGAGTGTAGAATGCTATTATATTTCGTCGCTTCATTCTTCAGATATTATTTTTACCCTGTAGTCCCCTTTCCTTGCGCTAGCAACTACGCACGTCTTTAGATAAGTTTTTTAAGTACCTACATTTTTTTTTTGTGTTTACCCACGTTTTAACTATTTCAACTTCGGGTTTTAATCGTGTAGTTTAGTCATTCCTTTTTCGTGCGCAGCAACGAACGGACGTCTTCAATATACTTCGTATACGTGTAGTATAAAGTGTTACTATGCCAAAACGTAAAACTAAAGATAAGATTGAATATTATAAAAGCAAATTACGAAAGTTGGAAAACAAAAGCCATCGTCGGATAAGATGCCTATCGCCTTCATCGGATTCGGAACAAGAAACAAGAGATACAAGTAAGTACAAGTTTCATCTATAAACTGGTGCTTAAGTCCTTATAAATGGTACTAATAGTATTTAAATAGTAATAATTATATTAACTATGATAAAAACGCCTGGAGAATGTCCGAGATGGCATTACAAAGGCTAATTAAGTTAATAATGCCCAAAGGTTACCCGAGATGGTAACATGACGGTTAATTTATACCGGGAGGTTATCCGTGATGGTAGCACGAAGGTTAATTTGTACTGGGAGGTTATCCGAGATGATAACACAATAGTTTTTAAAATAAGACAGTTATAATTTCTATAAATTAGAATCACAGATAATGCTGTTCTTATATTTATAAAGTAAAAGTTAAGACTACCCACATGACAGAGAAAAATATTTCCAGATTCAATTGGAATTGGGGATCCCGTAACTATGAGCTCGGTTATTGACGCCGAGCCTGGGACATCAATGGAAGCACCAAATGAAGGGGTTACTGGTCCTGAAGTCTGTATGAATTCACCGGGCGATAACAATGTGGCGAATTCTTCAACTGTTCCCGTTTTGGATCCAAGTATTTTGGCAGCATTAGGGGAAATCACGGACGAAACCCCAGAGTTTGGTGAGAAAATTCACGAAAGCCTCGTAAAAATATGGTCACCTTTGTTAAAACAAGGTATGTCGAAAGATAACAGGGAGGTACTCTTGAAAAACTATTTAATCCCAGAGAATTGTACTTGGCTTCAAGCGCCAATACTTATTCGGAGATTTCTGCAGCTATACCCGAATCAGGTAGAGCTCGGGATAAGAAAATGGCCGCTACCCAACGACAATTGGGCGTGGGTATTACTGCAATTAACCGAGGTTTGCATTTGCTTATTCACGATGGAAGCAAAATTGAGGCTATAAAATTTATAAGTGACGGATGTAGAATTTTATCTGATTTACATCATCAAAATACTGAGACAAGAATTAAATTTATACTCCCTGGCCTCGATAAATCTTTTTTACAATTTTTAGAACGCACCGAACGCGACAATACGCTGTTCGGTAGCGATCTCTCAGAAAAAATAAAAGCCTCTAAGACTATTGTCAAACAAGGTGATCTGATTAAGAAAGCTTTGCCTCCGCCAAAGCCTTCCACTTCCAATAATTCTAGAGCGCAACCAAACGCTAACCGGTCCAGCTACCAGGGAAACTGGCAGGGACCTTCTCGTTCCCAGCCGAACAGAGGAGGGGGGCGAGGAGGTCACAAGCGGACCAGCTACCGCATTCCAACTTCTACCAGCCAGTCGAAGACCAGTCACACTTACAAGCCGTGTCTCAACGCGACGTCAGTGACCCAGGTACATGCAGGTAGAATTCAATTTTATTATAATTGCTGGACAAAAATAACGAACAATAGGACAGTTCTTAGGTGGATTAACCAAGGTATAGATATTCCTTTTATCAAAGATGTAATCCAATATAATTTCGCCAAGACGAGTAGGTCTAACAAAGAAAGACGTGATATTCCAGATTTTAAATTAGAGATATTTTTAGTGTAATCTAATTTTGGCCTTATTGTAACTCTCCTTTGTGTACAATGTGCAATCTTAAGTAATACTGTAACGCTGTTTGATTACCAAATAAATAAAAATAAAAAATAAAATAAAAAATGACAATCGCCATTAACAGACTCTTAGGTCTGGGTGCCATTAGCACCTGTAAACCGGTGAAAGATCAATTTATTTCTCGAATATTCTTAGCACCTAAGGCAAATGGTGAAAAAAGATTTATTTTAAATCTTAAATTATTAAATAAGTTTATAGAAAAAAAATCATTTTAAAATGGAAGATCATAGGACAGCGTCGAAGCTTATACCCAAACATGGTTTTTTGGCCTCTATAGATCTAAAAGAAGCTTACTTATTAGTTCCCGTCATGAAATCTTTTCGTAAATACCTGCGTTTTGAATTTGAAAATGATAAATCCGATATTATAACGTACGAATTTAATGCAATGCCTTATGGTCTTTCCATTGCCCCTAGGGTATTTACCAAAATTATGAAGGAAGTTATGACCTATCTTAGACTTCAAGGTTACAAATCAATCATATACCTTGATGACATGTTATGCATAGGAAAAACCTATACCGAGTGCCTTAGTAACGTCAAGGAGACTTTAAGAATATTAACTTGCCTTGGTTTTGTAATAAATTATAAGAAGAGTTCATTAATACCTGAACAAAGTTGTAAATATTTAGGATTCATTTATAATACCACTAATCTTTCTATATCGGTACCTATTGAGAAACGTCACACTATAGCACAGCTTGTTTTATTTTATTTTATTTTATTTTAATTAGGATCTCCAACAAAAGATACACACAATATACAACATTATATAAAAACAAAAAGCAAATAAGACTCACAATACGTGTGCTCCTTCACTTATAGGAGATCACAACTTGCTCATTAATTTATTTTACGTTATAACTAAGTTTAAACTAAGAAAAAATTAACGTCTAGAAACAAATCTGAAACTATATATAGAGACACAAAAAAAAAGAAACAAATCATATTACAACATATTTAAACATTTCTACTAAAGTTACGATAAGAATTTAGTAAGACTACTTTTGAATTGAAACATATTAGTGGAAAAGATATCTAATTCAACATGTTGTTTAGAAAGCGTATTGTTAAAAAATTCTTAAGTTTACCCCCTTGTACAATTAGGGAATTAGCTAATTTGATTGGTGTACTTACCGCAACATGTCCCGCCGTTAAGTACGGTTGGTTATATACAAAAACACTAGAGCGTCAAAAATACCTTTTGTTGAAAAAATTTCAAAATTATGACTGCAAAATAAATCTAGAAAAATGCATAATTAATGACTTACAATGGTGGTTACTAAATATATTTAAAACTTCTAACTTCACTAAAATTCCAGATTTTAAATTAGAGATATTTTCGGACGCATCACAAACAGGATGGGGAGCTTATTGTAGCGGCAAACGAGCTCATGGATCTTGGAAAGAGACCGAAAGTCATTGTCATATTAATTACCTCGAATTATTAGCTATTTTTCTAGCATTAAAAACCTTCGCTAAAGAATTATCAGACTGTGCTATATTGTTACGAGTTGATAATAATACAGCTTTAAGTTATATTAATAGAATGGGAGGAATACAATATCCTCATTTAAACGACCTTACTTTTAAAATTTGGCAGTGGTGTGAGAAGCGAAATATATGGATATTTGCGTCATATATTAATACTAAAGAAAATATTGAAGCGGATGCAGAATCAAGAAAAATTAACCCTGATATAGAATGGAGTTTATCAGACAAAGCTTTTGAAACTATTTTGTGTAAATTGGGTCAACCTGAGATTGACTTATTCGCTTCTCGCATTAACGCTAAATGCGAAATATATGCAGCCTGGTTTCCCGATCCAGATGCATCTTTTGTCGATGCATTTACCATTAACTGGAAACATAATTTTTTTTATGCTTTCCCTCCATTTTCGTTAATACCAAAATGTCTTAATAAAATAATAAACGATGAAGCGTGTGGTAAATTTGTGTTTCCATGGTGGTCGTCACAACCATGGTTCCCCATATTGAGAGAATTAATCTGTTCTGAAATAATATATTTTGAACCCAGTAAATTTTTACTTCAATCCAATTTCAGGAACTATCACCATCCTCTACACAGCCATCTTATGCTGGCTGCGGCGATACTCTCCGAGAAGCCTTCCTTCGGCGTAACATCCCAGTCCAAGCTATAGATCTCATGTTGGCGTCACTTTCTGATAATACCAAAAAACAATACAGTGTATCATATAAACTCTGGTGGCAGTTTTGTAAAACAAATAACATGAATATTTTTGACAGTACGGTAGCAAAGATAATATCATTTTTAACTGAAGAATTCAATAAAGGTGTCTCGTACGGTTCACTAAATTCTCATAGATCTGCGCTCTCTTTACTTCTGGGCAATAATATTGGGTCCGATGAATGCATTAAGCGATTGCTAAAAGGAGCCTACAAACTCAAGCCAAGTAGACCAAAATACACTCACACTTGGGACCCACAGATAGTACTCAATCATATCTCTAATTGGTACCCAAATAGAGATCTTGAGTTGAGTCAATTAACAAAGAAAGTAGTTATACTACTTGCTTTGTGTACGGCACAGCGAGTTCAAACTCTATCGTTGATAAAGATAAGTAACATATATACCTCAGATGCTGGAGTGAAAATTTTAATAACTGACGTTATTAAAACTTCAGCCCCAGGAAGAGAACAACCCATACTTTATTTGCCTTTTTTCATTGAGAATAAAAATATTTGTCCAGCTACCGTACTTACAGATTATATCCATGTTACTAAGAAATTGAGAGACAAAAACAAAAATAATTTAATACTGACAATTAAAAAGCCTCACGGGACGGCTACAGCTCAAACGATAAGTCGATGGATTAAATTGGTTTTATCAGAAAGTGGTGTTAATACCTCAATATTCAGTGCACACAGTACACGACACGCTTCAACTTCTTCTGCAAATTCCGCTGGGGTATGTATTGATACCATACGGAAAGCTGCGGGATGGACGAGTCGTTCTCAAACTTTTGCTAAATTTTACAAACTTAATGTGATTAATGAAGCAGAATTTGCAGAATCAATATGCAAAAATATTTGATTTAAATTAGTTATTATAGTATAGTCTATCAATACTTTATTTTTGCTTAAGATTAAACGTTCATTTTGTAAAAATCCTTGTTATTTTAATTGAAACGTAACATTGCAAATCTCATATAAACTCTTAAAATCTACAGGGTAAAAATAATATCTGAAGAATGAAGCGACGAAATATAATATATGATCAAACGAACTTCCAAGTGAAGTTCGATCATTATTATATGAGTCGCTTCATTCGAAGATATTTTGTTCCCTACCCACCCAAAAAGCCCTCAAGAGATTTGCAAAAAATCGAGTTCTCTAAAATAATGACTAAACTACACGATTAAAACCCGAAGTTGAAATAGTTAAAACGTGGGTAAACACAAAAAAAAAATGTAGGTACTTAAAAAACTTATCTAAAGACGTGCGTAGTTGCTAGCGCAAGGAAAGGGGACTACAGGGTAAAAATAATATCTTCGAATGAAGCGACTCATATAATAATGATCGAACTTCACTTGGAAGTTCGTTTGATCATATAATATTTTTAAAAAATTATGCATAAAAAATACATTAAATCAATAAAAAAAAATTACAAACACTACCATGTATTTGAGACAAACACGCATATTATATATTCTTTTGTTTATTGTTAGTGTCTGTGGTCAAATTGAGAATTATGTATAGTATAATAGCTATAGACGAGCTTTAGTTTTATAAATAAAAAAAATCAATAATAATCATGGTCGAAGTTCGACCACTCGGCGCAATGTGAATGCAGCTAACTTCATCATGTTGCTTTCAGCTAACTGCATTATGTCGCTTTTTGGCTGTCGGTGTGCGCGCGCATCGTAAAAATTTAACTCTCATAATTTTTTCCAAGCGTGCCAAAAGACGTATAACTTCAAAAAAATCATTAAGTTTTATAAATATATGATTGTAATATGCCTAATACTATGCCTTATTTAATGATTGGTCTGTTTTAATTTAATTGCGATATTTGCCAAAGAAGTTTTACTTCAGCCGCGCGTAAAGGTTACACGTACCCATTTTTATTTTATTTTTTAAGTAGGTAGTTCATATTGTGCTATATTTGCTTTTAGTTATTAATTTTCAAGTATATTTTGTAAGAAATAATAATAACTTTAAGTTCATAAAGGTAACCATAACTACAGATAGAAGTAATTCTTGTATAAATTCATTATTATCTACTCAAAATTATATTTCGTCTTACGTAGTCACAGTATTATTTTTATGTTTTTAAACGTATTGACCTTCCCACAAAAAATTAACATTCCATCAGTGAATTATGGATGCATACTAAATGGTTACGAGGCGCGCGTCGCGCGTAGCGATTAAGTACGTATGAATGCGGAAAATAAAATAATTTCTGGAATGCTACATCTGTATCATTAATATGGTTATTAATGCAACATTTGACAATTTTATTACATGTATAATATGTAGATGACGTGGTCGTCATCTATACCTACATATAATAAAATTGTAACTAAGCCGAATCTGTACATTAAATACTTTTTTGGAAAATCTTATTGAAATAGTCATTATCATTACAGAGGACGAATCTATAGTTTTTAGAATTTTTGTCAGTCTGTCTGTCTGTGACCGCATTACAAAAAGCCACTGGAGGGATTTTGATGGGTATGATGATAGCTGGTAATCCAGGTCATCATATAGGATATTTTTCACTGCGGGAAAATATCCCATCTCTGAGGAATTTACACTAAACATTAAAACGTAGGGACGGACTCGAGCGGAGCGAGGGTGAATCGCTAGTTGTTAATAAAAGTTAACAACTTCCATATAATAATCATGCGAAATACTAAGAACTGTTTCTCATACATAATATATTGCCATTAAATGTCGCATAAGACAGTATTAGCGTTGCTAATATGCTATGAATAAATTTATCATTTAAAAAATTATATAATCACTTGACAGTGGTCTAGTCACCTAGTGACATTAATATCGACATGCAAAAAAATATATACCAGATTTTATGTAATACATATGTATATCAATATCTAGAGTAGATGATAAAATTTAAAAATCATAGTATTTTTGGTTTATGTATTAAAAGAAATAAATACTTGAGCTTAAATATCAGAAACAATCTATACATATAATAAAATTGCAACTTAGCTCAGTACATTAAATATTTTTTGGAAAATCTTATTGAAATAAACATTATTATCGATACAGAGGCCGAATCTATAGTTTTTAGAATTTTTGTCTGTCTGTCTGTCTGTTACCGTATCACAGAAAAAGCACTGGAGAGATTTTGATGAAATTTTGTATGGTGATAGCTGGTTATCCAGGTCGACATATAGGATACTATTTACCGCTGGAAAATATCTAATTACTGAGAAAAAATACAAAAACCGCAATGTAAGAGAGTATACTAATATGTAAAACCTAAGAATTTGGTTTTCGGTCATCTGTACGCGGGCGGAGCCGCGGGCAATGCTAGTATACCTATAAGTACTAAAGTAATAACGGGTTAAGTCTCTGTATTCAATTAGTACGGAAATAAAAATATTTCATAGACATTGCGTATAACGCATAAAGAAGCTGTATATAGAATCAAGGTACATTCACGATTTATTATTTTATGAATATCAATTCTTTGTAATTTCAACTTACGAAGTTTGATAATTTATGAAGCTCCTCCGGAATGTTCAAAAATCGGAAATTAAAAATACCATACAGTGTTCATTAAAACTGCTGCTACTAAAATAACTATTCTAAACTATGCAGTAGCTAGTTGTTAAAATTTAGTAATAGCGACCTAAAATTTTAGATTGAGCCCAATCAAGTATGTTACATGGATCAAAATATTGAATAAATCCAATATTTATTATTAAGAATATTAGCACACTATACGACTTCTGAATATACATTATACAGATATGTGAAACTTATAAAAACCCACCATCAAAGAGTTATTCGAAACTTAGCTACATCAATGTTTGTTGATGTAAATTGTAAAGGTTTTCCCACAGTTTACGAGAGATAAATCTAATGGATTTCATTTTCAAAGAAAAAAAGATAATTCAAAAATATAATACGCAAAGGTATGATAGATGCAAATGTTTAAATTTAGACAATCCCTTGAATTAAATGCAGCATTTAAAAATCGTCCAGAAATAGCAAGTCGATATGACGTCGTATTTCATTTTAGCAATCCTGTGTTTGACAGCTCTACAAAAGTTGATGAAGTTCAATTGCAATATAAGTTTAACGTGGCTGTGTGTGTATGTATGTGTGTCTGTCTGTGGCATCACAGCTCTCAAACGAGTGAATCGATTTTGATTTTGTTTCTTTTGTTTGAAAGGTGAATTAGTTGGGAGTGTTCGTAGCTATATTTGATGAAAATCGGTCCAAGATGGTCGGAGGTTTTTAAAATTTTTAATTTAATTTAGTTATTTTACAATATTGTATTCACTGTATTCAGTACACCTCATGCTTTGTGATTTCCATATAGCTCGAAATTCTTGTAATGAAAAATTATTAACTTTTAGGTAAATACAGTTAAAAATAGGAATTAAAAAAAAACAATTCAGTTAAACATATTTGTGCTATAGGTAATTCTTAATTAGTAAAATTGGACTTTTCAGTAAGCTGTAAAATTACAAGGTAGTAATGTGTAAATCAGGAAAGGCCGCGTGTGAGTTATAGTTGCTCAATGATTGATTTTGATGATTCTTGTTAATTATAGTATGTCAATTGATTATTGTTTATTATTTATAGATCATATTAATTCTTCATATTTTGTTAGGTAAAATTTTTTATAGTATTAATTTGTTTTTCATTATTTATATTTTATTATTTACAAGTTTATAATATTAACACAGATATGAGTTTGTAATATTTTAAATATTAATATTTTAAAAGTAGAAATAAATGATTAAATAAAAAAAAATTGTCATCCACCGTGGGTAATGTGTAATCAGTTTATGATAGGTGGCACCACATTACATCCAACTCTGGGGACATAGCTTTGATCAACAATACTACTGTTGTTCGAAGGGACATAGTCAATAATGTTTAAATAGTTGTGATAATCATTTTGTTGGGCATTCCGTAAAAGTAATTAAATAGAAGTGAAATTGCTGAAACTTGTCGTTTTACTTGTAAAGTCACTAATAACAATACAAAATTCTTAATAATTTATGATAAAAAGATTATTCGCCTAAAGAAGTTATAAAAGGTTGTATTTTAAAAAAATATCACTGACAGAAAAAATATCAACTTTTGACCTTTCGTAGCAGAGACTCGTTGGCAAATTGAAAGAGGCATTAAAATCATATGACCCGGCGAAATCTGTGTCATTTTTATCCGCTTTTATACGAACCAAATA